TCATCATGCACGACATGGCCGCCGCCTTGTCACTGGGTAGCGTCCGACTCTAGACGTACAAAGCAGCGCGCGAGCCGTGGATGCGGTAAGGCTCTGTCTGTGTACTGGATGGGGTGCATGTATGCCATTGTGTTGTGTGTGTGGGCTGGCCTCGAAAGCTAGCGTCTCACAAGGCGAGCATGGCAGAGACGGCCACCAGACATGGAGCAGTCTGGCCAGCAGGCCCCTCGAGCCAGGACGAGCCAGGACGAGCCAGGACGAGCCAGGGGGGAGCGAATGAGAAAGCGCGTCCAAGGAGCGTCGCTGTGTGGCAGCAAGCGGTCCTTAATTTAGACGTTATTTGGCAGTGCAGAGACCAGACTGACTGCCTCGCCTGCCGATCCAGGGCATGGAGACGAACTCTATCGTGCAGGCGCCCAAGGGCATTCCGCTGCCATCCCGCGCGGGTAGGCCGTCGTCGCCTGCTGAGGGGGCTGCGGGTGTGGTCAAGTCTGTGCCATTTGCAAAGAGGGCCTTACTGCGCTCGATGATGAATACCATCAACGGCGGCTGCAGGGGCGGTAATATGAAAGGGACACACTGCTCGACTGCCAACCGCCAAATGCCAACCCGCAATTTGCCAATGACAGCTGCATGCCGCATCTGGCACCCATGATGAGTGCCGTCGCATAGGGCGTCCAGGACGGAAGAGAGAGTGCCAGACAGCCCGGCCTGCCCTGCCCTGCCTCGCACCACTCTCTCCCTGCCGTAGTAGCCGTACTGCAAGTAGAGTAGCAGTCGACTGCCGCCATCCGCCATCCGCCATCCCCCTCTACCTCTGCCATCTGCGCGCCCGCCTCAGCGCCGTGTTACACAGCCTTGGCCTGTGCCATTTGACCCTGATCGCTATCCTGGCATCCCGGATTGAATGAGGCTTAGCAGCACCCGATTCCCATCATCATCATCATCATCATCACCACCGCCGCCAGCTCCGGCACTGCTGCTGCCGCTGCCATCAGCCATCATCCCCTCTGCCATCGCCCTGCCGTGACCGATCCACCTCTCTCGCCTGACACCGCGCCCATCCCGCAGCCAGCACCGCCTCGCCCTCGCCGCTTGTACGTACCGTCTCCAGCCACGAGGCTTGTTGGCCTGTCAGCAGCGGCGTTTGCAGTACCCGGCGACGTTGCAAGCTTCGCCGACTCCAGATCCCGCGCCTTCCTCGTCAACTTGCTGGGGAAGCCTCCTCCGCACGAGCCAACAGCAGCCCTGGAGTCTCGGATCTAGCTCGACAACACCACCCTACCAACCATTCAACACCACCACCACCGTCGCTACGAACCCCTCCGCCTGCGAGCGCCCACCCAGCAAGGCCCCGCTCCCCCATCCAGCTCCCTCCCACCCTGGCGCCCGTCGTCTCTTCCGCCTGCCCACGCTGCGAGGCCCCCTTTGACCCGAGCTGCGTGTCGGATTCACCCGACGGGAACCATCACCACAGCTCCACCACTTCAACGCGCCCCCCTGCGCCGCCATCGACTCTCCACAATCCATCGCGCCCGCTCCAACACGAAGCAGACGACCTCGCGACGCGCTGGGCCCAGTGCTCACCCATTGTCCCGCGCCCGACGTTCATCATCGCCCGCGGCCGCGAGCCGCACTAGACGACAGCCACCATGGGTATCTGCATGAGCACAAACAACGACGATGTCGAGCAGAAGAAGCGCAGCCAGGCCATCGATCGCAAGCTCGAAGAGGACTCGCGCAGGTTACGGCGAGAATGCAAGATCCTGCTGCTGGGTGAGTGGCCAAGAAAAGCGCTGGCCTACCCTTGCTTCATTCAGCCCTGCTAACCCGCCCCTACAGGTTCCGGAGAGAGTGGCAAGTCGACCATTGTCAAGCAAATGAAGATTATACACCAAAACGGCTACACGCAGGAGGAGCTTGCCATGTACCGCCTGACCATCTACAAGAACGTCATCGACTGTGCAAAAGCTCTTATTGGCGCCATGCGGCAATTCGACATTACGTGCGAGAATCCAGGCAATACCGAACTATGCGAATATCTAGCCAACTACACCGTCGACCCAGACCCGGAAAAGCCACTCGATCAAAGAGTAGGCCAGGCCATCACATCCATGTGGCGCGACCCTTGCGTACCAAAGGTGCTAGAGCACTCGAGCGAATTCTACCTAATGGATTCTGCGCCCTAGTACGTTTGCGCATCACGTTTCCATCAACTTGGCTGACACTTGTAGCTTCTTCGACGAGGTGGAACGGATATCGGACCCAAACTACGTGCCCATCGAATCCGACGTCCTACGAGCGCGCACCAAGACAACGGGCATTTATGAAACACGATTCACAATGGGCCAGCTAAGCATCCAGTAAGTGCGCGACTTCAAACATGTGTCTGGTGCTCGGACTAACCTGAAACAGTATGTTTGATGTTGGAGGCCAACGGAGCGAACGCAAGAAATGGATACATTGTTTCGAGAACGTCACATCCATTATTTTCTGCGTAGCCTTGAGCGAATACGACCAGGTGTTGCTGGAAGAGAGCTCACAAGTATGTACTCCAACCACATGTTCGTTGGGTCTAGTACTGACTCGCGGCCCAGAATCGAATGATGGAGAGCTTAGTGCTTTTTGACTCGGTAGTCAATAGTCGATGGTTTATGCGAACAAGTATCATTCTCTTCCTAAACAAGGTCGACTTATTCAAGGCCAAGCTTGCACGATCACCGCTCGGCAACTATTTCCCAGATTACTCGGGTGGTAACGACGTCAACCGTGCGGCCAAATATCTGTTGTGGAGATTTAATCAGGTAAACCGGGCACACCTGAATCTCTACCCTCAGTAAGAATAACATATCCAAACCCCCACTATGCACGCCTAACCAAGACAGCCTTACGCAAGCCACCGATACATCAAATATCCGACTCGTATTCGCCGCCGTCAAGGAGACAATACTACAAAATGCGCTCAAAGACTCGGGCATATTGTGATTTGTCCATACAACATCTACGGTCCTCTGTCGCCCACTCGGCCTCGGGCCTACGAGTGCTCCGCCTTCAAAATTGCGCACACGCGTTCCTCCGTCTACACCTACTACATAATACACGAGCCCTTTTACGATCATTACTCCCGATCGTGCCACTGATGAGGCACACTTGCGGCCACGAATTGGGATTTGGGAGATATCATTGCCTCTAGCTATTGACACATAGAGAGCGCAGCATTGGTGTTTTTGGCGTTGAAAGATTCCCTGGGCCTGGTCCTATTGTTTTTTCCAATCTGGGGATGCGAAATGGGGCATCACATCTCACACACACTCTCTCTCGTACACACGCACACGCACATTATCATCGTCGTCTCTCTCTCTGGGAACTGGGAACTGGGCCTTTTTGTTGTTTTATCTTCTGTGTCTTTTTTTGACCTTGTTGTTCTTTGGAATTTTTGTCCCTAACCCGCCCTCATCTTCTTCTTTTTTCTTCTTTCTCTCGTGCCTAGTTTCGACCTATCTCAACCCGCGGATTCCTCCCGTTTTTCTTTTCTTCTCTTTTCTTTTTTCATCTGGTCCAACTGGTTTAGCCCTCTGTCTCTCTCTCTATCCTGTGTGTGTGATATATTGTGTGTACGTGTGTGGAATTGAGAAAGAAAAAGTTGAATTGGAACATTTTTCACCCCCCCCCCCTTCTCCTCTTCCTTCCTCACTTTTTTGGTCCTCTCGTTGTGACTCGGGGTTTCGCCCGTTTTTGCTTAGTCAAATGTGGAAGCGCTGGCGAGAGGGGAAGGGGCCAAATAACCACCGTTTTTTTTCTTGTACGCTTATATTAAAGCCTTCTCTCCTTTATCACGTTTTTTTCTCTACCCAGAAGTCTTTTTCTTTTTACCCCCCGTTTTGTTTTCCAACTGTTTCTCTTATATCGGGGTTCATACGCACGCACGCATTACTCTAACTAAGCAAAGTATGTGTCGTGCTGGTGCTGGTGGTACTGTGGGAAGGAAGTGGGCGGGGCCTTTTTTTGCTCGAACAAGGGGAAAATATGTCTAAGACACGGCCTGGAATCATTTTTTCTTTCTTGGTAGGCTATATGTGTTTCGTATTTTGAGTCCTAAGACATCTTTTTGGCTTGGGGTTTTTTTACTACAAACTCGGCTTGAGCGGTGTGTGACCGAGAAGGTTCAATCGACTATGGTTCGGTACTCGTTTGTGGAAATTTTCTATAGTATACTACGTCTTTCTAGTTTGAAGGAGGTGAGGTGAGGGGACTTTGTAAAGGGTGGGGGCTGCTAGTGCTGGGTGCTATATATATGTAATGGTATACGGTCGAATTATTATTTAAAAAATATTATATTGTTCATGCTGTACCTGGTATGTCACCATAACGTTGTGCAATGAATGAGTTTTTTCTTAGTGAAATGTTTGTGTTGCTCTTTTTACTCTTTTTTTTCGCAGGACAAACGTTACAAACTAAAATCCATCCCGTTGTTTCGCCTATTACCAAAACTGACCTTGCTTCTTTCCTTTCCAAGACGTTAGACGTGAAACTAGTTACTAAACACCTCGAGTCTCCTGCCTTAACCTAACAAAGAACTATTGGGTTTTCCGTGCGCGTGTCGCGCTTGGTAGCGCAACTGTAATCACTCCAACGTACGTGACTGCTTTCATAGTCCATACCGCCTCCCATTTGTCCCCCCTGACCAACTATCGAACCTTGTACGCTTACACGTACATACTCATTCATGTGCGTTGAGTTGTTGACTCCCTCACCGCGCATCCATCTCCAACGTTGAACTAGAAAAGAAAGGGGCTAATGTATCGAGGGCACGTGAACATATATATATTTCTCCTTCATTTTTCCCGTCCTTGAACGGCGGCTGGCCCGTTGCGCATGGCATACGTGTATCGAGGGACCATGGGGGGCATGTGACCGGTATTCCCCTTCACCGTGTTAGTCTTAGGAAAGAGGTAACGGTGTAAAAGTACACCGTACATCCAACATGATGCGTTGGGATCAAAGCACAGAAGTGAGATGGCGGTCTTCCTTTTCTGCACCTGGGGAAAAGAGAAGAGGGAATTAGATGTGGAATAGCTGTTCTCCCCACCAACCATCTCTTTCTTGCCGTCTCGTATTACCCCCCCGCCGCGAAATTATGCACTCACTCCTTGCCCCCCCCCTTCATACTTACACATATTTCATCTGAACGACACAACCATGCATACATACACACACACACACATATATATATATCCTCACATATAGTAAACCAAGTTCATCCCTAACTCGCACGCATCTACACAACAACAAATTCCCCCACCAAGGGGTCCCATCTCGTGACCAAGGCAAAAAAAAAGAAAAGGGGGAAGAGCACCAGGAAATAACGATGTGCATCCCATCCCCGCCCAGCCAAAACCAAGTAAGTAAAGCACGGAGTCAAGAAGGGGGGGGTGGGCGGTGGTGAGGACTCGGCGCCAATTCTTTCGTAGGCGCGGGCGCGGGCGCGAGTCTCGTGCGATGCGTGGGCGGAGCGGTGTAATGCTGCTTGGCTTCCTTATTTTGCTTTTTAGTCTTATCGTGTCCCTTGGATTTGTGATGGAAGGATTCTTCTTGTGTCTCAACCCCCTTTCCTCCAGCATTGGAATTTGATTTTTTGTTCTTCTTCAAGAGACAGTGTAGCGGGAATTTGCATTAGGTAAAACGACGTGCTGGGTTTTGAAGCACAAAACATGCAGACGTGTTGTTAGTCATGAAGGTAGATAAATCTTATGAGGCACACGATGGTTGTTTTGACTTGATGGTTTGGTTTGCATAGTTTCCAACTATCATCAGGCCACTGTTGCAAGGGGGGTTCAGCGTATAAGCATGCTTAAGCTTTTTTCTTTCCCGTGCAGCCAGGGTTCTTGTTTGAGGGTCCTACTTAATGTGGAGAGGACAAGGGGGATCAAGTGTTACAAGGTGCCTGTTTAGGGGATGGCCACGCGGGAAAAGAGTGGAGAAGATGATGTTGCTGTTACGAGAATTGGAATGGCCGGCGGAGTGGGGGTTGGGTAGGTGGCAAGATTTTTCTCCACCGCGGCAGCCACATGTTCTTACATCACATTTGGTACAGCACAGCAAAGAGGGAAAGAAAAAAGGTGTCCTCAGGTGATACTGTCAATTTTTTTGTCCAAGTACCTTAGTTTGCCCGCTAATTCCTAGCCCTAGCTGGAACTCCACAAATGAATCAAAACGCCTATGCATGCCGTCCCCACCCATAAACCACCGAGCCGCGAGTGATTTTTTGTCATGTTGATATCGACTTTTGAAAGGATAAAGAAAACAAGAGGAAATGGTATCGTAACATCGTAAACGCCTATGCAGCAAGTTGCTTTTGGTAGCACAGCTTTCTCGCTATTAAAGCTCAAGGTGCCGCATGTTGCAACTGAAAGTTGTTGCCTGGACAGTGTAGGCCAAGCTGCTCTCGTAGCTACCGGCCTGCATAAGAAGCATCTATTCGATGTTGGACAAGAAAGCCGACCTCTCGAAGCTCATGCGCCTCCGTCGCTCAGCAGCGCTCATCTCCTTAAGGCTGCCCGGCGGGGCAGCATACTTCGCATTAACCGCAAGAGGAGAGAATATCTTAAGGCCAAGGATTGGTGAATCGTCATGTTTTGTGGCGGTGGGAGAAGATGGCGGGCTGAGAGTACTAGCCTCTGAGGGCGGAGCTCCGATGCTTGCGTTGCTGGAGATGGAGGATACGGACTGATGACGTCCGCTGTTCTGTCGGTTGGAAAGAAACCCGTGAGCAGACACGAGGGGCTCTGTGGCAGGTACAGCTGCGACGGTTTTCTTGATGGGAGTGTTGACAGCGAGAAACGACGTGGGGAAGGGGATGTGGTAGGTTGGGCGGGTGGAAGCCATTGCGCCAGGATGGATGTTGATGTTGGGTAGAGAAGTGATTGTTTGTTGGCTTAAGGTGAATGAGTTTTGTAGGTGATAAGGATGGATTTGTTGGAGTGTGGTGTTTGTGTGTTGTGGGGAAGTGACCGAGAGGCCGAGGACAGTCCTTATATGTGAACGGAGGGGTATGCGTAATGGAAGGAGTGACAAAACTGGAGTCGTCCGTGGGTAAGGCCGTAGCGCTGCCAAGCGAGTCCCACAGAGCCTTGCGTGTATTGAATGGGCCCTGTAACTGGCTGGAACGGCTTGGGGATCTACCAAAAGCAACTGAGACGCTTCCAAAGTAGGCGCTTGTGGAGCTAGTGGGCAGCTAGTCTATGGATAACTCCGCTTAGCATAAAAGAGTTGGTTCTGCAGAGGACCTGGGGCCTAGGGTTGCAGCGCGGGATGTTGCAGATGCTTCCGCGCGCTTGAGCTTGGCGGAGTTGCGCTTGAAGCTGTCAATAATATTGGTGCAGCAGGCTTCCGGTGAAGGCGGCTTCGTTGACAGATAAGACTACAAACAGGTGCGTGTTTCGACTGCGTAAGCCTCTTGTGTGTGCAAGTATGATCGACGGGGAATCTGAGGCTGTTTGTGGAGCTCGACGAGCTTGGCAAGATAGATGCACAGGCAAAAGGGTGTTTCTTGTAAGTTCAGTAGCGTATCACCGCTGGGTGGTGTTGCAGTTTATTGGTTGCAGGACGGTTTTGGGTATGCCGAGACTGGCAAGGCGCGCGTGTTGGTAGCTAGGGCTTGGAAGTAGATGGGCGAGTACCAAGATGGCTTGGCAAGAAGGTTAATTGTTTGACGCGGCGGAGTGGAGATTGGATAGACTACTGTGATTGAGGAAGAAGAAAGGTTGGCAATGTCGAGCGCTTGTGAATTAATAGCATAGCAGTCACGGCGATAAGATTTGTCGGAAGCGTCGGTCCAAAGGGCGGTCGTACGGGTGGCGAGTGAATGGTGAGCAGAGAGGGACCGACATGGCGACGGCGGCATGGGCGGGGGACAGGACTGGACAGGACTGGACAGGAGTCGAGGGCATGGTGGAAATGTGCAAAGCTGGGATGCAGGCTGCCGGTGCTTGGTCGGTGGAGTGCAGGAGAGCATGATCCACCACGTTGATGTAGCTAGAGTGCTCGGTGGCTAGCACTCGTGGGGGGCGTTTCTGACCAAGCAATGGCTGCATCAGGTAAGAGAATGACGCGACGCCCTCCCGCCGTAGTGTTGTGGTCGCGCTATAGGCTCCTAGGCTCCTAGGCTCGTGGGCTCATTTCCTCCACGGCGCAGAGGACAGCAGTAGGCGTGCATGCGACACCTCACGTCGTTGGTGCCATGTCATGGTCATTTGCTTTTCAGTGAACGTTCCTGGGGGGAGGAGGGACGTCTAACCAGTCTCGGGGGGCACATGATGCGGGGGTTGCGCATCGGTCGCAGGCGGATCCGCGGCATGTTGTCCACCTCCTCCGGTCATGCTAAGCCGAAGATAGCCTCAAAGTCTCGATACCGCGGCATGGGGTGAGAGGTGAGAAGGGGGGGGCGGGGGTGAAAGACTTCACCACTTGCGGCGTTGCGCCATGGCGTGATGGAGAAAAGATGAGAGAGTTCCGGCGGAGCTTACCAGCGCAAATTCCTCCGAAGATGCATCTCGCTATCTTATCTCCGCCGCTCCTACTAAGCGACGGCCCCTGCAGACGCGACCTTCTACAACAGATATAGGTACGCGCGCTTCAGCTACACCTCACACAGCTACGCCTCATGCTCGACTACAGTACACTCTACATTCGGCGCTTCTAGGCCGTTACCCGTCCCTGCACCCACCGGCTATATCCCCAGATATATACCAACTATCTTTACACGTACCAGCCTCCCTTACTCTCCTTGCAAAGATCTTCGTTATGCATACATACACCGGCAACATAGAGTATAGCAGCAACAAACTTCAATACACATGAAACCCATGCCTGTAACAGCCTACCCGTCTTATCTTGACATCTGTCATTGATCGGAGACTTGGTGTCACAGAGCCAACCACCTGCGCTACAACATACCTCGTGCATTCCAGGCCAGCCACAGCGGCCCACATGTGCCATGGAAACTCACTTTAACTCCATCTCATTTTTAGTATGCGTGAAGGAGCCTTATGTCCGTCTTAGATGCGACGCTCAACAACTGTCCAGGTGATGAATGTAAGCAGAGCCACCTGGACGAGCAGACGTCCAGTCGGTCCGCACCAGTAGACGTCGAATCCCTTGGATTTAATTTTGGTGCCTTTTTCGAAAAAGACGTCACTGTTCAATGTCACGCATTAGCCATGCCCACACCAATCGTGCAGTCAGTCCCAAAGCATGACCTCTTGCATGGCGACTCTGAATCCACCCACTCTGTCAGGCCTATAATAAGACGACGTATGCACGACTGCATCTTGCCCACCTGCCAAAACTACACTCCCCCTAGTTCATTTTCATCCTACAAAAACAGCCGGCCACCGCGGCGCCAACAGCGGGGGATGCACACCAAGGAATCGTGAAATAAGCGGTGTGGCCTAGATCCGACTTGCCCTGTCATACTAGCCCGTGTGAGCCACCCAACCCCACACTATGCCCATAGTCCGGTGAAAGAGTGCGGAGTACCAAGAAAAAAAAACACCACTAGAATATTTCAACAAGCGTGAAGACGTCTCGGGGCTTTTTTCTTTTCGTTCTAGAACTAGAGGAATGTCTCAACACACTAAACAAGGGTGTGTCAAAGAAACATCCGAGTGTAGAGGAAAAACTTGACCGGAGACTATGTAACTGACTAGATGGCAACGCGCATGAACTATTCTCGAGAGACCATTGACCATGAAATATCCTCACAAATGGCGGTTGGTATGGCTGTTTCGTCGATACGAGCGAGATTAGCGCATGGTGGTGGAGCATGGCGTATTCCTCGCAGCTGAGACTACCAAGAACAATTGGCCCTACTTGACTTGCTACTGAATTTTTTCAAGTCATCGAATGACATTTAAAAAAACCAAACGCAATCTTTCTTTTCACGGCGTTCCTGGATGATATCATCAAACTGTATTTCCGTTGCCCGCACATAAAACACCAGACCGGACACAGGTAGTCTACATCTTTATCTTTGACAGCCGCAACCTTACAAGTGATCGGCTCACTTGCCAAACCGTGTCCCACATCAAGACCCACCAAAAATTTAAAGCTGTTTAACGTTCCGGTAAGAGTACGTTGCCTGTTGCTGTATCAAAGTGGGGTCACTTTACTAATCACAACACCAACAATCGCAAGCGTTGGCGTCTTTTCTGCATCGCAGGAGAAAAAAAAGCTTAAACAAACGCTAAAGCATGTGGTAATCAGATTCTGACGCCCCGTCCCGGAAGTCTGTTGGTGTAGTGCGTCAGTGACGCGTACTTTTCACCAGGGACGTAGGGTATTAGGCTGTGCACCAGAGGGGTTTGGTTGTCCTGGGTTACGTGTCAAGCCCTTCCTCTTCTATTACCATCTGAGCATGCAGACAATCATTGATAAATATTGGCCAGCCTTCACTCCATCAACGTATCTGTTTGGAAGAAGCTTTGGTGATCGTAATACTGACTGCAACCCGGCCATTTTACGTTTGTTTCGCCAATGAATATCACAATCTTCTGATGTCCACCGATCAAAATCTGCCAGTCCAATCAACACACCTCCATAGACATCTGACACTTTTCCCAACTCAAACATCCAAGAATTAAGTAACGCTCCATCAAGGCAAGTTACAAGCAAGTGTACACCTGTGTAGTGGTTGCGCAGAGCCCATGTGTTGGCGCTCCAAATCACTAGGGCCTTGGCAACTGGTTGTTCAGAAGGTCTTCCGATGCCTACTAGTCGTCACCACTCTTGCTTTTTTTTCTATTGCTGTTTGGTAAACATACCCCGCATCCAAATCTGTTGTTGCAGTGAGGACCAAAATATTCCTTGGAATGATCTACGCCAAGTCGGAGGTGTTCGTGGTCTTGGTCTTGTGCGTTTTTGGTACTGTTTTTGCTTATTTTCCAATCAAGAGAACAGCCATTCGGCGGTAGTGGCACCTTACAAAGGTATCAAGAATTGATACTGAATATGGATACATACAGTTTTTATAGCAACGGCTACGAGAAGGATGAGGGAGTCAGGGCAAAATCGGCGTCTTCATTCGTCTCTTCTCTTCACTTCTACGCTGTCATGCTTTTCATCGAGGTCACCTCTCCGCAAGTTGTCATATCATCTCAATTTATCTGTTTCCTTTGCTTCCATCTCATTTAGTTTTGAACAGCTGTTGAAACAATGATTTCTCGACTCATGCTTCATCAGTCCAGGTCTCAAGACATGATCTTCTTGCATTTGAACTTGGTTACATTTTGGCATTCAAATTGATAACCATTTCCCCAATCTCATGTCTTAATCTCCTAATAGATATCTTTCCTCTCTCACAGTCAATCTAATCATCACAAACTCGCAATATTGCACTCTCAAAGCAGTCATCTCTCACTATCATGTCACTTGCCACTGGTGTCCTACGATATGAACTACTGGCTGAGCGATTTCAATCGTCTTTTAAAGGCTTTGGAACCTGATGAATATCAATCCATTGTCATGTTGCCTAATCAGTCTACTTCTCACTATAAGGACCAGGAGCGCCATGTATACTACATATACCCTCACGGAGGCCTCATTCCTCACTGAGACCTCCAGATTCTCATAACACCATTCACTTCACCATGCAAACGCAGCACTATATCATGTAAAGAGCTCGGCCTCGGTCCTGGCTTGTGCTCAAAAAATACACGCAAAAAGACCACTTACCTGCTATCTCTTCTACCCTCTCGTCACCAACCTCCCACACTCCCTCTGACTAAACCACCAACTCCGGTGGTCTTGCCTCAGATTACCACTCAACAAGATGGACGCCACCGAGCTCGCAGGTAAGAGTAACAAACTCGACAAGACTTTGATCAGTTCTCACAATAGCAGCCGTCCAAAAACTTCTCAAGGAACTTCACCTCTACGCCACCTACGGCCCCGCCAATGCGAACGATCCAGGTAAGTATATCCAACCGCCTTCAGTGGCTTTATTTGCTCGATACTAACACACAAAGACCCATTCGATGAGATCCGTCAAGCCAAATTCGGCAACGCCCTCCCATACGAAGAAAGCCAGGACGTAATCCTCGATCCCACCAAAGTACCATGCTCTCCTCCCCCCACCCTCACCATCCACATGCAAAAAATCTAACCACGCAACCCCCAGAACCTTCCCTTCCTCCCCACCGAAATCCTCAGCGAAATAATGTCCCACACCACCCCCTCTGACCTCGCCAGCCTGCGTCAAACCAGCAAGCGCTTCCGCTTCGCCGCCAAATCCCTCTTCGGTAAGCGCCTCGTCAACTCCCGCACCTTATACCCTACCTACACGAGCCTGTCCTCCTTCCTGGCCTTGCTCCTCGTCGACCCGTCCTACCCCCACTTAGTCCGCACCCTCTCATTGGTAAGTGAGCATGCGGAGCCCAACGCATACGGCTACGACTGGGCGTGGGAGGAGCTGCAGAACAAGGAGCGTACGGGTGCTACGCGCGTGGATCGCGTGATCAAGAAGTGTATTGAGATGCGGCACGAGCGGTGGTGTGCGAGTAGTGCGGCTTTTGTGTTTGGTGGGGGTTATAGGGATATGTTGAGTAAGTTTTTTTCCCCTCTTTACCAACTGTCCTCCCCCTCTTTTCCCATCATCCTTTCCTTTCACGATCTATCTGCGTTGAGGCGTATATTTGTGTGTTTGTGTGTGTGTTTGTGTGTGTGTGTGTGTGTGTCACGGGTAACTCACTACAACCCCCACTCACCAGCTATCCTGTTCAAACGCCTCCCCGCGCTCCAAACGATCCACCTGCGAAAGCTCTTTCTCGGTGAGAACATCCCTGGCCCCGACGGTATCGAGTTTCTCCAGGGAGCGCTGCAGGATTTGTCGTTTTACCGCCCTGGATTGCCGGTCAATCGTGTCTTTTATGGCGAGTGGCAGTACGATATGGTGTATCAGTGCGTTACGACGCTGATTGATGAGTATGGTGACGAGTACATCTGGGAGGGGGCGGGGCCCCAGGCAGACTGTAGGGCGGATGCTACGGCTGCGGTGAAGAGGGCCGGGAGTAAGGCTGTTGTTGTCAAGGCGAAGAGGGGAACTGTTGAGGAAATCGATGAGCCCGATGAGGAGACGTCGGATGAGATTTCCGACGAGGAGGATGGCGACTGAGCAGGGCACTGGTGCTCTTATCAGCAACGTTGATTGACTTTTCCGAACTCCGATTTGAGGGGTGAGACGGAAGTTTGGGCTGCTACTGGGTCGTTTGTACGGATATTGAAACATTGTGAATTGTCCTTGATGGACTGAGATTGCAGTTTGAGAGGTGATACCCGCGAGGGTGGATGAAGAAGATGAATGTATGGTGGTGGAGAGAGACCAGTCAACAGTAGTAGCCCCATGACGGCGATTTCAACAAAACGACACATACAACGGAATGACATATATAACAAAAAAACGAAATAATGGAACAAAATATTACGGCGAACATTTCAAGTCTTCTTTCTCTTTGCGTGATACATGTACATATCTCGTTCAGCTCTCCCCAAACGCAAACATCCTCCAATTTTTCCCTAATTGGGCCACCCCATCTTCCAAACTCCAACCTTTGATCTTACATATCCTGCGCACAATATCTTCAAGCCTTCTATCCATTTCTTTGCCTGCAGTATGCAAATCGCTCTCAACAAGCAGCATATGATTCGGCACCGTCTTGACCATCTCCACGAAACTCTCTGGCGTCTCCTCATCCATCCTATCCGAAAGATTAATCGCAGTACTGAAACTCGCAAAGATTTGCGCAGGGATAGCCGGGTTGAGATACTGTTTGAAATTCGATACGTTGCCCGAGTAAGAATGGAGACAGATTCGTGGTGGGTAGGGCTTTGCTTCTCCTCCTTTTCCCATATCACTCGTTCCCTCTGCATCCGCTTCAATCGCAGCTTCAGCAGCCGGATGATCTACCCCGCGTTTCTTGCGCTCCCGCTTACTCAGTACCTGCTTTTCATGCCCCTTCCAGAGCTCAGATAGCACCTCCAATACCAGCCCGTGGGCTTGGACTCCGTGCACACTTACTCCCCGGTTCATCTCTGCTGCGAGCTGGAGCTGCAGTTTAAAAATCTTTTTCTGGTGCGGGGGACTCGCGCGGAAGGGTGTTAGGCGGCGTCCTTCGCGCCCGCCGGGAGTCAGGCTGTTGTCGCGTTTGCACCAGAGATCCGGGTTTCCAGTCCAGGACTCGGGGATGCGGAAGGAGCGGTCTAGTCCAATTTCGCCAACAAGAGCATATGGATATTGCTGTAGGTGGCGGCGGGCGTGGGACAAGAAGGTACTAAAGGGGGTGGGGTCGGGGAGGGAGAGGTAGGTTTGGATGTCTTCTTCGCTAGGGTTTTCCCGGAAGGGATGTAGGGCTGTTTTGTAGTGTGCGATTTTGGCTTCTCCGGTGAGATTTCCTTGCTCTTTGAAACTACTATCTGAGTCGATGTTTGATGTGAGGTACATTTGGTGTGAGAACCACGGGTGCCATCCAAAACATGGTACGATGCATTCTTCTCTTGACCATTGGGAGGGATCTGCGGATCTTATGGTGTGCTTATCCGCTGTAGCAGTGACAAGATCTTGGTCCTCGGCTCTTGTTGCCATGACTGTGAGTACTCGCGCTTTCATATTTTGTATTGTTTCGATGCTGGACATGGTATCGGTTGGATGGCAATGTGCATCGTAGACACCCAGGTGCCATGGGAAGTTTTCTTCATTGCTATTGCTCGTCGCCATTGTAGTCAATATAATATACTTTGTTAAATTCTCCGTTTTTAAAACTATATCTGATGTTTGGGTTGTAAGTTTGAAATGGGGTCTTGAGTATGACGTAGATGTGAGGCTGGTCGGAGCAGCCTTTTTCCGCTTCCCGTGATCAAAGGGCCTTCTACGCTGAATGGGTCACTGGGTATCCATACCGGTCGACGGGGAATCCACTTCCACATAATTCAAAAAGGAAAAGTAGAGCAGATATAAACTGTCAATACTCGACATGTCTTGCATTTGGACTACCCAGAAACTATGCTATATACAACAAAAGGGGATGCTATTTTACATGGCCTCCGCCTTATTCGCTTCATTACAACTAGTCCTTGTCACCCATCTGACAGGGCGTCTCGCATACCAACAAGGCGCAACAAGAAAAAAAAACAAAAAACAAAAATACAGACACAGACGCATATACCCCATTGCACCTTGTTTCTCCCACCGGACAATTAGGGAAAAAGAAATGTGATGCAGACTTGTCTAGGCCGTGGTAGATGTGAACTAGCAAAACAAAGCAAAGAAAGGAAACCTCACCAACGATGGATAACCCCAAGAGATGAACGCCATAGCTATGCCAACTTTATGGATCTCAGGAGTAAAACGACTTAATGGAAGGAGCACGGGAATACAGGCGGCTAGGAAAACGGAGGGGGTGCGAATACGTAGGAAGCCGTTGCTTGGATGACGAGGCTGATGCATGTCGGAGGGCGTAGTCGGCTTTGGTACTGCGCTTGGGCAAAACAATATCAGTCACCAGCTGAGGACTGTGTATAGTATGATACAAGGGTGTGAAGGAGTGTGGAGAATATAGAGGCGGTGACGGTCAAGGCACTACCTTGCTACACGGTGGATCAACCTAGGCAAGCATGTTAGTGATGAAGGGAACGATGATGATGATGGTCAGGCAAGTCATGTACCTTAAAGTGCTAATAGCAAATGTGGCAATCCACGCAATGAGGGCAATGAAGAGCGTGGCCGTCAGGCCCTTTTGTCTCTCACAGATGCTCATTCTGTAAGGGCAAGCATTTTCGCTGCCGGATTCAACGCATGCCCATTTCTCATCAGTGAGGGCCTGAAAAGCTAAACTAAGGTTGGCAGACTCGAAGACAATAAAGGCCAGGTCGAGGAAGATCAACGACATTTTGGCATTGTGTGAACGCAGTCCGAGGGGTTTCGACGTGTACTCGTCGTAGGTGATGTAGAGGGTGTAGATGATTGCTACAATGTCGACAAGGATGGCCATCCATGTCGACGAGTTGTTGCTGCAGCCATTGTTATCGGAATGACGGTAGATGGAAGCTGCTAGAGAGAGGGCGAGGGTGGAGAAGATGAGCACACAGGCACGGATCACGGCAGGAACCATGGGATGGTTCATCACGGTGTTGTGGAAACGTACGAGGGCGCGCCTTCTTTTCTCCGACGTAAAGAGCCAGAAACCCTTGATCTGTTCCTTGGGCGCACTCTCGCCAATGGGCTCCCACTTTTGCTCGAGGTCAGGCATATTTTCCTTCATCCAATCGTCGTCTACAATCTGGCCGCGTGACGAGATGGGGCGGTCGAGGTTGGAGCCCTGGGTGAACTGTTTCCATTTCGGAGCACTGTCGCTAACGGGGGTACCAAGGGTGACGGGGGCGCCCTCGCGGACATGGTCAAACTTGCGACCCGGGACGTTTGACTTTGGCGTCGGGCAGAAGTTGTGGTTTGCATGGCGGACCGTGGTGGGCGTCCGGGGCAGGAGGAAAGAGGTGGCATCAGCATCGTCCTCGTCTTCGGCAGACTGGACCCAAGGAGGCAGTGAGCGTACAGCACGCTGGCGTTCCCTGTTCTCCGCGCTCGCGGTCAGGCTTCGATTCGAGGACGCCAGGGTGCGCGGAGTGCTGGAGATGGAGTACGACTGGCTCTTCCGGGCGGGGCCTCCGTCGTGGCTGTCCTTGGAGACGCCCGAGACGGCGCTGATTCGGGACTGGGGGCGCTGGAACGAGGGCGGGTGCGAGTGCAGTGAGGAAGATGAGGGCGGCGGGATGGGCGAGGGCAGTAGCCTGTTTGCGTGTGCTGGGGCGGGCGTCGGGGTGGGTGTGGTGGAGGCGGCCAAGGACGAAGGCGAAGGCGAGGGCGAGGACGTGGTCATGGCCGGGGCGTTGGAAGAGGCATTTGGACTGGAGACGTGGGCGCTCCCCTGGGCGGCAGCCACGTCTGGGCGAAGGAAGGCGGCCGCATCTGTGAGGCCAACGGGGTCGATGTCATTGTTGTCCGTCTTTGTGGGCTCGCCCATGGGCGTGCTGGTCATGCTTGTCGGAGGATGTGAGGGGCGTCCTCGTCGCACCAGCGGTTCCCTTGAACAAGGCGCCCGTCCCTGATGTCAGATGTTGCGCCCAAGCAAGATTCGAAGGGGGTGGTTGAAAGCTTGGCGCCAACGCAGCGCGGCTGAGGAGCAGTTAGGTGGGAGCAAAGTAAACAAGACGCGCACACAGCATCGTCCGGCAGGGCGGCGGTCTGGCGAGGCGGGCGGGCGCAGCAGACAGCGCAGACAGGTCAGACAGGCCAGGCGGCGCGGGTGCTGTGTGTTGAGCGTTGGAGCGGTGCCGTCAAAGTGTGGGTAGTGGAGCGTTGTGAGGCCCGTTCACCCAAAGGCCAAAGGTTGGCTGCATCTGGGAAATTGCTTGTCGGCCGATCCCCAGCTTGCCACCCACCCGCCTGCAGCCTCGAAAGAGTCCCCATAATTCACCTGTCCTGTATATACTACAACTACTGGACTCTTATTTTTTTTCTCTAGTACTACTCTATTCTAGCATGCACTGCCAGCGCCTGCACTGCCTGCTCTGCACAGCCACAGGGCCGCTCTGTCGCCACAATGCGCTGGCTGGGCCATGGTGGTCAAGGGCTTTAATAACCTGACGTAGCCTCACCTGTATCTGCGCCATTGTGTGCTGACATACATGCTGCACACTACCTACTACTTGCATATTTACATACTGACGTAGTAGTCCCATCTGCTTACACGCTAGTTAAGTTACCCCCGCTTACCTAATCAGTCTACCCTCTGCGCCAATACCACCCAGTCCCCGCACCCACCACCAAAACCCCTCTCACGATGCGTCTCTTCCTGCTGCCCATCTCCACCCGTCGCTCCCTCATCTACTGCGAGAGGCTACATGAAAAGGCCCCAAAGGATCGCTCCCTCTATGACAAAATTACCCTCAAGGCGAGCGAGACGTGGGTGGCTTGGGAAAAGGATCAAAAAGCTGTGTGGGACTGGAAGCGCAAAGTGACTTTCTACGGCAACCAGGCATTGACGCGCATCCCCTACGAAGAATGGGGCCTCAAGACCATCCCCGCCCTCACCGCCAAGCGGAGGCAGGAAATCCTCGACGGCAAGGCAAAATATGAAGTCCTCTTCCCAGGAAAATATCTGCCCCAGGAGAGGGTCCCCAGCCTGCTCGAGAAGCTGGCCAAGGAGAGGCAGAACATGCACCGCACCAAACTCATCTGGAGTGTCGTCATCATGCCCTTCACTGCCCCCTTCATGCTCGTCCCCATCATTCCCAATCTGCCCTTTTTCTACGTACTCTACAGGGCCTGGTCGCATTGGAAAGCCCTCGGCGGCGCACGACACCTCGAATTCCTTCTCAAGCACAACCTCCCCAAACACAATCCGTCATGGACCCTGGACGAACTCTACACCGCCGGACTTATGTACCCCACCCGTGCTCTTTCCCGCGCCGCACCCCGCCCAACTCCGCAGCAGGCCCAACAAGTGGCCGCCGTGGTCCACCAGCAGACCAACAACGAGACCGAAGACGTCATGGTCCTCCAGCGCTGGAACGGCAAGCTTATTGCTGAGCAGTTCAATCTGCCGGACATGGAGGTCGAGATTGAGCGGGCTGTCAGCCAGGTGGAAAAGGCCATCAAGTCAAAGGAAGAGCGCATGGAGGAAAAGATCGAGCAGGAAATGGCTGCTGGCAGCAATGGCACTCGAGCCAAGGATGCCCTACCCAAGGAAATTCTTGAAAATATCCAAAACAAGGCCGAGGATATCGCTGAAGATACCAAGGCTGGTATGAACAAGGCTCACTAACTTTGAAGATACTTGAACGAAGACGATGTATAATTTCCACGAAATGAGACATGTACCATATTGCGCTGGGCGTTGGGAGGATTTTTGATATATTATACCACACATAGAAGGATCACCACATCTGTACGAGTAGATGCCCTGCGAAAGAAATACAAAAAAACGGTCGTTACGATCTTGTGATCCTGGAGTGATGCAACAGCACAGGACTCCAGGCTTACCCATACGTCTCCATCACAGCTCACTCTTATCTCCACGAAACTGGTCCAATTTCTCCTTCTCCCAAACAGTCGGTCCATCGTACCCATACAGTGGATCTTTCTTCAGCCATTCTACATGGCCCACCGCTTCTGCTTGGCTTTCCTCGCTCTCTTTTCCATAGCACATATCCCAGCTACATCCCTTTGGATAACTCCCCACCATGGTGAACCCCCCGTCTACATCTTCCACCAACCGATGTCCAACCCCAGCCGGCACAAGCACGGCATCTCCCGCGCTTACTTCGGCTTCTACCTTACCCGGATTAGATTCTCCTCCGAAAAGTAGTCGAGCACGCCCAGAAAAAATACACAGAAACTCGTGCGTCGTTGAGTGGTAGTGTGTCGTCGAGTACATTGTGTAGCGCCATTGCGGGGAAAGACCGTTACGGGAGACATGGCTTTCTAGCGTCGAAGGAGAAGTTGACGGAGGAAAAGCTGAATGGTAGATTATAAGCGGACGGCCGTGTGGTGTGGTGTTTGGAATCAGGGCATGAGAGGGAATGTAGTGTGCGCTTATGCGCAGGGCAGATAGCGGCGTGAGGTGTAAAGAAGACATTTTTTTCTTGGCTTCCTTTTCTTAAAAAGCTTATTCGGTTTGGTTTTACATCTGTGTAAGATCCTCAGAGGTCCGTTATCAGATTAGGAAAGTAATATGGGATTGGGATTGAGGGGTGTACCCTGGAGATGACACAGATTTATGATTGCGGGAATACGTCATCGGACAGGGAATAGAATTGATGGATGGGATGCTTGAGTGCAAATGACTGATTCCCCATCCCTACAAGATTGATTGTAGATCATCCAATTCAAAATACTCAACGATGGCCATTGGGGTCTATCCACTTTTGAAAAATGTTTAGCATCTCTGAGATTCGCCACCCGCATGAGTTGCTCCATCTGTCACCGAAAACAAGAGTAAAATAAGTGGCAATAGCATCTCTCAAATTCATAGTCACAAAGTCCAATACGGTGGAACTTCTGACATTGATATAGACAACATATGTCCCATGCTCTATTGATAGTAAAGGTACTTGGACAACACTGTACTGAGCTAGATTGGTCAGCCAACAGCACTTCTCCAAAGACCCTCCCTCACGACTACCCTGCATATGCACGAGTAGTCGTGAGAGTATCCATTGCCCAAAAGCGGTCTATCAGTCTCCCCGGATATAAAATCCCGGTGGTTTTGGGCTGAACGAAGGCGGCTCTCGGTGTACAACGAGGCTACGTGAGCGGGACCCTTGCGGGTGCCAAGCCTCCCAGCCTAGCTCGGTGCTGCCTGAACAACTCAAGCACGCTGAAGTGACTCTCAAAACGTCGCCGCCTCCTACTCCCTTCTGGCATCTTCGTCTTGCACCTCTCTCCCTTCTCTTCACTTTGTGTCGACGGGAAGTGCATACACTCCACTTAAGACGGAAGCCGAGCGCTCGGTATCTCTTGGACTCCCCACCGGCCGCCCATCACTCTCCTCCACTCCGCCTTCTCCACACATAACTACCTTTACTCTCGCAACCGTCTCCACTCCACCAAGAGCTATAAACATCTCCGCGCCTGTGGCTGTTTGCTCCGTAATACGCTTGTCTGCGACACAGCGGCTCCGGTCCCCAGGAAGCTCCTCACGCGCAAGTCGCCCCCGACGAGTGCCTAAGAGCACGCGAGGTTACACTCCAATATGGCCTCTTCTATGCCACCCGTCCCTGCAAAGGACGATGTTAACGCTACGTAAGTACCTTTACATACTTGATACGTTCCTTGTGCCTTTTCCATATGCTTGTGCAAGACGCCGCGGCGAAGCCCGGATATCCTGCAGCAAGACCACTCACGAATAGTCTAAATACATCATGTTCAGCCCTCAAACCACGCGATTCACTTTTACAAGAGCAACCTGAGGGCGACATCCAAAGCAATAATGATTCCTTCTACCTCAACATTTACGTCATAGCTGAATTGGGACCATTTGCTAATGATTCACAGGTGGAAATATCTCGAAGCCGGCGTTGACAAAATCATGACCAACCTACGCGAGGGCGTCGATATGAAGACATACATGGGACTTTACACGGCGATCCACAACTTTTGTACCGCCCAGAAGGCTGTGGCGGGCTCTTCATTCCACGCCGCTAACAACCGCGGAGGAGCCCATCTGCTCGGAGAGGACCTCTACCAGCACCTGATTGAATATCTTAAGGCACATCTTGCACAAGTACAGGCAGCGTCACGGCAGCATGTTGACGAAGCGCTCCTCCATTTTTACATCAAGGAGTGGAATCGGTACACGACCGCTGGACAATACAATAACCATTTGTTCCGTTACTTGAACCGCCATTGGGTGAAGCGCGAGATGGACGAAGGCAAGAAGAACATCTACGACATCTACACACTGCATTTGGTACGCTGGAAGGAAGATATGTTCACTGGCAGTCAAGAGAGCGTCATGCGGTCAGTGCTCAAGCTTGTCGAGAAGCAGCGAAACGGCGAGACTATCGAACAGTCGCAAATCAAGTCAGTCGTAGATTCTTTCGTTTCGTTGGGTTTGGACGAGGCGGACAGTTCCAAGTCAACGTTGGACGTTTACAAGGAGTACTTTGAGAAGCCTTTCCTACAGGCTACAGCAGAATACTACGACAATGAGTCAAAGCAGTTCCTTGCAGAGAACAGCGTGGTAGAATACATGAAGAAGGCCGAGATTCGCCTGGAAGAAGAGAAGGAGCGCGTCCCCCTGTACCTGCTCAACGAGATAATGTCTCCGTTGATGCGAACATGTGAACAATCGCTCATCACAAACCACTCCCAAGCCCTCCGCGAGGAATTTCAAATTCTCCTCGACCATGACAAGGAAGAGGATCTTGGCCGGATGTACAAGCTGCTCGCCCGTGTTCCCGAGGGCCTTGATCCTCTGCGTCTGCGCTTCGAGAACCACGTCCGCAAGGCTGGCTTGGCTGCTGTTGACAAGATTGCGCAAGATGGCGAAAACATTGAGCCCAAGGTCTATGTCGAGGCACTCCTTGAGGTTCACACTCAATACCAAGCGCTCGTCAACAAGGCCTTTAATGGAGAGTCTGAGTTTGTACGTTCGCTGGATAATGCTTGCCGTGAGTTCGTGAACCGAAACAAGATCTGCAAGTCGGGCTCCAACAAGTCACCTGAGCTTCTCGCAAAGTATGCCGATACACTGCTGAAGCGTTCCAACACCAAGATGAGCGAAGAAGACGACATGGAGAAGCTCCTCACACAGATCATGACTGTCTTTAAGTACATCGAGGACAAGGATGTGTTCCAGAAGTTCTACTCGCGCATGTTGGCCAAGCGTCTGGTCCAGACGACATCCGCGTCCGACGATGCTGAGACCAGTATGATTTCCAAGTTGAAGGAGGCTTGTGGTTTCGAATACACCAACAAGCTGCAGCGCATGTTCCAGGACATGCAAATTTCCAAGGATTTGAACACTGCTTTCAAAGAGTGGCAGGCTAACAACCTGGATGAGGCGGATATCAAGACCAACGTCGACGCATCGTACCACATTCTTGGTACTGGTTTCTGGCCGCTGAACCCACCCACCACACCATTTACTCCTCCTCAACTCATTGTTCAGACTTATGACCGTTTCTCCCGCTTCTACAACCACAAGCACCAGGGCCGTAAGCTGACATGGTTATGGCAGCTGTGCAAGGGAGAAGTCAAGGCCAACTACTGCAAGGTTGCAAACCTGAAGACCTCGCCAACCTTCCAGGTCTCAACGTATCAAATGGCAATCATGTTGCTGTTCAATGACAGCGACACCGTCACGTATGATGAAATTGCCGAGTCGACCAAACTGAACAAGGAGACTCTTGACCCCAGTTTGGGAGTATTCATCAAGGCCAAGGTTCTTCTCACTCAGCCCGAGAATGCCAAGCACGAGTCTGGTACCGTCTACAAGCTCAACACTGGCTTCAAGACCAAGAAGGTGAAGATGAACCTGAACATTGGTATCAAGTCTGAACAAAAGGCCGAAGCAGAGGACACACATAAGACGATTGAGGAGGACCGCAAGCTACTTATTCAGGTATGTACCTTCTTTTTTAGTTCTCACATTGAACATTATACTGACGTCGCCACAGTCGGCCATTGTGCGTATCATGAAGTCGCGAAAGAAGATGAAGCACCAGCAACTCGTGTCTGAGACAATCCAGCAAATTAAGAATCGCTTCATGCCTCGCGTTCCTGACATTAAAAAGTGTATAGATATTTTGTTGGAGAAGGAGTACCTGGAACGTCTGGAGGGCGATGAGCTCGGTTACCTAGCATAAAGTAGTTTCATGGAAGGCTTAAGGGAAGTATGTCAGGCATTCTTGAGTAATGAGTTATGCGGTTCCATTTTCATGGGTTGGGTGTCCATTCAACATCATTGCGTTTTCCATGATGGTTTATCATTTTGGCGTTTTTTTGTAAAGGCAAGCAGCAATGAATGGGTGGGGTATTTCACCTATAGGGGGGGTATAGGGGTCATAGATGTGGATTTACGGTTATCAGCATCATTGTTTACGCCTTGTCGGTGTGCCTTTTTGGATGAAAATTGAAAGAGTGTAAATCGGCACATGTAAAGTCCAGGCTCATCATTACACATGTGTGTTGTTATTTCTATCTCAAAAACATAAATACTTAGACATTACTTCCTGGACCTCCCCCACATTCCTCCTAGCCCTCTCCCTAAATCGTCTTATTCCTCTTCGGCCACGCATCCACCAACCCCTCGTAAACCTTCACCTCGCCCACCTGTACCTCCTCCTCTCCTTCTCCCTCCACGAAAACCCCAACACCCTTACTATCCGCATACCACGGCCTCACCCACGTACTCAGAGCAAACCGATCATTCGCATGCACCTCCACCACACCACCATCCACCACAATCGTCAGATTCAGTGTCTCAATCCGCGAGGCATTGACGTGACTTGGTAAATCGAACAGCCGGAACAAACCCTCCTCATCATACGTAGGTATACCCTGCGTCGTATTCGCCGCCGCAGACGAACTCCCACGTTCCACACTGAGCCGCTCGGAGCCGATATCGTACACAACACGAGTCGTCTCATGCGCGCCCGAGAGGATCGTAAGTCCCGCCTTCAAACCCGGTGTGCGCGCGGGAAAGGTCAGAGAGGCAGTAAGCATGTAGTGATTCTCCTTGGGGATCTGGGGTAGTTTGCATTGCTCGCCAGGAGAAAGCTCATCTGCAGGCAACGTGATTACGTTTGTTGCCTTTGCCTTGAACGCAGTCGTAACTTCCCGTGCGATCTTCTGGCACAATGTCGCAAGCCGTACTGTGCCCTCTCCGCTCTCTCGCTCGATCCTCCACGCCCCGGTTTCGCGGGCTAGCGGTGTGTCGAGCACGTCGATGTAGCAGCGCGATAGCTCACGCGGGAGAAGCAGGGAGCCCGTCCAATTTTGCTGGGCTGTGGGGAAGGCGGATGTGCCGTAGAGATCGCCCGTGAGCCAGAGATACGTGATTGCGCGATCGGGGGCGCCGCTCGCCCAGCTAGGCTGCGAGTCTGCGGAGAGAGGCTTGCCGGCTGCCGCGTAGGCGGAGCGGCCTGCATCTAATCTCCCCGCCATTGTCGGTTCAAAAGTTAGTTTGCCGTCGATGAGGGACTGGGTGCCAGCGACCCAGAGCATGTCTCTTTCGTCGGACACTTGGGGCACGATGGGTGCGTAGCTCCATTCTGCGCCTACGGTTAAAAAGGTTTCGCCAGTGGAGGGATTTGCGCCGTGCTCGTCGAGGGAGAAGATGTTTGCGACTTCGAAGTTGAAGCCCCAGCGACCGGCCCAGTTGGATTCGGTCCAGGTGGTGTTGGCGGCTTCGTGCCAGTATTCGCCTAGATACTCCCAGGTTTGGAATGAGGCGGCGTCTGAGTCGTCGTATTGGGCGTAGAGGAAGAGACTGGGGCCTACACCGTGGACACCGCCGGAGATGAGGGTGTACCATGTATCTTTTTTCTTGCTGAGAAGAGAATCAAATTGTGGGCTTTGGAATACGTATGGGTCTCTGAATCCCGTTACGTTGACGGCGAAGGGAGGGCTAGGGATAACAGGGCCGAACTTGGCTTTTGTAAAGTTTTTGCCGCCGTCCGTGGCATAGGCTAGTGATTGTGTTTCGCTCCCCTTTGTGTAGCGGATTGTCCATTGGATGGGGAGGTAGCTGACGCTTGTGTAGAGGAGCGTAGGCGTGCCGTTTACGCCCTTTTCAATCACACTCCCGTCGAAGACTGCAATGGGGTCGTTTATCCCGCCTGCACGGATGAACGGCGCGGAATTGGGATTCAAGTCCTTGTACGTAACCAAATCGCTCGTCGTCGCGCCCGATGCCCCCAGATGCAGATATCCGACATGGAAAAGCCCAGTGGCAGGATCCGTATAATGCATACACGGATCTCCGATCTGGCCAAACGCCGGTAGAACATGTGCTTTGGGTCTCCAAGTTTCGAAGAGCGAGTTATTCGCTAGGGTAGAGAGATTGGGTGGAGCGGCATTGTAGTCAATAGTCGTAGGTTGACGGACCAGAATCCGACTTGTTGCTTCCATCGCAAACGACAACACTACCACCAAATCGCGTGACGACGAGAACTTCATGGCTGCAATAGTATTACTACGCTTTCACGCAGCGAAAGCGAATTGCTCTTTCAGCAAAGCCCAACAACCCAATGCGCGACCTCCGCCATCTTTTTATCTGCCGTTCAAGAAGATGGGGAAAACAAGCTTGCTTAACCCGAATCGCAATAAGCAGCCTTGGCTTTATGACGACAGTTGCGATTTACTAGGACGGTTGTTGCGGAATGTTCTTGCGGAGGGTTTTTTTACCCCACAATAGGTCCGAAAGATCGGAGACGTTGCGATAGTTAGGCTGTTGGTTTATTGGTTACGTAGTTTTGCTGGCCGACCCACCGAAACGAGTAACGTCCAGTCGTACGTCGGACCGAGAGGTTGGTTTGCGGGCGCGTTGCTCGTTGAGTTTGCATCCGGGTGGAGCGGACGGTGCCAGTGGAATAGTTGTGCTTGGCGAGTTGGGGTACATGGATAAGATGGTGTTGCCAGCGAATCAGTTCACCGGATTTTCTATTTGTTATCTTTGTTGTGACAATGCGGTGTATAATGCTGTATTTTCTTGGCGCGTAAGGACAATGGGATGCAAGCTACTTCTCTTGTGCAACTAGATTTCAGAGAAAATATTCTATTGCAAATTTCTCATCAGTATAGGCAGGGTAGATACACATAATGAGAGGGATCAGCTCTGTTTTCGGTCTCTGCTCCAGAAATGTGACAAACGGTCAACAGAGTCTGCTGGCGGTGGGTTCAGTGGGGTCTATGGCCTGATTCATGGTACCTGGAGGAGGATCGAATGCATCATTGTCCAATAAGTTGTAAGCAAGAGCAAACACGTGTGCATGAACAGTCAGGCTATCCATATATTGAGTGTATCTAAAGCAAAGACATGAAGATTACTTACCTACATCACTCGACCTTGTCCTACATTGACCTTCGTCTTGGCATCCAGAGCACCCTAGAGAGCTACTCCCAAGCGGTTTCTTGTGAAAAGTGTAGCAGCTCATGCAGAGGCCGTATCAGTAGCAGCTCACCAGATATCGGATGAGGGTGACAAAAGGTGATACATTACAAGAAGGTGAGACTCATAGGCGGTACAAAAACAGAGTCGGGTCGTGTGCAGAGACAACCATCGGCCTCGTCTGTATCCGAAAAGGATTTGACAAATTCCTAATAGGGTGCTGGGCTGGCCGAAAGCAGTTCCAAGGTACTGTTGGCAAACTATTGTAAGACGGCCAAGTAGGACGGGTTTGGCGAGAGCAATGCGATGATTGGCGGGCCTCGTGACAGACAGCTCGGTTGCATGCCCCGTTACGTCAGCCGTGCCACGCGTGTCTCTTGTGGCTAGCCCTCCCGCAATTCCAGAACGTGAACGCGTGCGCCGTCGATGAACTGTACCGTAGTTCACCTCGGCCTCGGTTCGCCATGGGGTGCCTCTCACCTCTCTTATGAACCGTGACTTCTTGCCGTGCAGCCTACTCTACTTAATTGTCGTGGGCATCGCGACACCCAGACCCCACCTCGTCGTGCCCACTCACTCCCCTGACACTCCCCTTCGCCTCTCTGCTGCCTGCGCCCACCTCAGCCCATACATCCACATCCACACCTCAGCCCGCCCCAGACTGTGGCAACCAAGTGCGTCTGTGACCTACTTGTCTAAATAAATATCACCGTCTTCTTCTCCCTTCGACAAGCCTTACCAGAACCGCTTTCAACTACGACTATCCATATGATCATGGCAACCTTTCGCGAAGAAGCCGCCATGTCGGACCACCCGAATGTCCATATGCGCAACCAACACGAGTACACCTACCGTTTACCCGCGCCGCCTCGGATCGCTGTACCCCCGCCCACGCTTGTCTCCGACATGCCGGGCCTAGTACTAAGCGATAGCTCCGGTGAAGAGTTGGACATGACCTTTCTGAAAGAGCTAGACCTTGAGCATATAGTACATAAGAATTCACTGCTCGAATGGGCATACGAACGGCGGAGACAGGCCCAGATGATCTTGCCCTGGCTGTATCTTGGACCCATGATGGCAGCCAAGGACAAGGCCTTCCTCGAGCGCGAAGGCATCACCATGGCCCTGGCCGTTCGTGCGCAACCTAACAGTCTGGTGGGCGCAATGCAAGCGGCTAGCGAAGTCTGCCTTGAAGTGGGCAGTATCGAGGCCCTTACCTTTTACGCTCTTACACCCAAATTCCCTGAGGCGACTAGGATGATCAACACACACGTGGCAAAAGTTCGACAGCACACATTACAAACCAAGGGCGAAGCCACGCTCGGCAAAGTCCTTGTCTTCTGCGAGTCCGGCAACGAGAAGTCAGCAGCAGTCGTAGCCGCTTACCTAATGGAGACACTAAACGACTTCAACCACGTCAGAGCCATGCAAATCTGTCAGGCACAACGCTTCTGCTCTAACTTTGATGATACACTCAAAAACATATTACGCTCGTATTGGGATATCGTTGGAGCACGACGTGCTATCGCCGCCTCGCAATATCAAACACCACATCGAAATGTCCAGAGCAACGGCCATCCACAGCCCGACTCACTATCACCTACACTGTCATCGTCGAAGCCCAAGCGATCACTGGAGGAAATGCGAGACGAAGATGCTGACATGGATAGTGACGTAGAAGCATCAGACGCACTTCGCTTTGCCGATCGCGATGTGACCCCTTTCCAGGACCGCTAGCTAGCTAACATGTCCCTAGGCGTCTGGTGGGTTCTTGAGGTCTCTCTTTGTTTAGGTGTCGTTTCTTTAAGCATTATACCCAGCATGATACAGGGCGTTTGGCGGTTGGTGTTGGGACTGGACAAGTTTGTCATGGTTTATGAGAATCAATCAGCGCATGTTACACGAGCAGGCATGTGATAGACTCCTGTCTTAAGAATAGCGTACGGAACACCTCAGAGTAGGAATTGGTTGTTGGTTTTACTTTATGAAAACGTTCAAACATGATTTTTTAGTTTTTGTCATCTGAAGCTTTTGTGTCAATTGGTGATTCCGATCTTCTTTTCTGGTTTGCTCACTTCTTGCGCACCGACCATGGGCAACTAGCAATTCGCGATCTGGTATCTTATCACAAAGGTGCCACAAGCAAGGGGAAGTATGCCTCTATTGCGACTTGTACTATGTTACTTTTATATCTAAGGTCCTATGAGTAATATCCTCCGCACATGTTTGAAACTACTATCTCTATATTTTTTTTTCTCCATATGGGCAGCTGTTGAAGCCGCCTAGTCCACCGTATTATCTCAACGTCTATTCTCTTGAGGGTGTTGCCTACTTGTACCAGAACTATAGCTGAGGAGTGAAGTGGACGAAGACTCGTGTCGACCACCATGGCATCTTCGCCTGCACTACACTGTTCGCTCATGGTGTTCTTAGCTCACCGCACTCTACGCACTCTAAAAGCTAGCAATTACTGACTTCCATCTCGACCCAGGTTCTCTCAACTGTCAAATGCAGGCCGAATGAATAGTAGTACCATGGAGTCTCTTGCGGAGATATTGTAAAGCAGTCCTGTACTCCCAAAGTCTACACATATGCCGCATTTCGGAAAGTATTGACAGTTAACCATAGTCTACTTGTTGGGGTTACTATCAATAACATCATCGTCGCGGATCTGAGAGTGAATTGAATTACCTGGAACGTGATAGGCACAACGGTGACGGTGAGGTCGACGTCCCACCAGACCCAAAGTCTTCAGACCAAAAGTCACCCAGCCATATCCAATACCTCATATCCAGGGACTCCATAGACTTACTACCATCCTATCACTCTGATATATAGTCGCCTTTCCGTCCATGTTCATCATTTCGTACTTCTCGTACTGACGTAGCTCCTTATCACATCCATCAGTCCCAGCTCTCACCACTATCATAAACATCGGCATCTTACTCAACCGATTATATCATCCATCCAAGACAAAGCTCCAACATGGCTAGGGAAAGAGCCTCTAAACACAGCGCAGTCGTGAACTGGCTGAATCCTACCCCCCCTAGGTATCCACATGATCCCCCCAACATCCTCTCCCTCAACCAAGCATTACAGCTGGTCGAAAGCGTAAGGGACGCTGAATCCAAACGACCACGCAAAAGGAAAGCTACTCCCCGCCAAAACCAGCGAGACTGTCACCGATGTAGCGAGAAAGGTCATGCAGCAAAGGATATAGCCGAAGACGGCTCTTTCAAGGTACATTATTCCCAATCCTTTATCTCTACTCCCCCTCATCATGCTCATCCAAATCTCGAAAAGAAAAACCGGCCTAGGAAGCCAGCCCCCTAACTCACTCTGTGCCATTAGTGTCCCACCCGCATCACCGACGCCCAAACCATGTCAGCCGAACTCTCGCGTCTCCATGCAGAATTCACCGCCGAACTCGCCACTCTACGCCAAAAAGACGAACAAAAACAACAACAACAACAACTCATCCATCAACAAAATCGAAATCAACAAGTTCAACAGAATGTATACCAACACCCACGCCACCAACAACAACAATCCCTATACCATCGTCTCCGCTACCACCACCATCTCTACCGCCAACCCCAAACCCAAGCTTCCTACCTCAGCACCCTCCAAAAACGCAACCGCAACCTCCCCATCTGGTCCACAAACTACTTCGCTCTTTACCGCGCACTACAGCGCAGATCGGGACTAGCGCGGTTTGTAGGTTATAGTGGTAAGTCGCATTTTGTGCGTTTATATACCGAGGGGTTGAGGAAGTATGTTGAGGAGACGAGGGAGAAGCAGGAGAGGGAGACGGAGAGGGAGAGTGAGGGGAGAGAGGTGTTGTGGCCGAATGTGCAGGTTGTTGTTGGGAGAGGGGCGGTGGGGATGTGAAGGGGGGGATATAAGGATAGAGGGGGATGTTTTGGGTGTGAGGGTGGTGGGAATGAGGTTGTGTGTTGGATGGTGAGGGCGTTTGGAATAGTGCGTGGAGATGCTCTGAGGTTTCGATTGTGTTGTACCTAATGTACTTTAGCTAGGATTTTGTAGACTGGTTTTACGGTAATACAGAGAAAGCATGTTCAGTCAATAACCTCACTTGCGAACCTAAGTCCATGTGACATAAGTATGCACATACATATTCATTCTCGATCCAAAAGTACCCAGGGTATAAAACTTCCATCTCTCATCTATCCCACCCATTACCCACCAAACTCCATCTTCATTTCTTCTTTTCCTTTAACTGAACTGATCCCCATGTTCACTATCCCCTCCAATCCTCCTCCCCGCAATCCTGCCCTGACTCAACTTCCACCGCCACCGCCTCTCCCTCTCCTCCTTCTCCCGCTCTTCCCTCTGTCTCTTCTTGCGCTCGTACACAGCCCTCACGGTACGCTTGGTGCGTTCAGCACCCTCATTGTAGTTCGCCCGCGCAAGATCAACAACGCTGTCGATTTGCTCGGGGGTGTACACAAAGTTCCATGTTGACATGAAATCGCTCACCTTGGGGTCTGCACCAGGCACTTTTGGATTGGCAAGGAAGGGAAAGTAGATGACCGTGAAGCCGGAACTTGGGTGCATGAGCTCCCAGTCTTCTTCGACTTGCTTGCTTTCTGGGGATGCAGAGTCAGAAGTACGCTCTTCAGTAGTTCCGACCCAGATGTTACAGTAACCCAAGTCCTCAATCTTCTTCTTGCTGGGTCCATCCTTTTCTTTGGCTTGTTCGAGTTTTTCTTGGGCTTCTTGTTCGGTTTTGGCTTCGGCGCGGTCGAGGTCTTGTTGAATTTCTTCCATTGACTCGTGAGCGGGTGGCCAGCCTGCACCAACTGGCCATCCCTTGATCCCGCGCTGCCGAGCATATCCATCGGCAACTTTGAGCCAGTTGTCGGTTCTCACATCGGCAGAAGCGTCAAAGGCGACAAGTATATCCACGTTGCGTCCTGGGCGGAGCAGGGGGTAGATAGGCAGGTTATTGGACATGCCAGCATCCATGAATTGAAAATTCTTTTGTTGAAAGATGCTTTCGGGACAGGTCGAAGGAAGAAACTCGCGCATGCCTAGGGCATAATTTGGCATTGCAGCAGGATCAATGGGATGGACTTTGACAAGGTCATCATCCCGCTCCGCAATCATGGCGTCTATGCTACTGCCCAGACCTGTCAAGCTGCGCATGAGAGGACGAATTTCGCGGTAATAGTGTGATAGTGTTGCGCAGAAAGCGGATCCCCAAATACCCATAAGCAGTGGGACGCGCACTTCGGGCAATGCTAGGCCGTTGTCTCGCCAGACGGTTCGGCCATTCTGGAAACGGCGACCCATTGCCCATGTTGGTATACCGGCTGATAGCTCCTCACACCACATCTCATATGGGGTAAATTCAAACCACTGAAACCAGGCCTCCTTTCTCGCTTGCGCTTCTGCCTCGATAGCACTCTTGTCGTCTGACTGTTCGGCGAGAGGAATCTCATGACGTACGGCAGTGTAAATTGGGAGTGGTTGTGAGCCATTGTCGGTGAATCGTCGCTGATTTGATATCTTGAAGTCGTACTCGCTGACAGACAGCTCGCCTTTGGGTACGAGCAAGCGCGCAGCAAGCAGAGCACCATATATGTCTACAAGACCAAAGTCGGCGTCTGGGATGCCCTTTGCCTTTTCTACGAGGCCGCTTAGTAGATACTTGCTCGTTGGGGCACTGACGAGCAGTTCAAGTGCATCAGGGGGAAAAGCAATGTGTACGCCAAGCCTGTTCTTGAGATGACGAATCATACGAGCATGGCTACGTTGGCTGAGCTCTGAGTAGTAGAGTGTCTGCAGCCAGCAGCTGCCGCTGACTCCCGCCGTGTAAGTCACACAGTCGAAGAGACCTGCTTCCTTGGTGGACAAGTACGAAGATGTGCCAGCAACAAGAGCGCGCAGTCCTCCTCCAGAACCACACATTGCAATGACGGGGACATCGTCGGGATGGATTGTGGCTTCCGGGATATCAAGGTAGCGCGCAAGCGCAGCCTTGGTGAAGTGTGCACGCTTCTCCAAGAAAGATTTTTCTTCCTGGCACAGCTCGTTGGAAACCCTGACAGAAGCATCCCAGATAATCTCTGGGTTGATCTCGGGATCATTGGCCTCGCGCCATATCTCTTCGGCCAAAGAGCCCGGGGCCATGGAGAGCTCATTCTGCAGCTTGCGGATGAAGCCGGGCATGACCTTGACCCAATTGGGCACAATGTAGTCAATGATGGTGTCGCCAATCTTGGAAGGGGAGGGCGACTTTGGGAATTTGTCCGTGATGGTCTGCCAGGCGGACTGACTCTCTCCGGTTCGGTTGTCACCCTCATCCTCGCTGCCGTAGCCCTTCACAACGCGAGTCTGGGGTGGTGCGTCCTGCTCTCCTGACTTGCCCTCGCCTTCTTTGTTTATCTGCCTTTCGGCATCCCCAGCGGACGTAGTTTCGGTCTTGGCATCATCACCACCACCAAATATGTATCGCTTGAGAGACGGCGCATCGAGTTGAATGGGACGTAACAGCGGGTATGGAGAGTATGGAGATATCAAGTAGCCAGTGGCAGCCGTGGCAAGCAGGCAAGGAGGGCCATAGCGAAGACCGAGGGTGGCTGCCCTGGACCTGGAAGACAGGGAATAGTGTTTTGTGTGCAGGCTGGATAATTAGCATGCGATAGTGGGGGGATGGATTTCTAGGTGGACGCACCCACGACGCGTCCCACACTGCCAAAGTTGGCCCAAATTGCGTGTGTTCCTATAGCTGGCCATGCGCGAAGATAATGACAAGAGAGCGTGTGGTGTGAAGGCTTGCAAGGAGCATGGGCAATGTGTGCATGGGAACCACCCACGACTGGGGTGATGGGAAAGACCTCAACATGACATGCCAGAATCCCACCACACAAACTGGTTGTGGATCCCGTCGATCGAACCACGGCCCGCATGTCGTATGCCAAGCCCTGCAGGAACATCCACCAGCTGGCCAGAACACCCCACTTATCTTTGCCCATTGCACGTGATACCAGTACCAGATTATTAGCAAGTTTGTTGTGGCAGCTCCTTAAGCCATTGCCCTGGAAAACAACCCAAAGGTTTTTGAAACGGCTTGTTGTATAGTCTTGTATAAAGGCCTTGTTTGGATAGCGAACAACAAGATCTGGTCAGCAACATCAACAGTTGACGCACACGACGTGGAGTTGTCCACTCATACACTAGTCTGCATTAGCAAAGATGCCCCGTGGGAACGGCTACCAGTAAACGGCAGGTGTTACGGACACGGCATCAACTCCGGTTTTATTGTTGCCAATGGGAAGTATGTCGACTGAAGCTGGATTCTGTGTAATGGCATCTTGATCAAATACATGACATATTACTCACAAGCCTGTGCGCGTTTCACTGATACCCTTTTACATATGTACACTTTACAGCCGAGATTGGTACCTGCTGCCCGTAATCGGGTTGCGGTTTTCGACTTTGATTTTTCCTCACAACACGGGCCTCGTAGCAAGTTTTTTTCCTGTATTAGCGTCTTGTAGGGATGTTTGGGTCTGTTGCGCGCTCATTAGGAGGATGAAATACAATTCCGATTAACTACAGTGTAGTAATTCATAAGCGTTGAATCGACCTGCTAGCCAGGGGATATCTGACATCCACATCAACGTCTAACATCATATACCCTTCTCAGTATCCTTTTGTTTGTTTCTTTTCTTCCTCATCATCGTCTTCGTCCCGTCGAACCATTTTTTTCCATCAACTTTGCAACGTCCATCCCAAAACTTCGCTGTCTTCTTCCAAACATCACCAGCCCCTTTTAGTCCTCTACTCAATACTAATATAATCAGATATGCCGGCCCGCAAACACATATCATGACAATTGCAAATGTCGTGAGACTTGTCGATGTTGGTAGAATAGACTGCATGCCAAAGATGGATGTTGCAAAGCTAGCAGGCAAGAACACCATGGAGATAAGCGTGAGCACGTGGATATTTTTGCCTTGTGCGACAGTGGTGCGCGTTTCAAGGACTGAAGAGGCATTAAAAAGCTGTAATATGGCGTTAGAGCTTCAGTCCACCGGTAAACGAGGGTGTTGGGGAAGCACTCACACCGTCGCGCAGTGCCCGTATCTCCTCCTGCTTAGCGCTGTTATCTTTTATCATGCAGGCGAGCTGAGTCATTTGTTTTTGAATCTCATTTAGGTAAGGTATGGACGCAGTTCTTGTCGCAGCCGCTTCGCCATCTGAACTTGGAGGTGTGTGGCTTATTCCATCGTCGCCCGTATTGAGAAGATTCAGAAATGATGCTTTGTCATATATGTCCCAAATTCTAATAATTGAAGCAATACACTCGTTGACGAGACGCAAGGATTGAAGAGCCCAGAAGTAAGTCCGTGAGTTTGTGAAATCCTTGTTTTCGAACAGGAGAGATTCTCGCACCTCATTATTGAAGAGAAAGTCGTCCTGCCGGATACGGTCAGATTTGAGTTTTATGGATTTGGAGTATTTGCTCTGAGGGCAGACACTTACCGAGGGTGCAGAAACCGAGGATATCTGAGCTGCCACTTCCCTAAGACACCTCCTGACCTTCCTCAATTCACTATTAATGCCCCAGCAAAATGCTTCCACTCCGTTTTTAATTTTTCTACTTGATGCGTGGTCCCGATTGCAAGAGAGGATTAGGAGTCTCCATGGTAGTGCAGCAGACGTATTTGCTCCCTCTGTATCAGAAAAGCTCAATGCCACGGAGGAGCTTCCGCGGCAGATTCGAAGGTGTGGCAGATTCTTGTGGAAGGGACCCGACTGCTGACCCGGATAAACATCCTGGTCTTCAAATGAAATATAGTAGTACTTGAGGGAGAAGAACCAGATATTTCGCGGTCCTTTCCAACCTGGGTCAGGAAGATAGCCAGAAGATCCCCCCTGATTGATAAAGGTCGAGAACAGTCGTTCTAGATCAAAGTGGGAAGTCAGGCATAAGAGTAGTTGAAGTGTAGTAATTGGCGGAAGTGATCGTATCTGCATAACCCGTCCAAAGGCTTTGATTCCTCCCTGATGTATTTCCGCGAATCTATCGGTATTCTGGACAATTGGATTTCGTTAGTTATTTAGAAATCGGAGGGTTGCGATGGCTGTCATCGGCACCCGAGTTTTGTACCTTTAGTAGTGCCCACAATCCTTCAGCAGCTTTCGTGGGAGGTTGAAAAAAGGTGTTGCCTAAAGTATCTATGTCTGCTATAACGTAATAGCCATTTGTTTCCTCCTTTAGCTTTTGTTCAATTGTGCCGGCAACTGGTTCCGAATTCGTTTCAAGCAGTGAGGAAAGAAGCTGTTTAACTGCTGAGGCTTGAAATATTCTCCCATTCAGAATATCTCGAAGACAAGTCAAAAGACTATCTAAGTCAAATATCTCTGTGGGTAACACTGGAATTGGCCCTCGAGAATTTTGTATTCCATTAGAAGTATTGTTACTGCTAGCTGTGGGAGCCACGTCGACCATTGTGGTGGAAGTATCTGGGTCGCCGCACTCTTCAATTGGCTGTGAAATTTGGGGCAATTTCAAGATATAAGAGAGCAGTAGTTGGGAATGAAATTGGAGAAGTTCAATGAATGGTCTCTGAGATAGACATCCTCGAAGCCAAATGTGGTCTGACAGTAGAATGAAAGCTAGCGAAAAAAGAAATATGCGTACTGCGCCCTTTAAGCTCAGCCTGCACGCCACTTTGACGATTCGTCGGGCTGTCAAATGCACTAAAGCACTGCCCCATTCCTCTAAGCCAGCGCAACAACTTTGACAACTTGGCGCAGCGCCTGCTTAAAAGCACTGCCTCATTCAGCTGAACCAGCGTGTTCACTTTACTTGCATAGCGAAATGCCAGTCGCGAAAGAACACTGCACAAATAAGTTTATTTACCGTCCTCAGCCTTACTCCATTTTGAAGAACAGAGGAGAAACTGTTCGCCCATTGTCCAAATCATCCTAATCTTTTACCTATCTTTCTTCAAATTACACCTATCATCTCGAAATAGACATTTACTCGTCAAATCCTAGCTGAGGGCCGACTTATCTGAAAAATTCGAGCTCGAAATATTCACGGCCAAATGTGCGAAACAGAAGAGATCCTTCACTACGATGACTCTGGGCGATACGAACTCGGCCGTGGGGCCAAACCTTGTGAATAAGCCATCGTTGTCGGAACAGAAGTGACTTTTGCTGGCTCCGTGTCTAAGAAGATAGAACCTTGCCCCGAGTTAGTCTAAGATTGAAGCACAGCGAAAGGAGAATGTGTTTAGCATGGGTATCATTGTTAATGGAAAATACATCGGGATTACAGTATGCAGTAGCATGGAAGACGGTGGGGTTTCCTGCTCTACGATTAGCATAAGCCACTAACGTTTAACAGATTTTTGAGGGAACATACTACTGGGTGGTTACCAAAGAGGTAGTCATCATCGCAAATCAGAGGTAGACCTGATAGTAGAATACCTGAGACACAGCGGAAAAATAGACAAAGATGTAAAAGGAGCGTCGGTGCCACAAGCTCTAAGTCGACTAGTTAGAGTATTCTCGACAAGGCACAAAGTTTCGATAAGCACATTACACATATTTCAACTACTGTCAGGAAGCGCGAGCTCTGCACTACTACGCCACTGCAACCCGCAAAAAGAAATGAGTGTCCAACAACAGTTGGTTTGTGCAAGAGATAGTATATATATATCTTTAGAATAATGGTCTCCTGCCCTTTCTCCCAGGAAAACCGAAGAGATTGAATGCGGTATATATATACTCCTGAACTGATCCAAGCTGATCTGGCCTAAACGGTACAAGATATATTAGTCAGAGTGAATTAACTCAAATCCTTAGGATTTACGCAAGGTTCGGATAGGAGTATACACTATATGCACTTGAGTTTTGTTCCTCTGGCCCTAGGGGCATTCAATGGATCACCGGGGGTTGGCCTTCCTGGGTCTCAGTTCAGAGTATCGTGATAGAATAGTAGTTCGCCTGCGAGGCACTATTAGCTAATCTTCGTCCCTGTCTGACGGGAAAAACATCAACGTGTTAGGTCACATGGTGTGCTTGTTAATACTTCTTGTTCATTTGACATACTTCAACACGATCTTGCATTGAGATTTATTCAAGCAGGATCACCCACTCTAGTCGACACGCTAGTAAGATTTCAAGAGTACCCATTATTTGCAAAGCATTTGAAATGCTTCCTCAGTGTTATTTGTATTTGGCCTTGTGAATGCATAAAAGTGTATGTCTAACCACTTGATTGTGTAGCTCCTCTGAAACCATGCATTGCGTGCCTAAGACCAAAGCAGCTACGTGTTGCCGAGACAGGTATGAGGCGCAGACAGCGGCTGGCGGTGTCAGGAAACGGTGGCTCGTATTCCCGCTGCTGCTTGGACCCTTTGCACACGCAATGCATCCTTTTTATTGCGTACATAGTTTTTGCCGCAATATGCCGAGGCGAATGGGCATATGAGTGTTTCACAGAGCTGCATGATCTTCCCGACATGGCGCGGCATGCTTGTTCAGTCTGGGGGCGGACCACCGAGGACGGACCCTGGTTCGGGATAGCAACGTCTCCACGACAGCTCTCCACAAGGACCCCCTCACACATCATCATACGCCACCCTTATACACTCGAGCTATTTACCGTCCTGTTATTTATCAACTTTTAATGTACTAATCCATGTTCGCTTCATTCTTGCCCACCATTCTCTTATAATAAGGGTCATCCTCACTGCCGCCCACGCGTCCACATAGCCCCCGGGGCAGTCGCGAATCTTCCCAGCAGTCGCCATGGTCGCCCCACGCAGAACCGCGCTGCTTGAAGAGAGCGCCGAGGTTGAAGTGCTCTTCGCCAACATGGAGAAGATGAAGGCAATCACCAAGAAGATCCAAGGGTCCGTCAACCGACTGGATGCAAGCGGAAAGGCAGTCCAGGAAGCCATTGGGCCAATCTACGGCAACACCCAAAAGCTACAGATTGCAAACACAAATGTCGATCGCATCATCGATGCGATAGAGCGGCTCCGCGCGCCGAGGGAAGAAAGCGCCAAGGAGGAGAGGATCATTCGCGCCGGTCCCGGAAGAGGAGACCTTGACAGCTACATCGCTTCCCTGGACCGCACCAACCTCAACCTGCTGGACCTCAAGCGCACCAATCTACGTTCGAATGAACAAGCCATTACAGAACTCAGCGGACTGCTGAAGCTTGGCAACAAGCAATTAGAGGAAGTATTCCGGGGTATACTACAAGATAGCTGTAGAGAAAAGTTTCAGGCATTGGAATATGTCGCTAAGCGTAAGTCGATTGTATGCTGTTGGTGGAGAGACTCTGACCGTGTACAGAGAACCCATTCCCGCGCATGGCGCAAGACAAGCTACAGAGCCTGCGTAGCATCCACAACCACATTTCGAAGACGTTTGCGCAAACATCACAAGTCGACCTATCTCAGACACCTACACGAAGAATATATGCCGACGTTCGGGGCGAATATCTCGAGAGCACACTGAGAAGTTTAATGCAAGCATCGATAAGCACGGCTCGGAAAGTGCAGGCTGATGCTCTCTATAAGAAAGGCACAAATGGCATTGGTACCTATGTGCAGGCGATAGAAGGGCTTTTTGTGGCCGAGTTTGACAACCTCAACTACATCTTCGACCGGGAGGAATGGAGCGACGTCTACGTGTCGACATGCCAGGTCTCCTTGCAGGACTTTAGTAAAACGCTGCGCGAGCTCAACGGCCATATCCAGAAGAACATCTTGACAGACTGCTTCCTAGGATTTGAGATTTGTGGGCTGGTCCGGACACTTTCCATGAGGCTCCAGAAGCAAACAGGTGCACTTAAGGATCAAATTTATGACAGCGTCAAGCCAGTCCGCGAGACATCAAAAACGTCGTTGAGCAAGATGCTTGACGACACGAGATCCAACACACAGGGTCTTATTGCACTGCCGATTGATGGTGGCCCAGTAGAGATTACCACACAGACGATGCGACGATTACAGGAGATGACCAACTACCTAGAGCCTCTTTCATCCATCTTGGCATCGTTAGGCGAGGGCGGATGGAACGCTGCTTCGGCCAACAACTCATCGACAACATTGGATGTTGGGCCTGATGGTGTCAAGTTGTTTGGCTCTTATGCGGGCGACACAGTGGACACGCTGCTGCAAAACTTGAGCGGCAAGGCAAAGATGCTGCTCAAGGGCAAGAATCTGCAAGGCGTCTTCATGGCGAACAACATTGCAATCATTATGCGAATCATTCGTTCTTCCGAACTAGCGCCCCTGATGGAGAACTACTCCAAGAAGCTCGCTGATTGGCGGAAGCAGGGCACGGCCATGTACTTGGAGGCATGGCGAGAACCGTCTGGCTACCTGCTTGATGTGCAGTACACGAATCGTACCAAGGAGCGGCCTACTTCGAGTGGTGCTGACTCGGCGACCATTATCAAATCCCTGAGCTCCAAGGACAAGGATGCAATCAAGGAGAAGTTCAAGAACTTCAACACGAGTTTCGAGGATCTTGTTACACGGCACAAGTCGTACGCAATGGAGCCAGAGGTGCGCAACCAGCTCTCCAAGGAGGTACAGAACATCATCGAGCCCCTGTACAACCGGTTCTACGACCGGTATCGGGAGATTGACAAGGGCAAGGGCAAGTATGTCAAGTACGACAAGAGCGAGTTGAACAAGGCTCTGGCGAGCTTTGCATAGCGCAGTGATTGTGGCGTTGGACGGGATTCTGTTTGCTTTGGCGACGCGTAAAATATACCCCTTGACTTGTACATAGGCAGTAGTAGAGGACTCTGGGGGAGGGGGATGGATGCGTTATAATCTGACATGGTCAGGCCACACCAGGTGTATGACGGCCGTAGAAAATGCCCGTGAGGCAGTGGGCGTGTAATAATGTCCAAGAGCCGATGCTCGTGCCTCCTCATTTAACCGCACGTGACTCCTGCCTTGTGGAGACATGGCCCTCTGCGACTACCATTTCCAGCCCGGCGACAGGAGCACAAAAGATCGCCTGCAACAAGAGGGCGTCTATTGTACTGCTGCACTCTGTCTTTCTCTCGCCCTGACCACTGGTGTGTTCTGCTTCTTCTTTCTCTTCCACAATCTCTGCTTTTTCTTCTATTTGCAGCGACACTCGACGCCGGCACTGTCTGCGAATGGTGACGCGGGGATTTTTGGTCTAGTGCACATTGCTTTGGCGTTGCTCCAATCGCGCCCATCCCTGTGCGGACCCCTTTCCTCCCACGCAGCGACTGGCGGCACCACGACTTCCCTTCCCAACGTCGCAGCCTTTGGACACCACGCCATTTTTCTTCGCAGCCTTCGGCAACTCTCCAATTCATTGCTTTGAGTGTATCCCTCACTCGACAGCATCCCTTACCCCCCAACTGGTACGTCGTCCCTACTTGCCCGTCTTGTTGCACCTCATTCGTCCACATTTGGGCTGGTCCGCGTTGTCACTTTTGTTTGGCACCGACACGCATGGCCAACAACCCTCGTGCACTAAGAACCACCTGCTGACCTCGTCTCATCTACAGGATTCCCTCACTTGACGGCACTCTTCCTGCGTCTCCTGCTTTATTTCCACAATGGGTACGTGACTGTCCCTGTCGAACCACACCGGCTCCGCGACATCACCGCCAGTCTCCTGCCGGGAGCTCGCTAGCTCCTATATACAGATACATTTATATGCACCCATGGCAGTACTATATATGACACCTGGCAACAGTCAAGATGGTTCTCTGTCACGGCTTGATGTCGCTGAGCTAGACAAGGTGGCTTTTCCGTTTCCCCTGGGCCCCTGGCTAATCACTTTGTGCAGAATCCAACGGTGCTACTTCTCCTGCGCCGCCCACGCGTGCCTCCCCATCGCCCCCGGCTTCTTCCAGCGGCTTCCCAATGGACCAGACATTCAACGGGTCTAACCCTGCGGTCCACACCATCACGGCTAAGAACCCCAAGGCCGCTGCGGCCATGGCCAACGACATGAACATTGTCCGCAGAAAGCTTACCGGCTATGTTGGTTTCGCCAACCTGCCCAACCAGTGGCACCGCAAGAGTGTGCGCAAGGGATTCAACTTCAACGTCATGGTTGTTGGTATGTGTGACCTGCCAGCGTGCGGTGTCAAGTGTAACTAACGTGTCGTCCCAGGCGAGTCTGGACTCGGAAAGTCTACCCTTGTAAACACACTCTTCAACACGTCGCTGTACCCTCCCAAGGAACGCAAGCCCCCGAGTCTGGACATTTCCAAGACTGTGTCGATCCAGTCCATCAGCGCCGACATTGAGGAGAACGGCGTTCGTCTGAGGTTAACCGTTGTCGATACACCTGGTTTTGGCGACTTCATCAACAACGATGAGTCCTGGGATCCCATTGTCAAGAACATTGAGCAACGATTCGATGCATACCTAGATGCCGAGAACAAGGTCAACCGCATGAACATTGTTGACAACCGCATTCACGCGGTCGTCTACTTTATTCAGCCCACCGGCCACTCTCTGAAGCCCATTGACATTGAGGTCATGAAGAAGCTCCACACCAAAGTCAACCTGATTCCCGTCATTGCCAAGGCCGACACCGTTACGGACGATGAGATTGACAACTACAAGAAGAGGGTAAGTAGCTTGTTCTGCGAGTGATTGGGGCTATACTGATTTGTCCAGATTCTTGCCGACATTGCGTACCACAAGATCCAGATCTTCGAAGGACCCCGGTATGAGCTTGACGACGAGGAGACGATTGCCGAGAACCAGGAGATCATGGCCAAGGTTCCCTTTGCTGTTGTCGGCTCCAACACCGAGGTGACGACGGTTGACGGCCGCAAGGTCCGCGGACGCGCGCTCCCTTGGGGTGTGGTCGAGGTCGACAACGAGGAGCACTGCGACTTTGTCAAGCTCCGACAGATGCTCATCCGCACCCACATGGAGGAGCTCAAGGAAAACACCAACAACGTCTTGTACGAGAACTACCGCTCGGACAAGCTTGCACAGATGGGTATCCAACAGGACTCGAGCGTGTTCAAGGAGGTCAACCCTGCTGTCAAGCAAGAGGAGGAGCGCTCGCTGCACGAGGCCAAGCTCCAGAAGATGGAGATGGAGATGAAGATGGTGTTCCAGCAAAAGGTGCAGGAAAAAGAAAGCAAGCTGCGCCAGAGCGAGGAAGAGCTGTACGCCCGTCACAAGGAGATGAAGGACCAGCTGGACCGACAACGACAGGAACTCGAGGAGAAGAAGGCGCGCATCGAGTCCGGCCGGCCGATCGAAGAGAAGGGCAAGCGAAAGGGCTTCTCGCTCCGCTAAGCGCCGAGACGCAGGTGGGCGGATGGGTGGGCCTCTTCCGCTCTGGACGCATCACGCCTCAGCCTTTGGCCTTACCCTTGCCCCTGGCCTTCTCACTTCTCTACACCACGTTACCAGACCTTGTTTAATATAATGCGGCCGACGATACCACTGGGTGCTATCGGTAAAAGGGATAATGCACAGCGGTGCGACACTTGGTACCGCGCATGCCAGTGTCACGTCTTGGTGCAGTTGTCCGGATTGTTGATTGATACCAACGTCTTTGCGCTCCTTCCGATTCCCTTGTTTCTTTTTCTTTGCATTTTCCTATTTTTTAGTATTCGGCAGATGTAGTTCGGAGCGAGGAGTGTCGGACATGTTCTTTTCATGTATTCTACAGACCATCACACTAGGCAATTTCATTTGTGGGTAAAAGACTTGAGGCAGGGTGTGCTTGTGTGTACGTGAGTAGTGAGTGTGATGTTATGCTGTGCAGAGATAGTAGGAGAGGAGGACACGCGGACAGGGCAGATGGACGATAGGCATGTCATGTACATGCTTATAGTATGTACTCAGATATGGCACCCATGATGCCGGCGTGATAGGCGTTGCTGGCGGCTGAGGAGATCGTCAGGGTGCGGTTGGTGCTAAGGCCGCAGCGAGGTAGGTGCGCCGCCCACCTGCACAACCCAGAATTGTTGCTAGCCATGTCGTCACCCCCCCAAACGCCGACCAAGCCTAGGTTACTGCCCGCTTTCCATGTCCTTCTAAGAACACATCCCTCCTCGTTCCTCTCTGCCTTTTTCCTCCACACTGCATATCCTCTGCTACATCCTGATTTTGCAACACACATCAGCCCACGACTCTTGCTGAGCCGCCGGACCCATTATCTATATCGGTAAGTCGACCCCGCCAGTCAGCCACGAAGAGTATCATGAGCGGGTCCCGGAAGCCGGGCACAAACAACTGTTCTAGCAGCACCCAGCCGCCCTTCCGGACACATTGCACCTCCGCTCTGCTATTGTGCCGCCGAATCTCGTCAGCAATTTGGCATATTTTCCGAATCACTTCTGGCACTGCACACTTCTTTCTTCCTCTCTGCTGACGTACCAAGGTAACCCCCCCATTACGTAGCCCACACGACAGCTGCCACACCCGCCTAAATAGCAACAATGGCACCCCCACCGCCAGCCTCGATGCCTCTAGGCCAGCGTCTTGCTGCCCTTGCGCAAACTCTTCAGTTCGCCTGGTTTGCTGGCCATGTTACGCTGCTGCTCTCAACGCTGCGTTACGGCTTGTCTTACATTACCTTTAACTTTTCCTCGCGATGGGCGTCATTTTCCTACCGCACCGCCTTCCTATCGGCTTGCGTCACGTACGGCATCGTCGTCTACAAGGCGTACCGCGCCCGCATGAGGGCAGGCAAGCAGAGCGGTGTTGTTGCTCTTGCTACTGACGAAAATGTGCAATACTTGAGTAAGTTCCAGGCAGTACAGCACCCGCCATGAGTAGCACGTGCTAACCGAAGCCCAGTCATGGCCCTCACATGGCTCTTCTCTCGCCAGATCCCGCTTGCCATCCTTCCCTTCTCCGTCTACTCCATCTTCCACGTCGCTACCTATGTGCGCTCCAACCTGTTGCCCACTATCCAACCCCCACCTGCTGCTCAGGCCGGCGCTAAGCCCCAGGCATCAGCCGCCTCGGACGCTATCGGCAAGTTTGTCAAGGAATACTATGATGGCTCCATGACGCTTGTTGCCCTCCTCGAGATTTTCCTGTGGTTCCGCGTCTTTGGATCTGCGCTCCTCTTCCAGAGGGGCTCCTGGATCCTGCTCGTTGTCTACACTGTCTTCTTCCGCGCCCGCGTTGCGCAGAGCAGCTTTGTCCAAGAGGCCATCAGCCAGCTCACTGCTCGCATCGATGCCCAGCTTGCTAACCAGAGCACTCCTCCTGCTGCCAAGCAGGGCTGGGGTACCTTCAAGACTGTTGTTCGTCAAGCTGCCGATGCTACGGATATCCGCAAGTATGTCGGAGGTCAGCCCGGTGCCGCTCCCAAGAAGGCGCAGTAGGTGTTCAAATAAAATTATACAAGCGACTTGCCTTGACTCCAACCATGCTCGACAAGCCACATGTTGGCGGGGTCATTTGGTATGAATCCTGACGAAGGTACGGCAGTCATGAATGGCAATAGACATGTTTTTGTTTGGCACGAAGCGAGGCTAGTCGAAAAGGAAAAAGCGTTTGCGCAGGAGATTTGGTTCATTAGCGATATCCCCGTGTATGCGAGGCTGAGATGTGTAGTGCGACGCGGCCTAATGTAGACGGTTGTTGGAGAAGCAAAAGGAGAATGTACATCCGGCTCAAAGAGGTCGACGGAGAGTGTGTGGACTTTTCCATGGATTATGGACAAAGTTGTGGTGGTTATTTCTTTTTTTACTGTTTTACCTGGTCAAGAGTCTATGGTAGTGTTTGCGCAAGTGCGAGTAAAATGAATACACGAGGATTATTGATATTGATTTGGTGTTTTTTTGTGTGGTCAATTAAGGGAAGATGGATAATTCGTTCCCTCTTTTGAAGAATAATGTTCATCATACACTGAAAGTATTGGGTTCAAACTATCCGTGTCTGTTGTTTGGGTCTGTTGCACATCACAATTCAAATAGACAATAACCCACTCCAAGGTGAACATTGGATCTTCATGTATTGTTACAATTATATGCATGCAGTTAACTCTTAATCAGTCAACAGCCATATCCCCCTACTCACCGGTTTCCCGAACATATACATGTATACATGGTCCTCGGCTCCTCCTCTATCCTTCTTCGATACCACCGGAGAAAAGCCAGGGTACATTCTAGTTTTTTTTTTAGTTTTTCTCATAACCACACAAGGTAATTGGATACCCACCAGATAGATAGATAGCAGAGGGAAATCAATAAAAAGCAAAGAAAAAGGAATAATGCAGGGTTCCGATACCGGGCCGTGTGGGGGGGAGCACCGTAGTTCTTAATCGTGGGGAAAAAGATTTTAAACTTTTATACGTAGTTAGTCGTTTTCTTTTTCTTCTTCTTCTTCTTCTTCTTCTTCTTCTTCTGCTTTCAGAGAGGGAAGTTGGGAATAGGAGGAGTTGGGAAGGGGAGGAGGGGGTGTTTGCTTTTTACGGGGTTTGTGGGTTGGGTTGGATTGGGTTAGAAGGGTCGATGCGTTGGATGGGGACGGGATGGGGAAGGAATGAAGGGGATTAGGTAAGGTAGCGAGTAGGAAGTTGTGAATATGGGAACGTGGGTTTATTTGCGATTTTCCGTGGGGGAGAAGAAGCTATACATAGGTTTATTTGCTTTAATTAATTGTACATCTACTTCGTGTCTAGCGTATCTTGTTGGTCGCCGGTCTGGCGGAATCAGGTAATCATCAAAGAAGGACTTTTTGTGGGATACAGGGAAGGAAGGGAAAGGAAGAAATGTATTTAAAGAATAAAACACAAGTCAGTAATTTCCAAGTCTCCTCTGTACGACTCGCAAGCGTTGATGTCTCTGGAGCTTGGATACTTAACTAGCAAGTCTGACATATAGTACGTGCACATTACCGTTCTAGTTGCGTAAATTAAAGGGATGCACCTCACATGGTCAAGGGGCTGAACATGTAGTATTGGCATTTGGCAAAGAGCCAAAAAGTCTAGACTCTTGCTTAGGACGAAGGAAACAAAGTTTGATGAGGGAGAGAGAGTCTTTTGCTAATTTCCCGACTTTCTTCGAGCCATCGCGCGGTGTGGAATGGACTCATGTTTGATCCTTTCGCGGTGTAGGAGTATTGCAAGCTTAGCATACGAAATCTCGCAGCAGTGATGATGGCAGTGGTGATTCTAGATTCTTACAAAGTCTGGAAAGCTAGGTTTCGGACTTTAGAATAGGAGATAGAGAGCATCTAGGCTTCACGCCACAGGCCATGACGACAGCCAAAACGTGTCTTTTATACACATGTTGGATGTGGCGTATAGACGGACTCTTCGGACCTGTGGCATCTGCCGTGGGATTTAGACGTATTTGCAACTGAAACGTAGTCGTCTGGTCCTGGTGTGTACTAGGTGCAGAGAGAACTCTTCTAGCGTGCTAACATGTGGATAATGACGTATCTCAACCCATTCAATGCGCAATTCTCGACGTCCAAAAACTTTCGTCAGATTTCCCGAACAAAAGGAAAGTGATGCCGTAGTACGGGCTGCGGAGATGTCCGCCAGAGGTCCAGAACTATGAAGAGTCTTTTTTTCCCATTTTGGGCGTTAGCTTCATCGGATTACTGTCGAGTAAATTGAGTGTAGCATGTACGCATGCATATGCAGAGAAGCGAAGACTCTAGACTACGATCGCGATTCCTGAGGCCGGGACGCTTGGCGATTTATTTCGCAAGTGCATAGTCTGGCGGAATGTGGCCGCTGGTACGAAGCTACTAGAGGTAAGTAGTATCGATAGCAATTAGTTCGGGCGCAGCGCGTAAGTACATGGCCACGGCGAACAGACGCACAGGCCGGGTTACAGTTTAACGACCTGCCATGATGCTAAGTATGGAAATTTGTTGTCTGTGATTTTTTTGCTCTGTGCGTGCAAGTATTGGAAAGCTCCACAAGGGCCCCGTAGCACTACCGGAGAAAATAAACAGCGATACGAGATATTGAAACCGAGATGCAGCGCCGCGACATCCGAGCGCTCGGAGGCAAGTGACGAATTGGTCGTATTTTTTTTGTTTGGCAAACAATAAGTAGCGACTCATGAGAGATCAGAACATGGTTTGTGGTGAGTGGGACACTTTTCTGTAAGGAGGAGCGGGTGATGAGCTAAAGAAGGGTTAGAGAGTGCTGCGCCCCAGAGCTTGGATGTGGGGTTTGCGGCACACTTTGGTGAGGCATGCCCCCCCTTTTTGTCCGGACAAGGCTTGGGTAGATACAGAGATAGAAGGGAACCGACGCAACCGTATTCGCGACTAGTAGCGTACCGCGCCGTGTGTACGTGCTCACGGGTACGGGACATGGCGGTGAGGGAACAGGTGCTGGCTGCTCGGATGGCATCAGCGGCGTGGCGTGATGGGATACTTTTTTATCGAATGCTAATGCAGGGCACTTGACAGCGGGCGGGCATGGCTAAGGGCTGACATGTGTACATGTGTAAGAGCCGTGTGTAAGAGAGCGGGAGAGAGGCAGCGGGTTCGGGATTGCGGATAAAGAAGGTGGTGGTGGTGGCATGCTCCGTACGAGGGCTGAAGATGCAGATGAACGGATGGATGGATGGATGGCAATAATGTGCTCACAGTAGTGTAGCGCTGATGCATGCCATAGCGACCCGGGTCATCGTGGGTGGCTTGGGAGGGGTCGGCCTAAACGTTCCGGGCGGGAGGGCACAAGCTTTCTTTCTCGGGACGACGATTTGCGAGGTTGGATGACGATTCAAGGGTTGTGGTTGGCGGATGTTGCGTTGTAGTACTTGTGTGTAGTATTCGACATGGCCGACGTGTACATAGGTAGATAGGACATGCGATGTGAGCTAGCAGAGCACGTGACAAGCTGGATCGACGTGCTCAGCGGCGGCAGGCGGTGGGATGGAGATGCACATGGACACAGATCAAGAGGCTGTAGTGTAGATCAGCGTGGTAGATGTCGAGGGAGGAAGGATGCGGTCCCGGCATGGTCTCGACCAGAGGGTGGCTGCACGTGCAATCTGGAAGAAGGCTGACAGTGATGAGGATGTGCTGGCTGCATGGGCCGGTGGCAGATGGGAGACAGGCTTTACAGCATTTGCCATGGGTGGGCTGGCGCCATCAGCATCAAGCGTGGTGGGCGTGGGGCGTGTTCGCAGCTCGCAGCTCGCAGCTCGCAGCTCAATGCTGGGCTGCACACGCCATCGGGAGCCTTCTTGCGGTGCTGCTGGCCTGTGAGACCGCCATTGCCTACTGCGGCCCTGACGAGACAGGGGACCCGCTAGCGAGCCACGCTACCCATTCCCACTTTCACCGTCTCGGCCTGCCACGAGCCCTATTACCTGGATGCATGCGCCTGTATATAGCTGCCTCGATGCCCTCCTTCACTACGCTCCTCTCCCCGCCGACGACATTGCAAACCCGCCTATCTGGTTCTGCTTCCTGCCATTCGCCCTCTGCAACCCGCTCGATACACGCTCGCTCATACGTACATACTATACAAGCCTACACTACACTACACTACACTACATGCGCATGCACATGCACAACCCCATCCACGGTTAAACAAAAAGAGAGCAACCCCAGCAACACAAAGAAAAAAGCAACCATCCAAACCACCACCAGCACAATGGAATTCTCTCCAGCACTCTCGATGCACAGCGACATCAGCGACATGACCGACGAAGAGCTGGACAAGTACTTTGCGAGCTGCGTCCCACTGTCGAACCTCCCCACCCCTCCCCCGGCTAAGGAACCCACTCCAGCCCGGCCATCAACCCCAACACGGAACAAGACCTTCCAGACGTCACAAACATCACAAGCCAGCACAACACCACCGTCCGACGTCACCGCTTGTCCAACACAGCTTGGTCAGTATTCTCCCTCTCGCCTCTGTTTTTTCTTCTGCACTGCCCTTTCTGTTTTGTCCAAACGTTCGTATCCAGTTCCCCTGGCCTAGTCGGACCGGGCGGCACATAGGACTTTCCCTGCATATGCTTTCTTGGCCCACGTCGCCTCATTGCACACGCTTGTATCCAAACCCAACATCCCCGCTCCACTCTTCCCAGGCGTCCCTGTCGATCTCCAAAGTTCTTTCCTCGCTCATCCCTTTTGTCCATTACCCAAGCCAGGGGGACAACGGCCTTGGTTTCTGCTCGGCATTAATGCTAACGTACTATCAATAGCTTACGCAACCCACCTTGCCAACCTCGTCCCGCTCAACGTCTCCACACACCGCCCTCATGCATCCGTCATTCAAGGTTTCTTGACCCGCGCCGGCCTGCCTGACGACATTGTGGCGTTTGCAGCATGCATCTTGGACGGCTTGAGTAGCCGTTTTGCAGGCACCTGGAGGGATTCTCTTGCCGCACGTCTTAGTCCGGATGTTATTGTACTAGCCTCGCTATCGCTCGCACACGGCTTTCTCGTCGACCGGATGAGGTCATCGCGGCACTGGAGCATCAGGGAGAGCAACGGTGCCTTTAGCGTGCAACAAATCGAGGCGACCAAGAGGGCCATACTTTACGACATGGACTACGGCCTGTCGCGCATCTCCCACGACATGGTGCAGCACAGGCTCAAGAACATGCAACCAACCAACCCATCACCAGTGCTCTCTGCAACCCAAACAGAGACTGTTGGCAAGGAGCCTCGCCGACGCAACATGGCCTTTGCGCTGCAGGGCGCAGCCATCTGGCAGCACGGCGTACAGACACCAGAACCTAGCCCCTGAGCATATGGCGCCATTTCTACGCGAAACGAACCTTGTCTAATTCCACATGCTTACATACATTCCATTCAGCTGGCTCTGTTCACGATACCCCCATCCTTCCGGCGCTTCTAACATTTTAATGACAGCGCATTGCGCATCTTTGGGCGTTTTGTTTTTCGGCGTACGTTAGGCCGGGCAGCCCCGGCCAGGTCAACCTGTATGGTCCCAACAAAGTGGACCACTGTGGATTTATATATATAGTAGACGGGCGGATTTTCGGATTGTGTTCCTTTGTTATTTGCATGTATCAAAAAAATACCCATGGTAGAGAGGTAGTTAGGTAGCAATATTGATATTCGTAGTGAGCAAGTCGATGACTTGCAAAAGACAATTCATTGCCTGGGACTGTATAGTTTTACATTGTGCCAACAGGTGTTGTTTAATTCAGGCCTGGTAATCGCGTTTAGGGTAACATTGAATTTTGGCTAGGCGCTTGTCACGTGTGTTTTGGATTGATTGACTGTTGTGAGTAAATATGGATCAGACACAACCGCGAGGCTGCCGACTTTCGACACTAGTCCTGTTGTGGGAAGCTTGCGCCACTCCCCGCCGTCAAGCCCCATGAGGAAATGTGAAATTACTTTTCGATCCCACAGCAAAATAGCATTTGGAACTGTCCCAAGCTGTTTTCCACTGCACACACGCTTTTGATGTTTCACCGAGCTATCTGCAAGGAGTAAGACACAGATGGTGCACACAATGCACACAAATAGCATATATGCGTACACACATATATACACACGCCCACATGAAGCCATGGGATGGAGGGGGCATCTCAACCCAAGAGGGGCACGTCGACGTCAGCTCCATTCCAATATGGCCATGGGAACCACAACGCTACCACGCTACCACGCGCACCACTCGCGCCAAGGGACATGTATGCATGGGTTTATTGGGCACGTCGACTGTCACGTCCTGGCTCAGTGGTGGACAACGGGTTCGTGGGGTTGCTGCTTACCCCACTTTGTACTGGTTCGTGGGCTGCCCGCATACAAGATGCATGCGACGGAGCTCAACAGCTTGATGCTGCCTGTCAGCGGCGCCTTTGGATACTGGGCTCCGCTGCTTTCCCCGCGATTCACTAGCCGCTCCTCCTCTCCTGATATATCCCAACCGCCCTAGACTGCCGCCATGCCAGCCTGATCCTCACCTCTTCCCTCGCGTGAAGTCGTGTCACCCCATCTCCCATTGACCTTCTTCTCCCACTCTTCCCTCCTCACCCTTTCATCCTATCATCATGGCTGCAAACCCCAACCCCCGCGAGCGGAAGCCCTCAACCAGTGCCCCGCTCGCCGATCTCAAGGGACCCATTGGACCCGCCTTTAGCCGCCCAAAGCACAAGAGGACTGTCACTGGCTTTGGTCCCAGCGAGATCAAGAGCGTCGAAGCGAGTATCCCAGAGCCTCAGCGTGAGGCATGGAGGAAATATGTAAGTCAATTGGCCTTTGACGCCAATCATTGCAAACAGTGCTCCAAGTCGTGTCAGTGTACATACTAATCACCCGAATAGATGCCCAAGCCCTTCTCCACTCCAGATGACTTTACAAAAGACACTGTTCGCCATATCGAGACGACCCTCGCGCGTTCGCTCTTCAACTGTGATGAGTCTGCCGCCTACGCCGGAACTGCCCTAGCCTTTCGTGACCGCCTGGTGCTAGACTGGAACAAGACACAGCAGAGCCAGACATTTGCTGATCAGAAGCGTGTATACTGTATGGACGCCGGGAAATCATATGTTATAAAGCAATTGGCTGACAGGACTAGACCTCTCTCTTGAGTTCCTCATGGGACGCGCATTGGACAATGCTATGCTCAATGTCGAACAGAAGGAAACTGCCACCAGTAAGCTTGACATACTAGACTGTGCAAGCTTTGTGTTCTAACGCATATATAGAGGGTCTTAGCGACCTCGGCTTCCGCATGGAAGACATCATCTCGCAAGAACATGATGCTGCCCTCGGAAACGGCGGTCTCGGACGCCTCGCCGCCTGCTTCCTCGACTCAATGGCCTCGCTAAACTACCCAGCTTGGGGCTACGGTCTACGTTACCGCTATGGTATCTTCAAACAGGAGATTGTGGACGGATACCAGGTCGAAGTTCCAGACTACTGGTTGGATTTCAACCCATGGGAGTTCCAGCGTCACGACATTGTCGTCGATGTGCAGTTCTACGGCCAAGTCAACCGCTGGCAGGATGATGAGGGCAAACAGCAGAGCTCCTGGGAGGGTGGTGAAATCGTTCAGGCCGTTGCTTTTGATGTACCAGTACCTGGATACAAGACTGGCACTTGCAACAACCTTCGTCTCTGGGGCAGCAAAGCGGCTAGCGGCGAGTTTGACTTCCAAAAGTTCAACTCTGGCGAGTACGAGAGCTCAGTGGCTGAGCAACAGCGTGCCGAGACCATCTCAGCTGTTCTCTACCCTAACGACAAGTGAGTACACTTAAATGTTATCAAACACATGACTGACATTGGGCAGCCTCGACCGTGGTAAGGAGCTCCGCTTGAAGCAGCAATACTTCTGGTGTGCGGCCTCACTCTACGACATTGTCCGACGTTTCAAGAAGAGCAAGCGCGCGTGGAAGGAATTCCCCAACCAGGTCGCCATCCAGCTCAACGACACCCACCCGACACTGGCTATTCCCGAGCTCCAGAGGATACTGGTCGATATCGAGGGACTTGACTGGGATGATGCGTGGAACAGTAAGTCTCGAGGTCAACATGAAAGCCGTGTAGAGCTAACGAGATACAGTTGTCCAGAAGACATTTGGATACACCAATCACACTGTCTTACCCGAAGCTCTCGAGAAGTGGTCTGTTCCGCTCATGCAGCACCTCCTCCCCCGACACCTTCAGGTAAGTTCGAATCCATCACTATCATCAGACACTGCTGACATCAGATTTGATCATCTATGAAATCAACTACAACTTCCTCCAATTCGTGGAGAGGACTTTCCCCAAGGAACGCGAAATGCTCGGACGTGTGTCCATCATTGAAGAGTCGCAGCCAAAGATGGTCCGCATGGCCTACCTGGCTTTGATCGGCTCACACAAGGTCAACGGAGTAGCTGAGCTGCACTCTGACTTGATCAAGACGACCATCTTCAAAGACTTTGTCAAGATTTACGGTCCTGACAAATTCACCAATGTCACCAACGGCATCACTCCGCGAAGGTGGCTTCACCAGGCTAACCCCAAGCTGTCAGCATTGATTGCTTCAAAACTGGGCGGATACGAGTTCCTAAAGGACCTCACGCTACTCAACAAGCTCGAAGCCTATGTGGACGACAAGGAGTTCCGTAAGGAATTCCAGGACATCAAGTACGCCAACAAGGTGCGACTCGCACAACACATCCTGGAGCACAACGGCGTCAAGGTCAACCCGTCAGCGTTGTTCGATGTCCAGGTCAAGCGTATCCACGAATACAAGCGCCAGCAACTGAACATTTTCGGTGTCATTCACCGCTACCTCCAGATCAAGGCCATGTCCCCCGAAGAGCGCCAGAAGCTAACGCCTCGTGTGTCAATCTTTGGTGGCAAGGCTGCTCCAGGATACTGGATGGCCAAGACAGTCATCCACCTCATCAACAAGGTTGGTGATGTTGTCAACAACGACAAGGATGTTGGCGATGCCCTCAAGGTCATCTACTTGGCCGACTATAATGTCAGCAAAGCAGAGATCATCTGCCCCGCTAGCGACATTAGCGAGCACATCTCGACGGCTGGTACTGAGGCCTCTGGTACCAGTAACATGAAGTTTTGTCTCAACGGTGGTCTCATTATTGGAACATGCGACGGTGCCAATGTAAGTTTTTATACAAAATATCTCATCACCTCGACTGACCTCTGGATAGATTGAGATTACCCGTGAGATTGGCGACCAGAACATCTTCCTTTTCGGTAACTTGGCCGAAGATGTCGAGGACCTTCGTCACGCACACATGTACTCTCAGTACAAACTGGACCCGTCGCTTGCCAATGTCTTTGATGCCATTCGAAACAACACGTTTGGCGATGCCGACCAGTTCTCTGCGCTTGTCAATGGCATTGTTGACCATGGCGACTACTACCTTGTATCCGACGACTTTGCTTCGTACGTCCAAACGCAGGAGCTCATTGACGAGAGCTTCAAGAACACCGAAGAGTGGACCACCAAGACCATCACCACTGTTGCTCGTATGGGCTTCTTCTCGAGCGACAGGTGTATTGACGAGTATGCCGAGGCTATCTGGAACGTGGAGCCTCTGCAGGTCAAGAGCGAGCCAGCCCCGTAAATGGGATCTGGGACAGAAAGCAGGCAGGCCGTCTATTGTAGATGTCACAAGGCTATGCAACTAGAGTCTTAGACTTGTTTTCTTTTTTCGTACACCTTACAATGGTAATCATGAATGAAAGACATGTCATGAACAATGATTGTAGCCTGTCAGTTTGCTTTGTAAGGGTAGTAATGTCCTCCATGACGCGGAACAGACACTATAACGAAACAAACTCGCCGTACTTTTGAGTTTGAGTCACCATTTTGAACACGCAGCCCCCTTGATTGCTGATTTTTTTTCTCCTTCTTCTAACTTGAGTATGATCTTGACACTTTCCTGAGAGTAGCTTGAGTGCCTTTTTTTTTGAACCAAATCCTACGCGGCCCTTGTACATTCTTTACGCCCCTCAAAGCGCATCTTGGTGAGAAGGGGGGTGTTGTGGGGGGGGGGGGGGACCCTTCAGTAATATCGCGCGACAAACTCTCTTCCTATACCATCAACACAATCTGTATCTCTCCTCGGCATAATGTAGTACTAGATGCCCAGGAGTGCGTTTTGTAGTAGCGGCCTGTGACGGGTCCTAGTGTTAGAGTGGGGAAACTGCAAATCTTCAATGACTCCCGCCGCCGCCCTGGTTCGGTGCTTGATATTGCCCGCATCTTGACAAAGCCAGGGGTGGGGATACTTAACCAATTGAGCAGCGAAGTTTTTTTTTTGGCATATATAGTTAAAATATGGTCATGTTTGGTTGTTGTTGTTGTTGTTGTTGTTGTTGCTGCTGGTATGAGATGGTGGGCTAGTACTAGTAGTGTATTCTCGATCTAGTAAGTACATTGTTCAATGATAAAAGCAGCTACGCCACGTTGTCTGTGTGCGCACAAGTCAGCAGGCTAACATTGTCACCAGATGGGGTGCTGTCCTCGCTGCGTCCGTCTTAGCGCAGCACACAGCGCCAAATCCGGGCGGGGTGGTGACGGCCTGCGTGTGTGTGTGTGTGTGTGTGTGTGTGTGAATTTTCTAACCCCCCTTGTTTTTTTGGAAGATCGAGTGAAAATGGCTACAAAAAAGAGAGAAAGATTGAATCTTTATTCCCTCTATGGACACAAGGAAGGATTTGGTTTACGTCTCTTAGAAGTATTTGGGGGGTATTTAAACCTTGACCGACTCGGTGTTGTTGGACTGTTCGATTAAGTGCCGGATTGCGCTATTGAGGGACGAGTATGCAGAGCGAGACTGATCCAACGCTGCATTCGTCTCTGTATCGTGATTTGATTCAGAGGCGACCTCGAGATAATTGACGACTGCGTTCATCGGCGTACGCATCTCGTGTGCGAGGTTGCCGAGAAGCAGCCGCTCCATTATATCTTGGCTGATTTCATGTCCGATATGTAGGAAATTCTCACAGATGTAACGGAGCTCGTTGACTATCCTCATGTCCTCTTCGGAACACTCTTGATCCCGGGGTGAGATTGTGGTACGGTTATTCCGAGGGCGACGCTCGAGGAAAAAGACTAGAACCGCCTCGGTGTCAGATACGAGGGGTATTGCCGGGACCCGTCAGCTGCAGGTGATCCACGAACTCATTAGCGTGAGTTGACGAGAGAATGTCCAAAAAGCTGGGCAGGTTGAATAATGCCTGGGGCGACATGCCGATGATCTCATCGGTGTTGGCGTTTGCTGCGAGGACAGACGGAGGAAAGCGCTCACTGAGATGCTGTAAGGCTAACAGGGCACCGTAGCGTGGGATATCAGTGACGCACTCATCACTCTCATTACCAGAGAAGATGGTGACAGGCGTTTCAGCTCGGTCGGTGCCTGAATGCCGTCCCGTTGATTGCTGAGAGCTAGGACCATTACCGGTGGTGAGGGATGTGCGTGCAGCTTCTCCAGTGGCATCGGCTTGCCATACTGGTCCTGTCACAGCCGGATAGGATGTAGTAGATGGTTCACAAATGAAGCTGAACAGACGGGGTACGGGTAGCAGCTAGCATGCCGTCTGAATTCATGGCTTGCACTTGTGAGCGGAACGGTTGGTATTGGTGCTGCTCGGAGCTCGTTTGAGTGCCCACGACAGCGGCGCGAATAGGGAAAATGTGATCCACGGCAAAAGGGCTTGATGCTGGCGAGGAGAGGGAGCTGCTGGCGCTGGTAGATTGCTGAACCATGCTTGGTGTTTGTCAACATGGGATTGTGGCCTTCCAGGAGGGGCGCCATTATATTAGGCGCGTAAAATGCCATACCGATTGCTACGACGACCAGATGCTGGAGGCAGGTTGCATAGACGAAGATAGTGGCGACAGAGGAGAGAGACGAACCAATCGGGTCGCTTGTCGTGCGCCGATCAAGGGTGGCAACGATCGCAACCCGTAAATGGCCAGAATATGGGCCCGGAATTGCTATGACGACATGGCATCTTAAAAGCCCCATGCCTCCCTAATCCGGATTTATCTTGCTTCCAAAGACGCGAGGCTCGATAATGTTGGGCGCATTGTCCTGAGGTGAGGTAAGTCGAGCACCCCATATGACGACGATGCCATTCGCGACATGCACTTCTCAGAATTGGGCCGAACATGCGACTCAATATTTGGCCGACTTTTTACACGTTCTATCCCCTGAGGGCCGACTAGTGTACATATCTCCGTCTTGCTCCTCCATTACCGGTTACGAGCCTGCTGACTTGCTCGGCTGCTTTATTGGCGACCTCGTACATCCAGACGACAATATACTTATAACTGAGTTCTTTCGCACCATCTTCTTCACGAGAACCACACGCGTCATCTATCGATTCCTCAAAAAAGACAAGACCTGGCTGGTTTTGGAATCCAGCTTTACTCCCAGCACCCAAGTCCCGATTTGTCGAACCGAATCGAACCCGTCGCCAAGGTTTCGCCCTCACGTTGTCGTCCTGGCACGACCCTACCTGACCAAGCATAAAATGATCCTTGACTCTTTTCTAGAGCATATTGTTTTGTACGAAAAGCTGCAACAGCAGATTCGTGACCTGAAAAACGAAGAAAGACGGGATGAAGCAGAGGCATTGACAAACGCACAAAACGAGCGTCCATTTTCTGTGCATCAAGGAGTCATGTCAGAAGTGAGCCAATCATCTCAGATAGATTCCAACAACTTTGTTGAATCCGTGGCCGGTCCTGGCTCTGAACGTGCTGTGGTTGGTGATCTTGGCATCCCGATTCTGGCCACCTTGAGTAGAGGTCATGAGCGACCTGCCTCATCGATGCGACGTAAAAAAAGGCCCAAAAACGAAGACCCATTGATTTGTCACTCCTGTGCGACTGTTCAATCCCCAGAATGGAGACGTGGGCCTGATGGGCTCAAGACATTGTGCAACGCCTGCGGATGTAAGTTCATCGTAATTATTGTGTTCCCACCAACCTGACACAACATACCAGTGCGCTGGTCAAAGACCATCGGAGCTACAATGATGGAAAAGGTAGATACACCACGGAAGAGAAACGAAGCTGGAAACGATTAATGAACTGAAACGATTGACGCATTACAACGATATATATACTGATACAATATACGAGCCATCCGTCCTTGCTGTTTAGCTTGTAGTGCGCTTTTTCCAACATTACTTGCTCTTGCAGTACCACTGCACTATAGAAAGTGTATATCGATATCTCACACTGCGCAACTCATAAGCGCATGGTAAGACAATAGTCCCACGTGCCAGTAACTTTCACAATGTCGGATTCTACCTTTTCCAAAGATATCTCAAGCACGTTGACTACGCTACAGCTAGTAGCTTAATTAAACCTAGCGTACGTAGGATCTCGCTTACAGTATCTCTCCAGAAATTAAATTTATCTACTAGTGAACCTATTAAACCGCATTCGTAAGCAGCAGTAGCAATCATAGAGCTCGTCATATTGGCGTAACTAAGGTTAGGGGTAGTCAAGTTAGTGAACTTTGGATGGCGCTGACAAGATGTTGGATAGCATGATAGCGCCTGGGAGGTTGCTGCGATAGGGTAAGTTAATAACAATAGTGCTATACTTGTGGAGAATATTCGCGTATCTGAGTTTTTGTTGAAAAGTGTTTCGCTACCTTGTGAGTTTCGCTTTGTAGTGAGCGGAGTTATAGTACGAATATGCGGTTTCCGGAAACAACCAACCAAACACTTACAGCAAAGTAATGTATAGCAAGGCCAAAGCGACATGGTCCCTTTGTGATGGCATAATGATTTTAAGATGGATACAGAGCGAGCGTGGACCGTTGGACCCTGAACTATGCCTGCTCCGAATCAAGTATAGTCCCCCCACACCCCAGCAGGGCCAGCTTACGCACGGGTCGCGTACTACAACGCGCGACGTCAATCTGGGCAACCTGGCCGCTCTGCGACGAAAGCTCCGCCGCGACACACGATACCAGTGCTTCAGAAAGAAGCAAAATAGCGACGAGATATGGCGAATCGAGGATACGATGTTGTCGTTGATGTGGACCAAGAGGTATGTCTGATTTGCATGCTCTTTCTGAGTAACATGCTCTTCACAATGCGCAAGCTGACGACTCACTTCAACAGGGCGACCTAGGCCACACGGACTTGCAAGAAGACCTCGAATTCCACAGTTCAAGTAAGCAATCGATATCTGTACTATCCAATTCCACCCCTTAACTTCCTCCTCCAGATTTTGACACCCAACCCTCCTCCGGCCGCGGCGCCCCCAAAATCCAACCCGACTCCACATCGACTTCATTCCTCCCCGGCCCCGCCACCGCCGGCGACAGCAGCAGCAGTGGAGGCCGCAAGCACTACCTCTGGTCCCTAAACTTCTACGCCCAAGCCTTCGACGTCGACACCGCCGAAGTCCTCCGCCGCTGCATCGCAACCATCTATCCGCGCGCCAACTTCCTCGACGTCCTGGAGGGCAACCCGGACTTATACGGCCCCGTGTGGATCGCTACTACAGTCGTTGTTATCTTGTTTCTCACCGGAACGATCAATCAGTATCTGGCGCTGAAGAGTGAGGAGCATTTTGCGTATGATTTTAAGTTGCTGAGTGGAGCGGCGGGACTGGTGTATGGGTATACGGCGTTTGTGCCCGTAGGGCTTTGGGGGGTGCTCAAGTGGTATGGGAGTGAGAGTGCGAATTTACTGGAGTGTTGTTGTTTGTATGGGTATGCGAATTTGGTGTGGATTGCGGTTGCGTTGATTGCGTGGAGTCCGTGGGGGAGTAAGTCTTTTTTTAAACCTTTTTACTTGATTGTTGGTTTCAAGGACTAACGATTAACAGTTGTCAACTTTACGGTTGTAGCGGTCGGTCTTGCGTTTAGCGCTGCGTTTCTCCTGAGGAATCTTTACCCAGTGCTTAGCACTACCGAGGCAAAGACATCGAAGATTCTGCTCGTCGTCGTGGTCGTGCTGCATGCTGGGTTTGCGATTGCGATCAAGGTACTGTTCTTTGCGGCCACGAGTCCTGTGGGACCGAACAAGGGTGCGGATAAAGATGCGGGCAAGGGAACCGCGGATGGGGGTTCGGACGGTAAGGGCGGTATGCTGATGATGCTTATGGGTTGATGGATGTGTGGAAGGGATGGCATGAGAGTCTGGAAGGGCAAAGGAAGATCAGTTTCCTCCATTTTCTTTTTCGCCTTGGGAAATACTGTTTGACTAACTTGTATTCCAAAAAAAAAGTATTCACAACAATCTTCAATCCGCAATTTCCTCTTTTGGTGTATCTTCGTGGTCATTCTGCACGCATTGCTATTCTAGTGCATCCTAAGTTACATCTCAATTCTAAACAAACTTCCTCCTGCCATTACAATTATCATTGTCAGCTCAGGCGTAGCAACGGATGGTGAAAGAAAGGACAAATAACAAAACAAAACATGAGAAGAGACTGATTCGTCTCGATCTCGAGGATCACCAACGCCGTCGACCAAGGAGAGTGAATCTCAAGGCGAAATAGCATACCCTCACGCATCCTCATCCTCATCCTCTCCCTCACTCTCCTCCGCCAAAACTGGCTCCTCCCCCCTCCTCAACACCAACGCCAACTCATGCACATTTGCCAGCGTATACCCAGCTCTCTTCTCAACACACCACTTCACACATTCCGTAAAAACGCCTCCATCCACCCCCATCTGCGGATGCATCTTCAACTCTTTACTCAAATCCCTGACTCTAAAATCCGTCGCCACGGCCCTCTCCTCCTCATTCAACTGCATCAAATCCGTAGCTTGAATATCATCCGCGTGGGCGAAAACATCGCGCAACTCGTCCGCCCAGGCGTCTCCGAACTTTTCTTTGCCCCGCTTGATAGCCGTCGTGCACTTGACGCTCGCAGTGTTGCGGAGGTATCCGCCCTCAATAGCGCGGTGTGCGTTGAGCGTGTCGCAGATGTTTGAGGGACCCCAGTTTCGCGCGTAGAGCCGCAGAGAAACGATGGGGCGTGCGAGAGATTGGAAGAAGTAGACGATTATTTCGGTGTCGGTTAGGGGCATGAGGGGGATTAGGGCGGTGGAGGCTGGGAGGAGTTTTTCAAGGTTGTGGATTTTGCGTTTGGAGATTATGGTGGTTGTGCGGGGTGGGTGGGGGATGGGGGGACCGATGCGGCCTGGGGTTAAGGGGGAGGTGAGAATTGCGGTGGTGGTACTGTTGCTGGCGTTGGTGGAGTGGTGGGAACCTGCGGTCAGATTACCCACGGGGATTTGACCGGGGACTTTGATTTTCAAGTCCTTACGACCCTTAGTTTTCTCGCTCCTCGGATGCTTGGTGCCGGTGAGTTTGGAGCCGAAGGCGGGTTCGCTGGTGTTGTGTTGGATGGGACTGCTGTAGTAGTGCTTGATGTCTTGAGGTGGCTTGCATGGAGTGACAGGGCTGGGCATGTGCGCGTCTTCGCCGTCGTCCTCACGGAAGTGGGAAGCACGGCTGCCAAACTCGGGGGCGGTTTGTGGTGTATTCATACGACTACCCGGCTGCTGGTGCTGGTACTGAGAGAGGGCTGCACGGAGACAATCCCGCTCATACTCGGCTTTGACGAGTCGTGTGTTCAATGAGTTGAACAGTTGTGACTGGATGAGCGCGAAGCTGTTGGCGTTTTGAGTGAAGGTGCTGAGGTTCTTCTTGAGATTGACTATCTCTGGAATCATTCTATCGACCGTGTTCTGGAACGTGTTGTGGCCATGCTGATGCATCACCGGGTTGCGAGTTTGCTCTGTGGAGCGTCAGTCAGTGAGCTCGGAACAAACAACCATAACTGAGGAGACTTACCTTGTCCGTTCATGGTATGGTAGAGAGGAGGCTGTCCACCGCTATTGAACTAGTCAGCACTCTCGTGTTTGCAGTCTGCCATGGCAACCGCCCTTGGCAGCAAAGTTGATGTCGCTATGGACATGGAAACATTGCTTTCCCATACCCTATACTTCATTTTCCTTGTCAATTTGCACGCATTCGATCATTTGCCAACCCGTCAACGATTGAACCTCGAAAATCCAGCATAGGCCTTTTCCGACATGGATCTCAAAATGGAAGCGGACATGGATTTCGCCATAGTTCTCGTGCTCTGCGGAGACGGAAGGGGTAGCGACATGGAAAAGAGTGTCTTACCGTGGATGTAGTGAAAAATAATCGGCCAGCCTGGCATCGCGAAGATAGCTATTGTTCTGAGCACCGTTGCTGATCCTGTGAGGAGACAATCCGAGACTGAGTGCTCGGTTGCAGGGCCGCACATGTCCCACTTCGTCTGCTGGGATAGAACCGTCGTATGAAGGCTGCCGGTTCTCCGACACAAGCGAGTGGGTTGATTGGAGTACAGTCTGGGGAGACCGCTCGTTGTTTTCTGTCTTGATTGTGGACATGTTGATGGAAAATCGGTGCAGAGAAAAGTGTAGAAGAGACTCGGAGATATAAACTGTTTGATTGAAATCTTGTGGCGTTTGTACGTACGCGGTCATTGCGACTTTGACTCACAGTCGATGAGGGTGAAGTGGTGAAAGTGAAGTGAGCAACATAGTCTAGAATGGTCCGTGAATAGCCCGCTTGCAACAGTTATGTGAAATGACGACTAGAAACCTGTTGATAGTGCTCCGTTTGTTGATGTTGAAAAATCAACTTGCGTACCCCGAGGATGGCTGGAGAACTGCTAATCTCTCATCAATGTCGCAGTAATAGAGCGCGCCGATACTTGTTCCGGGTATGTTTACCAGATTCTCATGGACTCTGTAGGAGGACTATTAATAGTATTGTGGACTGTCACTGACAGAGGTAGAAGTTCGTCTAGCCCTGTCCATGTATCCTTGGTTCTCTGGTGCGCAGTGAACATCGTTGTGTTATTTGATCAGAGGACTAGACGTCCATCTGTCAAGTGACGATTGATTAAGATCAAGATCGAATGTGTTGACCTTGGTTACATCGCAAGTCAGAGTAACTCACTGAATACTCTCACCACAATGCTGGGTGGACACTGAATTCATGTGAAACAGCCATCACCTCTTCCCACTCACCTATAAACTAACATGTCAATCATTAGAACATTGTTCTACCATACTTCTCGAAGTTTTGAGTTATGCCAGAGACTTTGCCGTGCGAGTAGACCGAATACTCCTTCTGTTGCAGGTCAATATTGAAAAAAAAACGATAGTAAATGTTGAACTAGATGCATCAGCGCTTCTCTGCAAGAAACGACACTTGAGGAAGAACTGGAGAAACAATATGTCGCCAACTCATGAGTGTTTTCTTTATGTTTGTGAAGTACTCCGCCCTCATCCATTATATTTGCGCAAAGAGTCTTCACTTGTGAAACTACAAAACTTGCTGAGAAGCTGACATGGAAACTCTAATCAAGGCCCTTATGGTCCAAGAATAACGTCAGATGCGCGAATCAGAGCCAACAACAAGTCCAATATCATGGAAGCCTGGCTGAGACAGCTGTACTAAATGAAGTGAGAGTAGGAAGAACGTTATCAAAGAAAAGCTCTCTGGAACTGTACAGGCTCATCATAGAAATTTGAGAGAATGGAAGTTCAAGGTGATGAAACAGGAATCCTTGGTGATGCGTATCTGTAGCGTCCTTAGCTTCGAACTGGTGTTTCAATCACCAACTCAGCTCATTATTGAACAACAAATTTAAGATGTCAGAAAGCTTCGAAACTAAATGGAACCGTCTGAACCAGTGATGTGATTTTGAAGTATCTTGATTTTTTTAGGGACGAACTGCATGTGAGCATAGAACAAGAGCAGTAAACATTTACGTAGTTGTTATCGAAGCTTGGCTAAATTGCCGGGTCGAGATACCGAGGCTAAACCCGTTCGTACTTATCGATAAGATAGACCTCCTGCGCTTCAGACACGGACGTCAACTGCTCTCCTACTACGACCAACCTCACAATGTCCGTAAACATCCTCATAGTTGGCGCTGGCGCCATCGGAGCCTTTTATGCATCACGTCTCGCACTCGTACCCGGTACCTCGGTTTCGGTGATTTGCCGCTCCAACTACAAGGCAGTCAAAGCGGATGGCTTCAAAGTCACGTCTCCTCAGTATGGCGACTATACATTCATACCAGCACACACTTTTGCCAACCCCGAAGAAGCGCGAAAGAGCGCAATCCAATGGGACTATGTCGTTGTGAGCACCAAGGCGCTACCGGACGTAAGCGATGACTCCGCGATACTGGAAGGCCTCGTTAGCGACAAGACCGCCATTGTGTTGATACAAAACGGCCTGGGCGTCGAAGATCCATATGCAAAGCGCTTCCCACAAGCCGCCATCTGCTCGGCTGTCACAATAGCAACCTGTGCACAGCCAGAACCTGGCCTCATCAAGCACAATAGATGGACGCGCATCAATAGTGGACCTTACCTACCCCATCTCGACACGGGAGCAGCCAAAGATACTGATCCACGTATCATTGAACAAAACAACTCTTTCATCGCGCTATTGAAGGAAGGAGGTATTAAAGACGCCGAGGCTTATTCACACGCGAAGCTCCAGTTGGTCCGCTGGCACAAAATCGCCATCAATGCGTCCATGAACCCAACCTCTGTGCTCATCCTCTGCTCTCCAAACAACCTCATGTCGCAAGACCCCGAAGTTCAGCGCCATCTCAAAGGCGTCATGACCGAAATCCTCGAGACCGCACCCAAAATTCTCGGCCAGCCCATGCCCAAAGAATTCGCTACTCCAGACCAAATCATCAAATCTACACTGAAGAATACGAGTGGCAGCAAGCCAAGTATGGCAATCGACTGGGAAGCAGGAAAGAGAATGGAGATTGAGGTAATCTTAGGCAACCCGCTGAGGATAGCTAGAGAGAGGGGTTATGAGATGCCAAGGTTGCAGAGCTTATATGCAATGGTCAGAATGGCACAGGAAATCAGAGACCAGAAGAAGGTCAAGCTATGAGATCTTCTTGTGCAGATGTGTAGTACAATCAAGCATCCTCCTCTTTTTACGTTCTATGCACCTTTTCCTGTTCTTCGTATTGTTGATTGGGCGACGTTTCGCACTACATAACCTCAGCATGATGTTCGAAGTGAAAGGGTGACTGTGTGTAAAGGCAAATGCTAACCAAGTAAATTGGCAACTATTCTTGCAATGGCATGCATCTGGTTTGCGCTTTGCCTAAACCCGTTCTTATCAAGGGCTGTCTACTTTACTGAGGCCCTCTTTTACTCATGAGCCAACAAGATGTATTGCCAACTCTGAGCAGACATTGTTTCCTAACGGTTAGAATCTCCATGAGAGTTATCATCTCTTCACAGTGCGGAAGGGGCAGTCCTAACAGCAAAGTTAGTCGTAGCCAGTTGCGACGGGTGAAAGTTCATAACATTCAGAACAAAAGTTTCCGGGAACAGCAGCAACATGGGTATTCAATCCAAGCAGGGAAGCGCATATCTTGCCCTCAACAGCATAACACGCGAAGAATGCACAAACCCTCTGGCGTTGTCAACAACAACAGTAGAGTAACACTATCACTCCCCCAATCGCATCCAATATCTCTGCAGCTACATCAAATCATAGCCGTGATCGAAGATATTTGTACTACCAGCCGTTACTTCGATTAAAAATGGCCCCAATACTTCGGCCTAGACCTACCAAAGGAAAGAATCAACCTCCGCCCAACTCGCCATCAAAAGGATCAGCAGCCAGCGCACCAAAACCTCCAAAGGAGACTTCTACTGCATCTACAAGACACAGTCACCCCCGTATTCCCACACAGGGCTCTCCCTCAGTCTCTCAACCCCGGCACACACAGCCATCACCAAGTCCAAGAGCCATTGCACCAAACCCCCCAAATCCTGCTCCTGCTCCATCTTCAAATTACAATCATTACAATCCTTCCACAGGAGGTTATTCCACCCTTCTTCAACCCCAGCAATCTACAAGGGCCTCACAGGGGCGTCTCTCCTCGTCCCACAACACCGCCCGCACCACTTCTACTGCCCGCACCACCACGCGCACCACATCCAATGCTCCCACTTCTACAGGTACCACTTCTAATGCTCCTGCTACCACCCGCGTCACTCCTACTGTTTTCAATACTACCCGCACTACTTCCATTGCTCCTACCAGCACCCGTAACGTTCCCACCACTCCCACCGTCGAGGAACTCCGCCAACGCCGCAAAGCCCGTATACAAGAACTCTGTGCAGACATCAGCGCAAGTTACCGCCACTTCTTGGAAATCCTCCAACTGATACCTCTGGACTGGAGTCGCGACGAGCGTCCAGACCCGTATCTGAAGAGCCTACTCGCGAATCGGATGATGCCACAGGATAGAGAGTGTGAGCTTGCGCTTGCGATTACGTTTGCAAAGGAGAATTGGTGGCATTTTGCGACGTGGCCGGAGGACGTAAAGAAGTATGCGGAGTTGGAGAGGGACAAGAGGAGGAGGGAGTGGGAGCAGAGGCAGAGAGAGTGGGAGCGGAGACATTGGGAGTGGGTGGAAAAGAGGGAGAAGGAGGCGAGGGGATAGAATCACGGAATACAAGAAGGTGGATTAAGAGTTGGTTCAGAAGTTGAATCTTTGTTGCCTGAGCAGGTCGATGAGTTGATCTCATTCCTCAAGACATAGTGAGCTGGTAAGATGTGTACCAAGCGCTTCATTACTCAATTATTAAAGTATAATAAAGCTTTTCCATTATGAGTAAAAACAAATGCCAGTAACTGTTGGTATGCAAATCCCTTGGGTATCTCGAAATCCAGAACTCCATCTCCTCACCGAGAAGAAAAATCTAGAAATATATCGCTAGAAAATCATATCGCTCGAAAATCCAATCGCCCAAAATCCATGTCGCCCAAGGGTCATACGGCATACCTATTGCTAAACAGAACAAAGCAAAACAAACATGAGATAGTGAATCTCACTTCCATCTATCTAAAACTCCAAATACCGCGTGTATCCTGAGCACAATTATGAGAGAGATAAGAAAACGCCGCCATCGCAGCGTGACATAGTAATCATCGTCCTTGCAAAGCGCAAAGACGGGAGAAAAATAAAGAAATAAAGGAAAACATTACACGATATAGAAACCAAACATGATGATCGTCGTCTGCGCAAACCGCAAGACGGGAGAAATGTGTGGAAAATATCGGAAAACATCGTTACCAAACATGATAACAAGCAAATCAAAAAAGAAGAAGAAAGAAGATATCCAAGCTCTTACGCGGCCCGCGAGCCCTTCTTCGCATCTGCGCGAATAGCCTCCGGGCTCTTCCAGCCCCACTCCAACCGGGCCTTCCTGATCTTCTTGAGATGGCCCTCGAACTCGGTCCAAATGGTTCCATAGTACAGCCACTGCTCTGTGGCAAAGCGGATGTTCTCTGCCCAATCTCCTGTGTCGTTCTCGTCGAGACAGCACAGGGTGTGCAACTCGCGGTACGGAGCGGATTGGCGCGCGCCACCGAAGCGCTTGTAATGAAAGGCGGTGGTCCACATGTCGCTTTGGGAGGCAAAGGGGGGGAGGGCGTAATGATGGATGTTTTGGCTAGTTATCTGGAGCCGATTGGCTGGGAGGATGGGAGGGGTGAGGAGGACAGGGAGGGGGTTCGCGGTGGTGGCGTAAGGTTGTACGTATGGTTCTGTGTATGGTTGTGTATATTGCTCAAAAAGACTGGAAGGGGAATTATTAGTGAGTGGGAAGAGGATGGGTGAGGTGGGGATGGCTTACTTGGGGTGCTCGACTTGCTGTGTAGACGGGCTGGAGTTGTAATCGGATGGCTTCTGGTCGAAGGTCGGTGAGAAATCTAATGGGATTTGACCAGAAGTGGGATCGAGAGTGAAGGTGGTACCGAGGTCGGGACTAAGCGTGGTGCCGAGATTGAACGATGGGTGATCGTTGTTGGATACGAAGCTGTGCGGAAATTGGTCGTCGTTGGAAAAGACATTGAGCGGGTTTTGATCGAATGTCGAAGCGAGACTGAACGGTGGCTGTTTTTCGTTGGACGCCAAGTTGAACAAGAGTTGATCAATGCTGGACGCCACGCTGGGGCGTTGCGACTCAGAGTTAAGGGGAAATTCGAGCTGCGGTCCATCAATGTTGTTCGCGAAGCTGGGATTTTGGCTGAAGCTGGATGCAGAAACCAGCTGTTGACTGTAGTTGCTCAAGAAATTGAAATTTTGATCGAACATAGACAGAAAATCAGAGGTCTGGCCATTGCTGAGTGTAGAAATGAACTGCTGACAATGAGTAGATGGCAGGACGGGCTGTTGATCAAGAATGCATGGAAAAGTAGGCACTTCGACAGAAGTAGACGGGAGGCTCGACTGCTGGCCATAAGCATATGGGAGACCAAGCTGTTGATCGGGACTAATAGAATTGAATTCCTGGTTGTAACCAGATGGACAACGAGACGGCCGAACGCAAGTGAATGAGTGAAGAGATTTGTAACCATGATTTGATGGGATACCAGGCTTCTGACCGTAGGTGGGAGTCAGGCTGGGTTGCTTGTCGTGAGTGGGTGGAAGGCAGGGCTGCTGGCTGTGGACGTTCGGCAAATTGGACCTCTGGCCATACCCAAATGCAGCGTTGGACTGTTGGGCATAGCTGGATGCTACACCAAGTTGTTGGCCGAATTTGGGAGCGAAGTTCAAGTCTTGCTCATAGTTGTCCAAGAGGTCAGGCTGGCGAGGAACGTAGTTGTGTCCGAGATCGAGCTGAGGAGCGACAGTCTCAGGCTCAACAGCCGCCCGCTTGCCATCACGAGCCTTGTGTAGAGCGACACTCCCATTGACCTCATTGTGAGGCAACTCGCTCTGCTCAGGCCCACCAAAGCCTTTTTTTGGGATGTCCTCACTTGCCTCATTCTCATCGGGGAGAAACTCGTCATCATCAATGTATGAGTTGAAGAGTGAGCGACCACGAGAAAGCTTGCGCTTCTTGGCAAGCTGTCCGAAAAGCTCGTTCTCCTTGACATGATGTTAGCGGTTGCTTGAGTTGGAAGTATCAATGCTTGTACGTACCTCATGAACAGCCTCGCACTCTTCAGCAGAGTTGGTGTCATTGGCGGCGAGGTGGTCGTTTCCTCGCTTTCGCGGCTGCGATGGGCCTGGCTTGGACAAGATGTTGATGAAACTATGTGCTCCGGTAAGTTGTTTGTTGGTTTGCTGCTGGCTGACGGGCTGCTTGTTCTTGGAGATTGGTTTGATGGCAGTGGACCTCTTGCGCTTTGTGGTGGGAATTTTGACGTCGTCGCGGCGAGCGAACACCTCCTCGTCGAGATGGGCGGGTGTGATAGTTGTTGGCCCACCAAGATGTGCAGTAAGGCTTTGAAAGTCGGTTGGAAATAGCCACACTTCATCAGGATGCTTGACTGCATATTGCACGCATCGTGCAAGGTCGAGCGCATCGTCTCCGGAGGGGTGCTTCTTGACATGTTTGGCCAAGTCCTTGAATGGTACCGGGCGCACCTCTTGGTTGACAGCATGATGTGAGTCCTCAGAAGTCACATCCCTGGGTTGGGTTGTGCAAGGGGTTCGGAAATTGGTGACACTCAGTCCGCTCTCTGGGAGGAAGTTCTCGCGTGAGTACTTAAAGTGCGTCATCACGCACCATCCGTCGAATCCCGCCTTGCGCATGGCGTACGACATCATTACCAAGGTTGAGTTGGTGCTGAATATCCTATTATCAGGGAAATTCCGGAACTCATTCAGCAAAGCTGCAATGTGAACAGTCCGGGCTCCGTGACATAGGAACCGGTTGACAACATCGATGGACTTCAACCAATGCGGGCAATACGCAGTGATCTCAGCCGCGGTGAGCTCACCAGCTGGGAATGAGAGATTCCAGCTGGGAGCTCCAGCACCGAAAGCGTTGTTCCTCGCAATCGCCGCCATGATTGCTCCTGGTGGTTAGCAACAACAATGCTTCCCAATTGTTGTCTCAAAAACAGAAAGAGATAGAAAAAGCAACGCCGGATAAAAGAACGCCAAAGACTGTACCTACCCAAAGAGAGGTTTTTTGAGTGTCTTGAGCGACTCAACTTGAGTTGTTGTGAGGCAATGGATTATAGTGGAAGGTTATTTTATAGAGAGCAGAACGTCTTGAGGGTAGGGCGCTTGGGCCGGTGTGGTGAGCGTTTGATCCTTTTGTGACGACACAGACTGAGGCGATAGAGCAGGTTAATCCCGCACGCAGACAATAGTCACCCAATTGAATCAACTTGGTACCTTACACGCGGTCACTAGCCTCCCTTTACCCCATCTATACAGGCTTCTACACCCTTCCACCAAGGCATTGGAGCCTCACAGACAGTATTCAAGGTTGGTCTAAACACTAGGACAAATAAATAGAGCGGTTAGACCTGAGCATTTTCGCGGGGAAACGGGTGCCAAGGAAGTGGATCAAAGATCACGGGTACCATCTAGACCCGTCGCTTTGGGAATCGTCTCTTTCACTACCACGCGAGTACCAATTATGGATGCCTTAGACCCGCTCACCTAGTAAATGGGACTTACCCTAGCCTTGTATTCCGTCAGGCGCAAAGGGAGGAATACTGGTTTGTGGGGTATCGGAGATACGCAGGGTGGGTTGGTGACGGAGCGGCGCCTTGTTTCTGCAGCCCTATGGTACCTGCCTAGCCGACCAGGGCAACAGAGTGAAAGGTCGAGATGTACCTTGTGTTTTGTATACATTGTATGGATATTTATGCAGAATAAAACCATGTTCTGTGGTCTTTACAATGCTAAGTGACGTTGGGGATATGGGAATTGTCAGTGACTGATGTAACTTTGGGAGTGTCACTGTTGACGTAAGGCGTATGCCTGGGGGTGATATTGTCTGTGATAACACTGTTGTCAAATTTGAAGATATCCAATCCTACAAGGGTTATGTCCACATCTTAGAAACTGTGATGCGCTACTGACTTGCGCGTAGCGTCGTTGAGATCCGTTCGGAACATACCGACCGAGACGCCTTAACAATGAATGAGTATCAGCTTTCTCGCCGAAAAGAATGAATAAATCTTTTGCTCGCAACGAATTAATGCATAGAAGACGACAATGAGGAATAGACTGAAAAGAGTGAGAAGACAACAGAGCACTGTTGGGGAGGGTAGGGTAAGGGCAATAACATTCTTAGTGGCAATTGCACAGATTGATTGTATACCAAAATGGGAGACTTAGCAATAATTTAAGGCTATATAGACATCAGAACAATTGACGAGATATAGGGAGACCAGAAAGAATGAAGTTTTGTCTGACTTGGAGAAGATGAGGTGGCTCGACAAGCGAGACAAGTAAAGTTGGAGTAGGAAGGACACATGGATGACAACACATATCGTAGAGAATAGTAAATGAGATAAGCATAAGAGTATCCACTAGTTTGGAGGAATACTCGAGCACTCCAGCACTCAAATGTGAAGCTCCTGTGGTACTGCACTGCCTTACCGTACCGGCGTCTTTACCACCTCGACTGACAAGCTCTAGCGAAACATAAAGAAAGAGCGGACAGCCCTCAGTTCGTATACAAAGCGAGCCTTCCGAATGTTTATCCGCGCTGCCTTGATACCTTAAACATGAGACTCCACCGCGCATCGCGCGCCCCACTCAAACTCAAAAGCCGCCGATACAGAACACCCGTCGAGTAATCACCCTAGAAAAGCGCTAAATCCCGTATTTCAATAGAGCTGCCACAGTAAACGTCTCCAGCATGTCAGTTGCGCATCAGTCTCAAGCTTGTTTAATCCGTCACCTGTCCTCCTGTCCTCCCCGCACACCCACCACAGCCTACTCCAAACTGCTGAACATTTCCCACCGCAATTCTGCACCGATCATATTCATGATATCTGAATCCTCATTCCGGCGCGCTGTGTAATCATGTAAATAAGCGTTTTCGCACAATTCCTCCTACCACGCAAGCAAGTGAAGTCGCGACAGACCCCAGACCAACGTGCGGACCAACCACACGCATCTTCCGTTTCAGCCAATCCGCACACAGTCTAGTCCGCACCACCACCACCGTTTCGGGCACTCCAACGCCACCGCCGCCGAAACACTCTTTCTTACACTGTCCTTTTCTCATGCTTTGGAAGAGGAGCCCTCTCTCGTTTTTTTTGGGTGGGGGGTAGTGGGTCCGGTTCTGCTGCGTTCCGACGGGCGGTTGAAACGGCGTGTTCACAGTCACGTTGTCCAAAACGGAGGGCGTGGTTTCCGGACCGTGGGACCTAGTGGATAGGAGGAGCGTCAATGACGGAGCGAAAGGAGGAGGAAACACTGACAGGTGCAACGCGTTTTGTGGCATGTAGCACTATCCATAGGCATCAGGTTAACGATCTCAGCAAGAAACCAGGTACCGCATGAAGCGAGTCTGACTGTCTGCGTAATTTGTAAGGTATATATAAACCCAGTATACTCGTTCCCTTTGCTGCGCCGCTCCTGATTGTTTCCCGCATCTTCTCCCTTCTCGATTGTGTATATACCTTTATTCTTCGAGTAATTTACCCTTATTACCGAGCCGGACTCAACGCTATACCTTCCTTCAACATCAACAAAATCAAGTAAACGGAATCTCAAAAATGCTCGCCTCAAGCTTCACCGTCTCCGCCATCGCGCTCTTCGCGTCCCTTGCTCTCGCTCAATCAACGGCGTCATCTACTTCCTCCTCGGCGGCAACAACCTCAATGTCCATGTCCATGTCATCCATGTCATCCATGTCATCCATGTCGTCCATGTCGTCCATGTCCATGTCTATGGTCCCTATGCCCACTCCGTCAAGGGCGGATGTTACTATGGCGTGGAATGATGCACCGGCTAGCACATCTGGAGCGGCCATGTCGGGGTCTATGGGATCGGGTATGATGACCATGTCGGATGGTATGGTTATGCCCATGTCGACGGGCAGCGCGATGGGCCTGATGAACATGGGAAATATGACTGGCAGTGCGGGACGTTTGGATGTGGGTACTGGAGTTGCGTTTTTGGGAGCTATGTTGGCGGCGTTCATTTAGGTGGATATGGGGATGGGAATGTAATTTTATTGTGAGATTTTTGGTTGAATGCATGGGCTGGGGGGGTTGGAAGGGGTTCTTCTGGAGAAACGATCAATGGTGGTAATTCTAGAGTTGGTAACAAACTTATCATGTTGATAATCGCATTGAATTTTTGTTCTTTGGACTAAGAAGATAGCATTTGAGATGTGCGAGATGTGAGGTCTAGCGGCGTTGATGTCGCGCAAAGTTGAGGTTGAAAGAAGCAATTTGGTACCAGGTCCATCGATCTTGATAAACTCTGGAACCGTAGCTTGTTCTTAGCTCCACCAGCCATCAGATATGGCTGGGCAACCAGTGGTGATGTGAGGTTGGGGAAGTGGGCCGCCATGTCTCCACGCACGATGGCCGTGGCAAAATGTGGGGAGGCGGGAAGAGCCGTGAGCAGTTGGCCGACAGAGCAGCAACTGCCGCCGCATTCATTTTTCCCAAAAAGTCCACACGAGTCCCACACGGCCATGGCTGCATGGAAGTGACGGTTTATTACCATGGCTCTGGGATTACCGTGGCGATGTTATGATTACTATACCCGGTATGTATGGAGTATGCACATTGATGGGGCAGCCGGAGTTGCCATGGCATTGATTACCGACGGCAACGTGACTAGGCGAATTGCCTCCGAGATCCTCGGCTCAACACGCTCTCGCGCACGCCCCACAAGTCGAGTTAAGAGGTGCGTCTCCGCCTCGACAATCCGTCTCTTTCTCTTATCGCCTCAGTCTTTGTCTTTACCTTGCCATCCACTTCCTATAACCATCTCTCTTTCACGAACTCATCATGACTGACCGTCTCAAGTCCATTGTCAACCAGCTGACGCCCTCTACCGGCGGTCTGGCGGCACTGTAAGACAACAAGATGCGCCACTAAAAGAATAATTGCTCACAATGCCTCGATAGCACCACCAAGAACCCCGACGATATTGTCATCACCCTCGCCATCCGCACACCTCTCACAAAGGCCCACAAGGGTGGTTTCAAGGACACCACGCTCGATGGCATCCTCGTAAAGACACTGAAGCAGGTCGTTGCAAAGGCCAACCTCGATCCCGCCCTTGTAGAAGACATTTGCCTGGGCAACGTCTCCGATGCAAAGGCTGCCTACTATGTCCGCGCCGCCATGCTCGCCGCGGGCTTCCCCAACACCACGGCCGGATCATCCCTCAACCGTTTCTGCTCATCAGGTCTTAAGGCAGTGCAGGACATTGCCAACCAGATCTCCGTCGGCAGCATCGAGATTGGTCTGGCCCTTGGCGCCGAGAGTATGACCGTGGGTGGAGACAGGCTCGAGAGGCCCTTTGTCGCTGAGGTTCTCGAGAACCAAGAGGCATGCGACTGCATGCAGCCCATGGGCCAGACATCAGAGAACGTCGGCAAAGACTTCAACATCTCGCGTGAGCGCCAGGACAGGTTCGCCGCAGAGTCATACCGAAGGGCCGAGGCTGCCCAAAAGGCCGGCTGGTTCGACGACGAGATTGTGCCCATCACCACTGTCGTCAAGGACCCAAAGACTGGCGAGGAGAAGACGGTCGTTCTCACAAAGGATGAAGGCATCCGACCTGGCACCACCTTCGAGAGCCTGCAGAAGGTCAAGCCCGCCTTCCTGCCCCACGGCGACAGGTCACACGCTGGCAACTCTTCCCAACTCACCGACGGATGCGCCGCCGTCCTCCTCATGAAGCGCTCCACCGCCGAGAGGCTCGGCCAGCCCATCATGGCCAAGTACATCGGCGCCACCGTTGCCGGCCTCGCTCCAAGAATCATGGGCATCGGCCCATCCGTCGCCATCCCCAAGCTCCTCACTAAGTTTAGCATCACCCTTGACGACGTTGACCTCATTGAGATCAACGAGGCTTTCGCCTCCATGGCCGTATACTGCCTCGAGACCCTCAAGATCGACCACTCAAAGCTCAACGTCCGCGGTGGTGCTATTGCCCTTGGTCACCCTCTTGGATGCACAGGTGCCCGACAAATCGTCACTGGTCTCAGCGAGTGCAGGAGGCAAAAGAAGAAGGTTCTCCTCACCAGTATGTGCATTGGTACTGGTATGGGAATGGCTGGTCTTTTCATCAACGAGCAGAATGTGTAAAATGCTGTATACCTTTTAGCAATGTAATATTCCAATCAAGCTATCAAGTTTAGTTCTGACATAATTCTATATCTGTGGTGTGTGCGATGAGAGAACTTTGTGACTTGTGATGTGATGGAATTTGATTGTTTATTATGCCATATGTGAGGTGGAAGGGGAAGGGGCAATCCACCGTCCCAATGAAGAGATGTTGTGACATAATCGCACGTCGATAATGGGACGGCTAGTTAGTTTGCTATACAAAGAAATTGTACCTGTGATCTGCTAGGGTTTAGAATGATTCACTGTGAGGCTAAGATGATATACATAAGAATTCTAGTTTCTTTTTTCCTGTTAGCATTGTGTTTGTGGATAACTACAGCTTGCAGTCTGTGAACTTCGATACTGTGCAAGCGCTTCGCCGATCACTCAAATACCGGAGTGGTAACGTGAGTGCTGTTTTGCATAGAGGAAGTTGGGATCTTTAGCGAAGTCAAAAGCAATGGCGTTTCTGAGGCATACAATAGAGACGAGATGAAGGTGGTAAGCCATGTATTCTAGTCTATTTACTATAAGAAAAACATTACTCGTTTTTCTTTTCTTGTAATGCCCGAACTTTTACCCTTGCACACCACGTATATACATTAAACACTCCCATATTATCTGGTGAGCATCAAGCAAGGAAAAAAACGATTAGTGGGTAGCACCGGGCTGCATGGCAAAACCAAGTCTAACAGCATCAGGATTGGCGAAGTCGTGCATAATGTATTTGCCCTTTTGCCATGTAACGCCAAAGAGACTGAAATCGACGCCGCCGCCAATGTTCTGCAGACCACCGAGGCACATCTTGCCCTCATCATCAAGGGGGATGGAAACGAGTTGAGAGCCGGGAGTGAAGAACTTTTGACCGGCAATGACGATGGTGAAGCCACCGGGCTTGCTGTTGCAAGGGATGCTGTGCATCTGCTGGTCGTCGTCGTACTTTGAGCCGGGGACGGATTTGTACCACGTGGTGACGATATCGGGGTCGGTGTAGGAAAGGGTGGTGGAGGCATCGAGGTGAATGTTCATTTTCCTTGGGGTAACCTTGGCATTGGGGTTGAAAAGGCTGAAACCCTCACCGTAGAAGGCGTATGCAGGCCAGCCATCCTCAGGTGCGTTGTCGACCCAGGCAACCTTGCCGGTATATTGGTTCGGGTCAAAGTATCCAAAGTCGAAAACGGCTCCGCCCTTCCTCTGGGCATAGGCAAAGACGGGCTTGACAAGCTGTTTCATGATGTTGTCGAAGAAATTGTTCTCGTATTCAGGCTCGATGCTGTTGTAGGTGCTGTTGCCGATACCGATCATGCAGTCTAGATCCTTGTCTGATAGGAATGTCTGCGACAAGCCACTGGCTGCGCCAAAGGTTTGCTTGGTAGTAATACCGCCGATCATCACATCTTCGACATATACATTGCCGTACGAATCTAATTCAGCGCCGTTGTATCCAATCGAGTAGTTAGAGCCGACCTTCTGGTGGGCGGGATTGATTTCGTAGTAGGTATACCCAACGTTCTGTTCTTTGGGCTGTGCGGAAGAATGGCACCAGCTTGATGAATGTTAGCATATACTTATGACTTACTGAAAGTATAAAGGAACTTACAAATCTGCGGCAGCAGTGCCAATGTTGGCGCGAAACGTCTTGCCGTTCTTGCCACCAATTTGGACTGGATAAAGGTATTCAGTATCCCATTTGTCATCACTCCATCCCCATGAAGCTCCAATCACTTTTCGACCGGTGCTGCGAGAAGCCAAACGGGCTCTGCGTACACGACGCCTGGCATTCTCTGCAGCCTCGACGAGCCTAGGGTGTACTTCGACTCCGGCTCTACGCCTGACTTCGATCAAATGATCCAGTCCATGCTTCGTGGATGCAGATCCAGGGATCGGATGAAGCGAAAAGGCAGCGCCGTCTGCTTTGGAGAAATGTTAGCCGTGGCTCGGTTGGCTTATCTGCATTGCGCAATCGTGACCATGCAGTCCTTGTTTGACGAACCTTCTGCGGCAGGGCTGGCAATTGCTGCGCCAGTAAAGGCGAGTATGGCCGTAGCTTGAGCGAGAGAAAACATGGCGAGAGTGGTCTATAGCCTACTAAGGAAGCGAGGGTGGTGAATGGGTTATTAAGAGAGAATGTGAAATGGCCGTGGTAACGATGTGTAACAGTGGGAACTTGCTCATATTCTTATATGAACGGTCACCCTACGATGTTGTTGCGCAGTGAGGATCACATTCTTGGTCGGGCGGCATCGCGGCAACCAATTCGGCCAGTGTTCATGGGTTTGCAGAGGACCAATGGGGCATAGTGCAACGGCTTCAACAGTGGCTGCTTACTTTAGCCCTCGCGGTGGCTATTTTGGTTGTCGGAGTATACACCGAAATATACAATTTCCCCTTAGGTCCGATAGTGACATCGCTGACAGTGGTAGGCTGCATCAGTGCTTTGTTCACGTGGTCACGCTGTTTAGAAGAGCAATGTTTGTCAACCCACAGGATGGAATATCCTAACATCGTTACATCTTACTTGATTCACATTGTCGAACGACCAGTGTTCGTATCCGGTGAATTAAATTGTATACTGATGTGCAACGGCCTGAATGGTCCTACCAATTGGGCGCTGACTCAGAAGCGGACATTCCCGTGCGCTAGAATTTCTAGAATTTCGTATTCGGCCTATTTATCCAAGAATTAAGCCATTCCGTCCCTGCACCAAGAAAATTCGGGAAAAGCTTATTATCACACAGGAAAGATGGTATAATGCAGTTACAGGGGCTAGATGTTTGCATCTAATCAACTCTTTCCTGATAATAAAGTTCATTGGATGACCAGTCAGCTGCACGTCCCGAAGAATTATAATTTTCAAAATAGAAGCCGTTGATGAGCGGTGACCAGATGACAGGAAGTTCACATTGTCGTTTTTAGAAGTCTACATATCATGAACTTAGCTGCGATTCCTCAACGGCCCACAAACACCAACGGGTACTATTAGAGGAAAATCCCCTAGGTTGCTTAGCATGTAAACACTAGTTAGTAGCGTCGCATTTCAAGTCAAGATGCACGCGAGTAAGACCAACGGTAAGGATGGTATTCGTCTCTTCCATTAGGTACGACCTAACTGCATTCAGGCCATTCAATGCATTCATTCCAGTAAGCTCATCAGCATCAATAACTCTGTACACAAATAAGTTGTGCATACTGCCAGTGCGGTACATCGCATTAGATAACCAATCAAAACTCAAGATACGGGCTGTTGCTACCACGGAAGGAGTTCTGCGAGCACTGACAATGTATATTATGTACAAAAATATCCTTATATAAGCTTAGCTATCTTTGCAGCATCTACAGCAGCCCTGAGAGCAAATCTTCAGGGCGATCTGGGCCTTGATGTATTTAGTTGGTTATTTCAAACCACTTTCCATGTTCCCTTGTGCGCTTAATCAATATATGTTCCTCGTTCGCACAAAGAGAACCTCTTCTCCTACAGTCTTCGCGAACATTCCAATCTCCATTGGAGCAATATTTGCAGTATCAGTAGTAGTGGAAGTCAACCACACTTACGAGCGAGGTACAGACGTTGCATTCAACATATACTGCATCATCATGATCAGGCAACACTGCTTGCTCGAGACTAGTCATTCCCACTCTTCCGATAAGAATTCCAGCACTTCACGATCACCCTTCTTCGTAGTAATCCAGAATGGTGAACGCCCAAACTTATCGAAGATCTGAGGGTCATGATGGTACTGACTCACAAGGAGTTTAGTAGTATGAGACTGGCCGTCGGCTGCAACCTACCAGAATAGAGTCCGGTTGTACGGATCTTGGAGCTGCGTGATATCGATTTTCGAGAGCAGAAGCTCCAGCATTGCATCTTTACCCAAATATGCAGCTGTGTGTAGTGCGTTGCCGTGTTTCCAACTCTGAGCGTTGATGTTGGCGCCCACATCGAGCAGTATCTTGGCTATCTGCTTATAGCCTTTTTCTGAAGCTGCGTGTAGTGCGTTGCCGTAGATCCCACCCTGGGCGTTGACGTCGGCGCCCGCGATAAGCAGCAACTTCACAACCTATTTCAAGCCAAACATGCTTACATAATAAAATGATAATGGCATTTATTATAGACTCCTCTGGAATTCGGAGCTTTCCCATGGCTCGTCTGGATTATGAATTCAAAGCCAGTTCACATAAGCATCGCTCCTTTCTGAAAGTAGGATTATCACCTCTTGAGAGCACCATTCTGCCTGCTCGTTTGTCATTCGAGCATGCTCTATCTAGAACCTGGCTGAATGGTCTGCCAGCCTGAATTCTTTTGCATTGTCGTGGCTAAGCATCTTGACTCCTTGAAACTGTAGAAGGTATCCAAGACGGCTTCTCGCAATAGCGTTATGGCACACAGCATGTTGTATACTGTAGTGTGCTGCAGAGCCTTTCTGTATTCTGTCTGAGATAAGATACTCTTTTACCAAGTAATGTGAAAGCGCTACAACCTGTTTTACTGGGTCTTGTGTTTCGCTCTCCTCTGTAGTTATAGTAACTATGTTAGAATAGATATTCAACACATCCGGAGGATCTTCTGGAATGCCATCACGATTGAATGTGGCTTTATCATTCAAATTTATTGCAATGATTTCAGCAATTTCGTCTACTGATAGCGGCTGAGCTGTAAACGCCAGCTACCGTAAAATAGTAATGGCATATTGCGAATTATCTTCGCTGATTGCGGATAAAATACGATTGTATATCTTGTCTAGTATTGGTGGAAGCGTTACGAGCGCTTTCTGTAGCGCTGCCTGAGTGCGACATTTCCCTAACGTGTCCAGCTGGCAGACAGCCCATCGAAACCTGCAGTTAGCATTAGTTATCGGTATTTATACGAACATAAGGTGGTGTACGCACATTTCTTGCGCTCTATTTACGAGAGTAGTCTCGATATCCTGCCTAACGGTAGGGTCTTTTCTCCACTGGCTGAAGTCCTCGTCGTTAGTTAGTTGCTGTTGTACATATTTCTGTATATCTTTGTCTACTCGCTTACTCTAGAGGCAGATATAACTCTGCTTGTCTATGAACGTCTCTAAAGAACTCTGTATATTTCGTTCTTTGCGGCTCGTTAGGAGCATGTGTGTATTCTCAAGCTGCCAGGCAAACATAGTCTTCAGAATGTCTATTAGCTCCGCTCGCCTAGAACACTCGTCAAGCGCATTAAATATTATATAGACGCATAGAAACCCCCGCATTATATGTTGTAACTTCTAGGAGCGCGTGGAGCGAGGGCTGCCGTTGCCTATTATTATAAGTAGAAAACGTGTTAAGGCTCTCGGGGACCATAACGCGCTGTTGTGAAAGTTGGCAGATTATAGAGCGCACCATGAGCTTAGTATTCTGCTTCTGGATATCGTTGAAACTAAAGAAGAAGTATGCGACGACTCTACTAGGGTCATCTTCGCAGTGCTGAAGCACATTTTGGAGAATAGCTGAACTGAGGATGGTTTTGCCACATCCTGGAATGCCATGCAGCTAAAGGAACGATGTTATGTTTTTCTTCCACTTGGCATACTGACCGTTCTCGAGAAACTAAAACCCAGTGTCATCTTGGCGTTGCTTAAGCGCTTTTTGGTAGTTCGTGGAAGGATCTGGTGCGGCTAGCCACTCGCGTATCCTGACGAGTTTCGCATCTGCATATTACGATTACTTAGAGTTACATGTGCCTCTTGTTAGTCGTTTACCTCCTAGCGGTTGTATGGTAGATGATGTGGCAGTGTGGTAAAATGTTAGCGTCGCAATGTAGTTTCGTAAGATTTTTGTAGTGTTTTCGACTTTATCTTCCTGCTATAGGCTTCCTATTGCCTTCTTGCTCGTTGACAGCCACTTGTCGTTGGTAGTCGGCAGCGTCTTCGCAATGACAGCGTCTAGTTGCGCTATCTGTTCGCGGCACTCACTGAACACCAATAGCAGAGCAGCTTCGAGTTTAGAATCTGCTGGATTTACCTTGAGATTTTGGCAAATGCTTACTAGTGTGGTGCTTAGAACAGGCAACTTAGAGCTGACATGGCGAAGGGACGTTGGCAGTTCTCCTGCAAGAGAATGGAAATCCTTGAGGCGAATGATGACTTTGGCACTGAAATCAATGAGCTGAGTTATACTAGCGACAGCCCCAATAACAGCGGGACCTTCGACCATTTTTGCGCAGTCCGACCCATTCGCACGACCCCCGTCCGCCACGAGTAGTGCGAAGCTAAGAACTTGCAAATCAAAACAATAAATCCAGGGAACTAATCTAACTTATAAGGTGCGGTAGAAGCGCATGCAAGGAGGTGATTTTTGGTGAAGAAAGCGACCATATTGACGAAGGCTGAAGCAAGGCTGAAGCAATGTTCAAGCAGCTGCACTTCTTGGCGCTCAAGTGACGGACCCACGTGTATCAGGACACGTGACGAACACCACCATAATCGCCTTATATAGTCCTTGCGCTACGGATATCATTAGAAAGTGTCTGTGATAGGGGTATCATACGCGCATGCAGCAGGTGCGCCAATAAATACGGGCTCTGGTATAATAAGGCACGCGAGAGTATCTCGCTATATCAGGAGATTCTAAGCAATTTGCCTTCCTTCTCAGCGAAATTGCTAGCATATACTCCTTCTTAGTAGCGCGTCTTTTCTAACCCTCCGAAATGTGGAAAGTGATTTCGGTCACAAGTAAGCAAGGTGTCTATAAGGAGGCGCGATTATCGAAATTAAATGATCGACAATATGATCAACATTGCGATAACTAGTGCTTTTTAGAAACTCTGTTCCTGAAAAAGAAAAGACGGTAGAGTTCTATTATATTATCCAAAACTTTGCATATCTATAGGTAAAAGATTCGGGAAGTCTGGATTGGAAGCAGTCTCTGCACAGCGGGTGTCTCTCGACGCAGGGACGGACCTTGCATCATCCCGATGATCTTACAGATTTTCTGGAGTTTGCAGCAGGATAGATCGGGCTCGCTCCGTCTTGGTAGACTTGGAAGTGGATCACTCGACATGTCCGGTTAGTGCCGACATTTTTGGCGGCGCCGAGCTGCTATACCTTTCGTAAAAGTCAACCTTTACCAAGTATGAAAATGGCAATGTATCTTCGATCTGCTTGTATGAGATGTTGAAGAACAATGAATATCTTGAAGTGCTCTGCAACAAATTTGTGAGTTAATCGTTCCTTTCAATGACATTGTGAAGGAACCGATTCGGGACGAGCAGTGAAAAGTGAAACGCATGTATCTTTTGGTCAAGAGCTGTTGCCCTAGGAAGCCTTGTCAATCACTGTCGAGTTCGAGTTGGATTGATAGACAGCGCGGCTTGTAGAACATGACAGGCTGCTCTAAACAAGCCATACGATAGATTTGAGGCATGGAAGGTGACTTGAATAACATCGGATAAGTGGTATTCAACATATAATATGTACAGGAAAGGGGTCAAGCCAAGAAAGAGATTACATCCCAATCATACAATCGTAGATTACCACGGTTCTAAGATCCCCATTCGTTAAAGATACGATTATTTGTTACCGTTGTATGCCAACAGATTGGCTGAGCCCATTGTGTCTGTCACGACACCAGGCGTGGCCAATTGGTACACCCTCGCCTTAACGGCCGCCGCAGTCGAAGGACCCTCGAGACCACGGAGGTATGAGATCAGACCAGCTACGTGAGGAGCCGCCATAGAGGTACCATTCTTAGAAGTTGTTCCTGTGTCGCTCAGATGGGATGCAGAGACGATGAGGGTGCCAGCAGCAAAGATATCCACTTCAGGGCCGTAGTTAGAGCCACCTCCACCGCTGAGCCTCCTGTTGTTGCTCTGGACGTTTCCGACGCAGATGACTTCGGGAGAGCGAGCTGGCGAGCGACCGGAGGTGGGTCCGTCTTCATTTCCTGCTGCTACGACCATGCTTACACCTTTGTTCCAAGCTGCAGCAATGGCATTGTCCCACGTTGTAGAGGCAGATGAACCGAACGACATGTTGATGACGGCAGTGTTTTGTCGATTCTTGGAGACAATATCGTTGACCGTCCAGTCAAACCCTGCGAAGACATCTGATGCACTTCCTGTGCTACCACCGAAGGTCTTGACAGCTATGATAGTGGTTTTCTTGGCAACACCATATTTGGTACCGCCAACAGTTCCAGCAACGTGACTAAGTTATGTTAGACAGGTATGGGAACTATGAGATAGAGCGTGACTTACGTTCCATGGCCATCTTCATCAGTATTAGGACTGTTTCTTACGGCATTAAATCCCCAGATGGCTCGTCCGCCAAAGTCCTGATGGGTGATGCGAACACCAGTGTCTTGATAATATGTCAACATCGAATCAAGATCTGCGTGATGTTTCTGACTTACCTATCACGTAGGAAAAGGTGCCTTGGCCCGCACTATCGTCGTAGACATAAGAGGTGGCTCCAGGCGTGCGGGAGGAGATACTAGCAAGGCCCCATGGTGGGCTTGCCTGAGACACAATTGCTGAAGTTCTCATGATGAAATCTGGCTCAACTACAAGGACCTAACAGTGATGTCAGCATTGCTACTTTGTGTCATTATATGACGGGACCCGTATTACCTCTGGCAGAGTCTTCAACTCTTCGATGGTTGCTTCATCGAAAGACCCAGCATACCCTTTGAAGTCGCCGAAGCCGTACTCGCGCTCCACTGGCTCACCAGCTGGAGAATTGTCACCTCGTCGGGCCAGGTTGCGGGCATGGATGCTGCGCACTTTGTGGTGGTGAGCAGCGACCGCTGCGACATCTGTATCAGGCTTCAACTGGACTATGTATTTTCCAGGAATAATGTCATCCGCTGGAGGTGCTGCGACGGGAGCAGCAAGAGCAACGAATGGAGCTGCGGCTGTAACCAGCGCGGTGAAACGAGTGAAAAAGCGCATTGTGAACGAAGGCAAGGCGTGTGGACCAGAGGCGGCTTGTCTAACACTGCTGGACTAGATGCGCTTTTTGACTTGCACCATGGCCGTTGTCGCATAGACCATTGTAATTGAAAAATGTCCCAAATCCAAGCAGGTCTTATCGTTTCTTAACTTCTGCCTCATTGGGCATAGGATCTGCAATACTATTCGTATAGCTTAATAAAACCCTCCGAGTCATGGGTGGCCAAGGAATTGCGTAAGGGGTATTTAAGAAATAATAGGAATGTGGGAAGGCGGAAATCCCTGTTCTCTCGGACAACACCTGCCAGTTTGAGCGCCTTAACCGTAGTACGGGAAGCGACGGGTCTCGGGAGCCAGCGTCGCGTTTTGTGGGCCCGTCTTGGAATTTTCTCCGCTGAAATAAATCTTAGGAAATCTATGCCAGTGGTTTTATAATTAGAGAAGGCAGTCCACAAGACGATCTACGACGTTTAAGCGCTCCGAAAACAAACATCAGTCGATGCAAACCCCCTGGAATCGGATATGTTAAAAGGCCAAGGAGCATGGGGGCCTGCGCTCCACCTTAAACCATGTCTAGACAGAGTCTGGAGAGCGATTGTTCTTATTGCCTTGGAAAGAGCAAATCAGAGGAGGAATGATCTTGCCATTTTTTGGTCAGCGATCAGGTTTTAAGTGGTAGCAACTGATTAGGCTAGGCTTCTTGTGATGAAAGTCACATTGTATACCCAAGGTGACCATATGCAAGATTGATCTCTTTATGACTACAGAGTTCTGCGCCCCGGTCAATGTTGTGTTTCTCTCTCATCTCTTATGCAAGCAATCTTAGATATTCAAAACTACGTTACTTGCTCCATGTGACATATTTTAGTACCAGTGTTGTCTTGAGCAATTTAAGATTAGATACGTGGCCCACTTAATACAAGTTTTCCGTCACCCAAACATGAAACTTACCCAAAGTAGTATTCAAGCAATAAGAAGCCATTCTTTTTAATTGAGACATGATTGGTTGTCATAAACCTGCGGGGGCAGCAAACAACAGCCTTGTGCGGGGTAAGCTGTGTCTGTTGTGCGAAGGGTTATCACCATACTATATCTTTCCGCGCTTGCAACTTTCTGTATTTTTCCGCTGAATACAATAATGCGTCTTCTACGGCTCGATTCTGACAAACACAAGTGGACCCTTGAGTCGTTCTCAAGAGAAGAAACTCCAATTTATGCTATTTTGTCCCATACTTGGGGCAGCAGTCGTGATGAGGTTCAATTCGAGGACATCCAAGGCGAACAGAAAGACTACGATGATACTAGCAAACTGGGATACGAGAAACTGCGCTTTTGTCAAGAGAAAGTTGTGAGGGATGGTCTAACATACTTCTGGATCGACACCTGCTGCATCAACAAGTCGTCCAGCTCCGAACTCCAGCATTCACTAGCCTCCATGTTCTACTGGTACCAAAATTCCGCCAGATGCTACGTGTATCTCTCTGATGTATCCGTTCATGAATCTACAGAAGGTTCTGATGAGAAATGGAAAGATGCATTCTTAAGGAGCAGATGGTTCAAACGCAGTTGGACACTTCAAGAACTCATTGCACCAACTTCCATCTTCTTCTTTTCTAAGGAAAAAACATTCCTCGGTAATAAGAAAGAGCTAATGTCTACGATTAGCGCTGTGACTCGGATTCCCATTCGAGCTCTCCAGGGACTTGGGGTCATTTACTTTACCGTAGATGAGCGTTTATCTTGGAGCCAGGGCCGCTCTGCAACTATCCCGGAAGATGCTGCTTATTCTTTGATGGGGATTTTTGGCGTGCAGCTACCCATTTTGTATGCAGACGGTGACTACGATGAGAGGAAAAACATAGCATTAAAAACCCTGAAAAAAGCGATTGCGGAAAAGAAGGTCGACGACAAAGAACCACACCGTGTCATACGAATTGGTGGGGCATCTTGGGGTGACCTCATGAGATTGAGCGAGAATGACTTGCAAGAATTGGATTCCGACCTTCAAGAATACCAGAAATGGCTACTTGAAGAGTTGCCAAATCAGATTAATAAATTGGCTGTCTGGACCCCATTGCTTGGAGAACTTTCGGAGGCTGCAGGTGTAAAGATGAAGGCATTGCTGGAAAAGCATGGCGTTGTTTACGAGGACTTATCACACCTTCAACCCAAAATGCGACCTTATGAACAGGCGTGGGCCTGCTTTAGTGACGAGCAACTCCCAGTACAAACGCGAGTGCAAGCACTAGTGGAGAATCGGTGGTTCTTCACGAGGAAGAACGAGAACGTCTTCACATGCATCACTGCAGCTAGAACGCTCGAAGATTTAATGATCTGGAGAAAGGTATGGGGCAAGTAAAGTATAATGACAAACCTCTGCTATTGCACTGAAATACTGCTCTATTGAGGCTTCTCGTAACCCCAATCAATAATGTGATGGTGGTGCTTTTCTATGTTGCAGAAAAGCTTCACTGCCTTGTTACTGAATTAATAGAAGCAGCAGCCTTGCAGTACTTAGGCTGTCTATCAGTTTTCAACTGATAGTTGTTACCAGAGCTAGGCCTCTCATGATTAAAGTTCCCTCATGAAAGACAGGGAAGTGTATGCGCTACGTTTCCGCAATCTCGTCATTCCACGCTCGACAACTTGAATTGATAAATTAGAAGCAATCAATATATTGATGAAATCACTACGAGTTTAGCTAACACTACGGTCATATCAGTGCATTGTTCATATGCTCAGCTTGCAGATGATAACTGCATATCGTACTATGGTGACTCCTCATTTTGCCTAATCATTTTTGTTGTAAACCTCCACCCATCATGCACTTGGGTATTTCAGAAACGAAGCCATGTCGTACCTGATATCGTGTAACGATTTGTTAAAGCTGCGCCTATAAAGTCCATGTAAAGCATTCAGGACTTGTAATTTGGAAGCCATGCGGAGCGCTTCCAACTAGCTGCATACTAATCGTGGGCCGGAATTGCGACATCATGAAGGTTATGATTACACCCATATTGAAACAGAGCGTCAACTCTAGAAAAACACTTGAGCTATTGGATATCGGGTCATGGATCAGGTAAATTTCGGGCGCAAGACGTTAGAGTAGCATTGTTCGTAAATGAAGGAGCAAATAAAAGGCAATGTAACAGTGAGAAGGGAACTGTGGCGGACTGACCTTATCAATGCTTTGTATTTCTCATGGAATGTTGATATGAACATTGCCGATTATTCAAGCTGCGTTGTTTGGCATTGGGTGGCCGGGCGTCACGTACACATTGACAGCGACATGATTTGTAGCGTATAAGAGCCATACTGATGTGTATACCTTCATACTAGAAAAGATGGTGTGGCGGAACGTCCGTCTCAGCAGAAGCCCTGACAGGTTTGCTAAAGCAGATCAAGCATAGTTCTTGTAATGGTAATGAGCGAAGCAAAGCTCTTCACAAAAGACTCGTTTAAAAGCTTGCTAATGCCGCCCGACTCGCCGCAAGGTAAAGTCTGACATTCTCTAGAAAGTCGACAAGGATGGGAAGGGAGGGTGGTTCGGGCAGATCGTGCTAGGAAGAAAGCAGCTAAAGAGGCTAAAGAAGCCCAAGGGAAAGAAGAGCGTGGCCGACCAAAGGCAACGGTAGAAGCAAACAAGGGTCAAGCAGACAAGGGGAAATGTAGTTGGAAGCATAGAACTAAGGTGCTTGAAGCGTATAGCCTAGACGGCGTAGAACGGGATGCGTCACAAATCCAGATACCGAAAGACCCAATACTAGAATCACGAAGAGCACCCGAGGCCCAGATGTGGTGATAAAGTACTTAGTGAACGCGGCTTTATCTCTGCATAGAGCTGCAACCTTGTTTTTCGCCACGACATGGCAGTGTTATCAGCCACACTTACTCAATTCAAGAAGTATAGCCAGCGAAGTATGCAACACCTAGGCTAGAATGACCCCATCTGCTAGATACAGCCAAGGGCTTAGTTGCATAGCAGAGCTGATGCCTAAGCATCGCTAACATCCACAGATTTCCAATCTGCTCCTTCTTTATTCAACTAATCATTCATACTTGTATTTCAATCAACATGCGCTATCATCGATATCGCCCACTGCAAAGCAACGACTCTCTTCGAATTCTCACTTTGCATCCCAGCTTGAACGACTCAGACCCTATTGCATGCACCATTTCTGATATCATATCCTTCCAGTTCCAACCATTTATCTAAAATTCCACTCTTACCGTAGTTATTTTATCATGAAGGTATCTAGGTTAGATTGTTTAATTATCAGGCATATATGAGTAAAATTAAAATCAGAATTCTAAAAGCAATCCCTTTAGACTATGCTTACCGTAATACAGCACTTTGCCTATGTATTCAGAAGACAAATATACCAGCAGATGCGAGCGACACTCTAGGCTAGGGGTAATATGAACACGACAACATCATCTTATACAAAAAGAATAGGCCCCCGACGTATAGACCAATAATACCATGTCTTTTGTGTTACATACTAACATTTCCTTTATCGTGACGATCGAATTGCGACCACTGAAACTCTCATCTGGTCATCTAGAACGCAATGACATCGAGCAGAACTTCAAATCTCGATCGTTGCAAATTCACACAAGAAACCTTGAGCCGCCATCGACAACCACCACTGAGTTACAAACGTGAAAATGTAAATTCCGGGAAGCGCAAATATACCAAGCGAGGTCGTACATAATCTATTCAGCAACTCCATTATCCTATGAATCTTCAGTTGCAAGTTTATATATGACCCCTCTGTTTGGCATCCACTATAATCATCCATACCAGCACCATCACTCGCATCACCAACTCAGCACTCGATACTTGGCAAAATAAAGCAAACGCTCAGCATCCTTCATCTTCTTCTCACACTCTTCTATCTTCGTCTTCGCTTCCTGAATTTTTCCCTCGCCTTTTCGTACTCCCTTTGCGTATCAACGTGTCGCCGTGTAGCTTGCTCTATATTGGTCGCTATATCGATGTTCGGCATGTCCAAGCCGGCATTCAAGGAATCGAGGCCACTAGAAGTGTAACTGGAAGTGTCAAAGCTCGGGGTGTCGAATAACGAGGGAGGGTCGTATAGTGAAGGGTAGCCTCCGTAACGTCGGTATCGTCGAGGTACCACGGGATACATTGCAGTGGAGTGTTTTGGGATGGGTTCAAAGTAGAATATCTTGGTGGTTAGGGAAGTTAGTTCCACTAGCCTGAATTGAAATTGATTTGGCACTGTTAGCTAGCAAAGGCTGCGGAAAGCTTTGAGAGCAGAACTGAAAGGTTACCACTGAATATGTAGGCGCAGGCGATGAGAGCGAAAAGTCCGGATATGGAACTGCACACGTGGCCGAGATGACCTGGCCTTTGAATCATCAGTGCAACTGAAGACTCTCTTACCATGAGTCTAGGCTCAACATCCATGGAGTGTCGCAAAGCTTGGCCAACAGAATCAATATGCTCGCATCACCAGGAAAACAATCTACGTGCATGAAGAAGCTCCGCGACGTCTTTGCTGCGAACCATCAACCAGCAAACAGAGCACCTGCATTGTGGTGATTAACGAACGCGAGTTATTTCATGGGATTAGTCCATGTACGAGGGAGAAGAACAAGTCATGATATCGTTGGCATATGGCGCGATTGCCAACGTTGACCAAAATGCCAAATCATCTATTGATGTTCGCTAGCAGTTGCTAAATTGATACAATCATCATGACACAAGACCTGGGGCAATGTTACATCTACCGTTGTACAGCCCGCCTCATCCGTCTGGACCTATGTAATATCGATCTTAATTGCTTTGATGATCAACACCACCGTATTGCATTCAACACGAGAACCTCGCCAAAGCACCAGATCCGCAATATGTCCGCCTCATTATGCCAGCGCCCCTCTACTTTCAACCAATAACCATCTGCATGACTATCGTTGGACGGTTCCGAATCGGTCTCTGACTAGTATACTGCCAATGAACCAGCTCAACCGACTTTCCCCAAGTTCACAAAGTAAATCTCAGGGCAAACTTGTCACACAACCCTTCCGAATTCCTCCATCATGCATATACACCCTAGAATATCGCATTCATGTTGAGCTACGGTCTCTCCAACAATCCTCCACCACGTACTCACTATCCCCTCCTCATGGTCTAAAAAATCTCATCCTGACACATCTCCAATATCACCCAGTCAAATCGCAACTTCGCTAGTCCACTTCGATCCGGCCACCCCCACACTCTCCCGACCATCTTACTTTCCTCGCTTCGTGCAACATCCCATCCAAAACCATATATGCCAGGCGCAATAGTCATACTCCAACCACATCCACAAAAAGACCATCATTCTCTCAACCCCCTTCGTTTCCCCACCATAATCCTCCATACCTACAATCGACGCAATCGCCGCAAAGCCTATCTTGGTGACCCGCCAAAGCAAGTGTATCCATTACTCTTGCACCAAACTCACATCTCACTACATCAATCAAAAGATGTAAGAGAAAAAGAATATCTAAATAGGTAGAAAAAATATATAACTAGAACCATACATGCCTTTCCTTGATTTAAAGTATACAGAGAATTCCCCTTCGCCCGCCTGCTTGTTCACCTACCCACCACCCACCCTCCCTTTGGCCGCCCACCCATCCATATACACAAAACCCATTTCCTCATCTCACCATCTCAAATATTTGCCTTTGCACACGCCTTAAACACCATTATAATTAAGAGAAGAAGAAAAATACGAAGAAAGAAAGAAAAAAAAAGAGTTGAGCAGGTGGAACGAACTAGGATGGTGAAGTCGTATGTTTGTGTTGGCCCTCCCCCATTCCAAAGCCATGGCCTTGCTTTCCCAATAAAATCCCCGAAATATGATGCTGTTTATGATTCTCCTGCTCATATGACTTCTTGTCACGCATCCCATTAACCCTTCCTTTTTGCTGTTCTCGTCCGACCCTCTCCATCCCGCCGCCGCCCGCCCACCCCTAACCCCCTACCTAAACAAACTCCTCAACTCCTCCAACCGCGCCTTCGTCGCCTCCTCCTTACTCCGCCTCTCCCTCGCCATCGTCAAATCCGCAAGCGCCTTCTTCTTCTCCTGCAGCACCAGCATCTTCTCCTCAAAACTATCCTGCATAATAAACCTCTTAATCGTCACTTCTCTATCCTGACCCAATCGATGCACTCGATCTACCGCTTGGGCTTCAGCCGCGGGGTTGAACTGCGGTTCCATCATGAAGACCTTGTTGGCGGTGGTGAGATTGAGGCCAAGGCCGCCGGCGCCGATAGAGACGAGCATGATGCGGATGGCGGGCGAGGTGCGCAGGAGGTGCATGGATTTGTCGCGTGCGTCGCGAGTCATGCGGCCGTCGAGGCGGACAAGGGCGTGGCCGGCGGTTTTGAGGGCGATTTCGATGAGGTCAAGGTGTGTGGTCCAGGAGGAGAAGACGATGCTGATGTAGCGTGTTAGTAAAAGAGAATCTAAATGAGGGGTGTGGGGGTGGTGGAAAAACATACCTCTTTATGGGGCGTTCATCAGGATGCTCATCGCTCCAGCGACGGAACTCATCCAGGTCGTTGAGAAGGGCTTGGGTCTTTGTGTGGGGACCTGTGTAACTGCCTATTTTCTTCGCCAACTTGGGGTCTTTGCGGATGCGGTCTTGCTCTTCGAGGTAGGAGTAGAAATCCGCGCGCTTGAGTTCCAGGGCAGCGGGCCGGTTGATGTCGTCGCAGATGTGGCAGCGGACAGAGCCGTCGGGTTGGACTAGACTCTTCCATTGGTCCCGTAACTTCTTGAGATGGCGGGGACAGACAAGGTGATAACAGGTGGTCATGTAGCCGATGACGTCTTGGACGTTTCCTTCTTCATCTTCGTCATCGGGATCGGCGTCTAGTATTGATCTCTTGCCTGGACAGTAATGGCAGTCGGCTGCGTTTGTAGATTCGAGAAGGTTGAGCATCTCGTATGCTTGTTGGCGCGTGAGCTGGGGCGTTTCTTGACCATCATCTTCAATCTCCATCGGCTGGTCGTATGTCATGCCATCTGTAGTCTTCAGGGCCTCTTCACTGAGCAAGTCGCGTCCATGTGCACAGATGAGGCGAAGGTTGAGAATAGCCGTGAGAATGCGCGCATAAGACTTTCCGCCCATCTTGTCACCCTGGGTAACAGCAAGGACCTTGCGCTGCGTATCCTTCTCAAACCAATCATGCAACTGCTTCTCCTCCCTAGAAAACTGCAGCCTGACGACGTAATCGAGCTTCCTCGGCACCTCCTCCTTGATGATCTCTTTTGTGCGGCGAATGGTCACGGTGCTAACGAGTAGCTGCAGTCGCTTTACCACATTGGGATCCGCACTTTTGAAAGGATTCAGTATATGCGTATTGAAGCCGGCAGTGGTGTCAAATGGCCTCAGCTTGATGAAGTTGAAGAGTGCACCAAGATCCTCAAGTCGGTTCTGAACTGGCGTACCCGTAACAGCCCATCGCCGCTGGCCCATCATATTACAAGCGGCCTTTGATTGGTTTGTTGGGTTGCGAATCGTATGAGCTTCATCAAGGACAATGCGGAACCAGTTTAGATAAGGAAGCGCACGCTTCTTGTCCATAATGTCCTTGGCGATGATATGATACGTCGTCAGGACGATGTCGTAGTCTGCTAGCTTCTCAGGGGTCATGGAAAATCTCTCAGCTCCATGGTATCGCGTCCACTTCAATGCACCATTGCCTTCGGGGAAATGCTCCTTGATCTGCTCCTTCCAATTAGTCATTGTACTGAGGGGACATACAAGAAGTGTTGCTCGAGTATTGATGGTAGGCTGAATCATGGCGGGAAGGGGACGAGGAGGCGGTTTCTTTTGGCTGAATGCTTGAGCGGCAGTGATGGAAGCCTCGTCGCAGATGAGAGACAGGATACTGAGCGTCTTTCCAAGTCCCATCTCATCGGCTAGTATACCTCCCAAGCTTGGAGCTGGCTTCTGGGCTCTCTCTTCACCAGTGATGATATGTACGTATGATATCCGGCCATTATCACGAGTCTTAGTCGTCCACATTGGATCCCGACGCTGATCAAATTCTTCGGAAGAATGATCCTTTTCGTGATCGACCATGAAGTGAAGCGCTTGTTTTTGATGTGGGTACAACTCGGTCTTGATGAGTGGTGACGGGTTCCGCATCGGTACCGCTTCAGAGCTGGAGACGACTGTGTCAAAGACATCGTCCACTTCCTGGCGAATCTCGTCGACGCTACGGACCACATAGTTGTTCATAGCCGCATATGGTGCAGGCGCTTCGAAACCAGGCTGTGAGGCTTGACTCTTCTGGAACCCTTCTTTTGTTTGCGGATTGTAGTAGTCATGGCGCGCGAGCTCGAAAACGGGACGCTCAAGGATGAGGTTCTTGCCCTTGAGAAACTTGCCGATATTATCTGCATTTTTGCGGGGGCAGTAGAGCTGAAGAGTCATTGTGATAAGAGCCGAAGTGCTGCTGCCTGGTGGTCCTTCATTTGGAAGCTTGCGACGCGGCTCTGTCCAGGCCATCCACTTGAGACCGCTTACATTCGCGCTATCAATCAGTGGAGTAAGTCCCTGTGCCGTCTTCATGTCAACCCTACCAAACTCTTTGCCCATGCCATCAAGGACCATGATGATGTGATTGCCCTTGTTGCCAGCCCTGCGAAAAGCGACTTTGATTCGGCTCTGGCCGCCATGGTTTCCAACAAACTTTTTGGGGTCTGGGAAAGGAACGAGATGAGCTTGAATATAAGTGTGCTTGAGCTTGCCAATGCAGACTTCATCATTGCTGTTATCTTGGATTATCTGAACCTCGTCCTCGTCGTCGCCTGGTATCTGTTAGTCCTGTTTTCTTGTCCATGAAGTCTTGTACTCACTCATGGTTAAATCAATGGACGGCTTTTGCTGCGGTAGAGATGCTACGGGAGAGTTTTGTTGGTACCGAAGATCAAGGGCGCTTCCACCGCTAAAGTTTGTTCGATGTGGAGTGTTTGTCTGTACTTCTCCAGTTTTGAACCGCTTTGCAGGCGATGCCGTGCGCTCTTGGATGTTGTGTAAACGCTCGACAAGTGAGACCTGGCCGATGTTGCTGGGCTCGATGCGACCGCGATCAGAGTCTCCACTAGAGGATGCTGGACGTTTTGGATTTACAGCCTTGGGGTTGAGTAGTGCTCGAGGATCAAACTGAGCTATCTGAGATGCAGGCGGTCCGTGGCTGTTGTTGTGGTGAGTTGTGATCTCGCCTGGCACGTGCGTTGTTAGCTCTGGGTCGGTGAACGTGAGGAAATCCGGCAGCTCAGGATTGCAGTAGTCCAGATCATCACCAGCTGGTTGTGGTGTGTCGGACAGAGGCTCATCAGGTCCAGACGCAAAAAGTGAAGCCCATGACGTCGCATCCGGGTACACATCGTCTACCATGTCCACGGCTGTGCCAGATGCTTCCATGTCATAGTTTGTGTTTGACATTTCAAGATGTTTGAATATCCAAAGCCGATTGAGTGGCAACGGATACCAAGTGGGAGGAAGAGGTATCGAAAGGTAGACGGAGAAAACTGACGAAACGTACCTGTTCCCCGTCGCCCCGTGGGATCAAATAATAGAGCTGGATTCATGGTGTCTAGTTTCCGAAGCCCGACGTCTGTTTCTTTCTTTTACCTGTTGACTTCACTTGTGAGTCTCCCAGCTCTTCCCACGACGCCGTGATGCTCAACGGCTCAGCGCATCTGATGCCAAGCCCTAGTAAACGTTCGCCACAACACGCTGGAAAGGTTGTTTATCAACCCCTTGTCCGTCTCTTGAACACTCAGATGCCTTCACTTCTCTTCTTTCATCAAAGCCCCGCGGTAAAGCACCCCTATCTGCAACAGGTCGCGTGATGCTGACTACTCCAGCTGTGCAGTGATTCTGCGATGGCTGAAGTCAAGCGGCCGTAGTTTGGGCGGCTGAGCTCTTGTAATGTCGCGGCTGGCATCAACGAGTGTGGTGGCCGGGAGTCATACGAAGACCTGCTTCTTTGAATGATGCACGTAGGGTCGAGAGCTAATGCCTTTCATGGTCGCCTGTTGGGGGTGGATTGAGGTGTGGCTGGAAGAGGCCTAGCGCGAGTGTGGATGGATATGTCAGATGACCCATCGATTCTTCCGCTCGTGTGCGTGTGTGTGTGTACGACGACGCCAAAGCCTGAAAAGAGACCGTGCATGCGTTCGCAGCGCGATAGCGATGACATCGGACCTGGCTCAATGCAGGCCATCGAATTGCCTAGCTAAGCTGCTCTTACGCCATCTATTGCCTACCGCATCTAAATTTGAAGCCATGGCGGCATGCTTGGCGCGTCCAAGGAACATGTTTTTCCTAAGTGTAGTGTATCCCGTAGAGTGCATACCATACCTACACAGTCGTCCTCTGGAAAGCCACTGCTTGTGCTGATTCTTGGCCTTGACAACACCCTCTCTCCTCCTTGCAAGTTGATTACACGTTTAATACCGGTCGACATCCACCAGCGTGCACTAATCGCTGCCGGTCATTGCCGACGCGTGTTCAACAATCCCATATTTGTGGACTAGGTCTTCTGTGCCCACCACCATCACATGGCCCACAAACGTGTGCGGGGATGACGCCGAGAAAGGGCCGTCAAATATTCTTGTTGCGTGAGCACTGCCTCGAATAGATCAAAGTTATGGAATCCGAGTCATAACTGATGATTGACTTCGTAACATGTACCACGCACATGACCACCAGACGTGGGGGGTCAAGGTACGCGGTGCAACCCCTTCTAGGACAACTGCCATGTTGCTACCTAACCTAAATATGCAACAAAACGCCACCCATGCAGCCCCACGGAATACGCCCATGCCCATGTTTAGTGCCATGGTAATCCTTCACACGCCTTCCATGCAAAACAATCATTCCTTTCGTACAAAACATGTCGCTGTGTCAGTGTCCGGTCAAAAGCCCACTCAGCACCAAGTGAATACCGGATTCCTGCCCTTGACCATCTCTAGCCGTTCTACAATCACCTTTTTCTGGTTTCCTTCCATGTCTTCGTTTGCAGCATAACCTAGATCGCCATCGTCGTCGAACCCATACTCGTCAACCTCTCTTCCATGCGTGAGCGAGAGTCGCCTATGATGATGTTGGTTGTCGCGCACATGCCGACGAGGGGGCTCGTAGCTCATGCGTGACTGCGTCACTGGTCGTCCATTCGTATGCCTGTCGGCGGTTCGTGAGCCCATATATACTTCGTTTATAGTTGCTGGCGATTTAGGACGGCCATCAGCCTGGCGTACGTCGAGCAATGAAGCACCGCGCGCGAGATTGAAACGATTCCCAAGTGCTGTTTCCAGAGGAGGCGAACTCATAACAAGGTCCTGTTGCGGCTTCTGCGGCGGCGTCGAAACAGCCGTAATATCCATTTCTTCGTGCTCCTCTTCTAGCCTTGGGGGCCTGCCTGACTGCCGTCTTCTCATCTCTGCCGACGGCGCCCTCAGTGGAACAGCAATTGGTATCTCTACTATGTCGTCCCACACACATACGCGAGCTCTCCTTGTAAGCTCAAGAGGGCCCAGGTCGGGCGTCTTCAGTGTTTCCACTACATTCCAGGCTTGTCCTTTCATGACTGCAATTTGTTTGGCATACATGCGTTCCTTGAAGTCGGCGTCTTGTGAGAAGCATTTCCGGAGAGCTGCCTGCGTATCGCTCCACCACTGCTTCGACGTGAGGAGAGGAAGAAAGTGACGGCGGGTGGCTTCGGAGAAGGGCTGTCCAATGAGCGAAACAGGGAGGAAGAGCCAACCAAAGGGATAGCTGCGCCACTGTGATTGTATCAGCTCGCTGCATGTTAGTCAGTCAGTCAGAGACATTTACTTACTGCATCGGGGTGCTTCCAGGGCCAGGACAAACTGTTGTCAATGGCACCAATGGTGACTGTAGGCGTTGCCCCGCTCTGTCTGGGAGTATTTGATCGACTGGCTGCACTCATGGGCTCTCGTCGTCCGTATGGATCCGCTGCCTCCATTGAATGTCTTGTGTAGTCACTCGGTTGGTGGTCCTGAACATCCACGTCTTCATCTAATTTAGGCGGCTCGGCGACAATCGTGGCTTGCTGTGTCTTCTGGTCGATCTTGATCATCCAGTTGTCCAGTCCTCTGTCTGTATTTCGCATAATGTAATCTAGTATGACCAGCTTCTCAAGCTGCTCTCTGAAGGACTGCTGTAGCACAGGTGTCCAAAAGCCCCTCCGTTGATTGTGCTCGCCCATCATGCCGGCTTGTTCTTCTTCATCCTCGCCATCGGACTGGACCCCACTTGGTCGGCAGTCCTCTGCCCATCTCCGCTTCTTCTTCCGCGCAGCCCTATCTCCGCTATACCCCGTGTTGTGCTGGTCAGGCCAGGGGTGCTCTTTGAGGAAGATGTTCGCATCTTTGAACCCCTTCAAAAACACCTGGAAACTGCCAAGCTTCTCAGGGAATGGCTTCCGCTTCCTGTAGTATGCCCTTCTGTCCCAAAAATCGTAGTGAAAAGACTTGGAAGAGAGACCGACGACATCAGTGTAAGGCACGAGATTGGTGCGTAGCTGGGTATCGAGGACGTATGCGGCAGCTTCGGATATATAGCTAAGGTTGGGAATGAGACAGGCGCGGCCAAAGAAGAATGGAAACAGGTTCCGGTGTATCCACTTTGTCCATTTCGGGTTCCGTGACGCGTAGGGCTCTTCATCCTTTGGCTTGAAAACACCCACCACTTTTCCCTGGGGGTTTCGCGCAAAGTAACTGCCTGAGCTGCCCTGTGTAATGAGCTTTGGATGCATGTTCATATCAATTGCCGTCCTAACGCTTTCTACAATATCATCGAATTCGAGCTTGGTCATACGGTCGGATGGTACGTCGTAGTCGAACGTCAGGGACTCGGCCGTTGCTGGTCGTACCCAGTCTGGGGCTTGGAAAACAGAGTGGTGTATCTCGAGGGGCTCATCCTCTGCCGAGTCGCTCCCCTTTTTGATCTTGAACTTTTGCGCGATTTCGTCGGCCCATCGCTCGAATCTGGCGTTGATGGCTTTGATGTCGACTCCCGAGTTGGCACGCTGCCTCCTTCCAGAGGGCATTTTCTTGAAATTTGGTGAGCTTGGCCCTGAGCCGTTCATGCGCATGCCCGAACTGCGATGTGGCTGTATAGGGGCAAAGTGCGAGTTGGACAGGGAGCTTTCGTGGTGGTCACCCTCAAAGTCGCTCCCAGAGTCTTCCTCTTCTTCAGCTTGGGCTATACGGGCATAGCCCGATGTTGGCGGCCGCTTCGACTTCGACATTGCGGGGACTTGGTGAGCAAAGAAACTGGTCGTCGGTCGTGTTCTTGTGTGCTTAGCCGGTGCCTGGTAATTGTGATGGAATGACGACGGAGCTACTGCATGGGGTTGCCGCCGCTAAACCCCGCTTCGTGCTAGCTCACCCTACACTGTGGATCATCACATGCAAGACACCTGGGGCCCATGGCCGGGACTTTGTTCTAGTACAGGAGTGGTAGTTCGATGGACCGACTATGTAGGTACTGTGGGGTATAATGCTCTCTATGCGCAACACGCAGCTCGATTTAGTGGCCCATCATTTACTTCTCATCTAGAAACTGTCGTCGAAATCTACCTGCCTTCGCACCACACTTGGACTGTCCTCGTCCATGCCTTCAGTGGTTTCTGTTATGTCTCCTCCAGCCGTCATCAACAGATCGTCTACAATGCGTTTACTGGCCTCTCGGGCTGTGAAATTGTCAGTTATGTGTCAGAAGTAATCGTGTGCCGCGACTTACCGGGCGTTTGTAGAAGCTTGCTGTGCGGAATATGGAACTGAATTGTTTTCGGAGGGCTAAAGATTTCAATCTCGTCTTCTTCCTCGTCGCTGTCATCGAAGATTGTCCCGCCCGTCCGCTGGATGCTCATCGGATGTTTGCCTTTTGCAGGTGTCTGTACGCTCACACCGGGTGTTCGTGGTGTCTTCATAGGCGAGAAAATGTCCGCGCGCAGTTGCGGGGCGGGAGACGAGGGCGGCGAAGAGTCTTCGGTCCAAGCTGGCAGCTTCGAGGTAACACTCCGAGGCGTGGGTGCACCGCGCTGCGCAGCAAGAGGCGTAAATGCGCCAGTAGGTTTGTATTTTCGTGGGCTGATAATGGGCGTCGCCTGCACACGGTATGTCTTATCGAGAACGCGGTGCAGCAACGGGTCCTGATTGATGTATGATTGTTGTTTCGTGGCTGTTGGTTGCATAAAGGGAGAAGAGTCGAAGCCGCTCATATCTGGCAGCGCTTGGCCCTTGCCGGGAGTGACTGGCTCCAACTTGGGTGTCTTGGTGTCACCCAGGTTAGGCTGGAACTCTGCCCTGAGCGCCTCGTAGGGCGAGGACATAGCAGCAAATTGCGGCTCTTCCTCGCCATCGCTTATGTCTCCTTCCATCTGCATGGTTTTCTTGTTCGACTGGGGCGCACGTGGAGTGCTGTGGCCGAGCGAGGGCGAGTCAAAACCGATAGTCGATTCAGGCTCGTCTTCTTGGGCAGATCTCGGTCGTGGTGGTGTGGTTGTCGCCCCTGTCATGGTCTCATCATCCTCCTCAACAGTCTCTTCCTCATAAGTTTGGGATTGCTCTGTCTCCTCATCATGCACAACAGACTCGTCCTGGTCCGGCGCTTCGTATCCAGAAAGCGAAACGTTGGCGCTGGCCTCGAAGAACTGCTTCCAGAATTTGGAACCTTCCCACACGGCTTCCGAATGTTTTCCATACTGCTCAACTATAGGCAAAATACCTGTGGTAACGATGCGGTGCGCGCGACTGAAATTCTGGTCGATTTCTGCTCCCGTCAGTCGCGTTGGTGGGGTACACGAGGCTTTGTTTACCTTGCAGCGTCAGGGTGATGGACTGCTCTAACTTTTCCAATTCTTCCGTGAGCGACAGATTGCGCTGCGGCGCCATGCTTTGACGCGACATGGTATAGTTGTGCCTTGGGCGCTATCCGTCGTATGCTGTCGTTGTTGCTACCACTCGCTCTCAACAACAAAGAAGACTGAGTGGGAGCTTCATGGCTTGGCATCCCCGAAGTTCCCCGCACCTCTGCCTTCCCTCAACACCAGAATCATACCTACCCCCCGCCCTGCCGCTAGCTTCAGCACCCTACCCAAGACATTCAGACATGCCATTGAACCCGTGATCTTCCTACGGTATTTCCGTACACGTCATTCCGGATGAGAAACACTCGTTTCCCCTCACGCAGGTCCTAGGACGCTACGTGCAAGAGGGGTGATGCGTGCGGCGCTCATGTTCCGCGTATCCGGGTAATTCACATAGGCATTCCTGTATTGTACGTGCGGAGAAGAGTCTTACACGACGTACACTAAATAAAACTTGATCTACTGCCCTAACATCTCTTCCGCTCTCCAATTGATCTTGCACTCGTTCCGTCTTTTTAAGTACTGATCCATCCACGTTTCTCACAATATCAGATACTCACCATGTCCATTCGGCTGCCAGTAGGAATACTCTGGCGTGCCTCGCTAAGAGCTGCGCCTCTTTCGCGGGTAGCAAATCAAGCCCCTCAATGGACACGGAACTATGCTGTCACGTCTAACGATAAAAGAACAGCCATTGTCACAGGTTCTGCACGTGGAATGTGAGACTGTCTAATTTCTCCGTAAAATGTATTGAATTTAGCTCACCCTCAACAGCGGCAAAGCCATTGCCTTGAGATTAGCAAATGACGGATACGATGTCTGCATCAATGACATTGCAGCCAACAAGTCCGAGGCTGAACAGGTCGCCAAAGAGATTCGGGATATAGGCCGCAAGTCCATAGCACACACTGCCGATGTATCAAACTTGAGCGAAGTTCAGTCATTAGTGCAAGCATCAGTGTCCGAGTTGGGACCACTCAACACAATGGTAGCAAATGCCGGAATCGCCCAGGTCAAAGGCCTGCTTGACCTGACAGAACAGGACTTCAAGCGCATGTTCGAAGTAAATGGTGCGTCTTGAAAAGGCCTGCGATCAGCTTTGTTCTAACAATCCATAGTCTACGGCGTATACAACTGCTACTCAACCGCCGCCAAGCAGATGATTTCGCAGGGAACCGGAGGCAAGATTCTCGGCGCAGCCTCCATCGTAGCATTCAGGCCCTTTCCACTACTCTCCCACTACAGCGCTTCCAAATACGCCGTCCGCGGACTCACTCAGGCTTTCGCTATGGAGATGGCACAGCACAAAATAACAGTCAACGCGTACGCACCTGGTATTGTCGGCACGGCCATGTGGGAACTGATTGACGAGAAACTGGGCGAACTGACTGGGGCAAAGAAGGGCGAGACAATCAAAAAGTACACCCAAGACCTGATTGCGCTGGGCAGGACGAGTGTGCCAGAGGATGTTAGTAGCACTGTGAGTTTTTTGTGTAGCAAGGATAGCGATTACATGACAGGCCAGACGATTGTTATTGATGGAGGTATCATTTTTACGTAGATGGATGTAACTATGTGCGGATGCTCTGTTATTGCGATTGTTCATGCGACATCCACCAAACGACTTGGACAGGGCGAACGAAATTGAAGTGTCTGGATCGTTTGTTGTTTCTTCATCAATACAGGTACAAATACCGCATAATTCCATCTCCACCAAAAAAATCAGTGTAACACACACACCTTATCCCTCACACATTCACTACTTGTTTTGCCAAAAATCCCATGGAACACATCTTCAATCCACAAATGATGTTCCCACAACATCACTTCACCACATCGCCATACCGCCGGCTGCAACAACCCTCGACGTGCAAGTACCAATACTCACGAAGCGCCTCTTCCAGGCACGCGAGACACAAGGAATGTGACTGGGCGTATCTAGCTGACAAGCTCATTCACGACATAAGGATGTTGATGGAGGATATGAGGCAGAGGAGGATATTGTGGCAGCAGCAGAGGGAGGAGCGGAAAGGAGGGCTGGGACAGGGTGGTGAGGGTAGTCTAATGGGTTAGGGTGGATTAGGAAGTGTGCATGTGGACGTGATGTGGATAACGGAGACTGAGTCCCTGGAACGGAAAGTTTTCAAGTATGGAATCTTAATGATGTAAATCTGGTGTTTGAAGTAAGTGCGAGTAGAGGACCCATTTTGTGTATATTGGCTTTGTTACTAGTCTGCTGTACAGCATGCCCTCTCCTCAGTCTGGATTTTAAATTCCAAGGGATCCATAGCGATACGAAAACTCTTTTCTTCGCGCTTACTATCAGTGCTAAGCGGTGAACACCTCGGTAAAGTGTCTCGACGATCACTGTCAAGATGGGTTTACACTCCTAGGGTGCGGTCTAGACAGGTCAAAGCTAAGGGTGCAGATTATACGAGGGAAGTGGATACTCTGGGGTAAGTGGGGGGAACTTGAACCGCATAGGGCCATTGTATATAAACTACTATGTATGCTGTTGCTGACATTTGTTGTGAGGTGCTCCTTCTCATTCAGCCTGAGTGACGCCACCGCCTTGTTAGTATCCATCCGCGGCCGTGGCTCACCTCTTATGTCACATCTCCTCTCACAAATACAATCAGCACTCATGGATTTGTCACAGACACTATCAAGAGCGAGATTTAAGCCACCGGCTCTGCATTTCACAAGTTCTCGGCCGGGTAGCAGCCACCAATAACACGTGCAAAGCAGCTCACTAATAGTTCAAGGTACGAATGCTTTTGATTCCTGTACAATGAACTCCCATTATATACACACTTTTCCTTTCTATGCTATCATTCTTCGTTCGGGCGAATTGGATCCCAGGTAGACTACCCAATATCGCGGGTATCTTTGTACGTTCAACAATATCAAAGGCGCTCATACAGGACAGGTTGCTAAAAGAACTATAACCACATATTCAAAATGACTTAGGTGGTGTAGATAAAGTCCGGTCGCATGTCGCCCAAATCAGCAATCTCCTGCTCAGACTTGCCCTCGACCCAGTGGTCGCGCTTGCCCGCCAGCCTGAGCTTGTTCTCACGCTTCAATGCAAAGTGCATGAAGACAGTTCCACCGAAAAGGAACAAGGCCATATAACCAAGGACAATACCGTGACCAGTGCGGTAGTGTGGCTTCTCCTTGGGGTCGTAGATGTTGGAAGATACAACACCATTCATGTTACCCCAGCCGACAACGACACCGACCATGACACCACGCTTGAGCGAACCCTCGACGTTGTTGGAGGCCCACGTCAGTGTGTTGGAGACAGTTGGGTAAATACCCATGGCGCCGAGGAAAGTGGCAGCGTACTGAATATTTGGCTTCGTGGTACCGAGCAGCATGGCGAATCCGACGCATCCAATGGCCGATACAAACATGTTGCAGTAGCCGCGCTTCTTGGTCTTGTCTGCAATATAACCAATAACGACGGTCATGGCTGCGGCAACGGCGTAAGGTGGGACGGACAAGAGCTGGGCCTTGGTACCCTTGTGGCCCATGCCAAGAAGAATCGTCGGCAGGAAAAGGGAGAAGCAGTAGAGCGGGCAGAGACAGCCCATGTAGATGACGGAGTATCCCCATGTCTTCCAGTCCTTGAGAGCTGCAATGACGTCTCGGCGGTCAATACCACCGACCTTGGCCCGGGCTTGTCCATCGAGCTTAAGTCGACGAACAGCTCGCAACTTCTCCTCGGGAGAGAGGAAACTCGCAGTGTCTGGGAAGTTGAACACCATCCACCAGCAGAAAACACCGACGAATACAGTCATAAGACCCTCGATGATGACTGTACATATTAGCCCCGGTTTGTGATTCAGCAGAGGAGAGTAACTCACAGATCCATCGCCATCCCTCATAACCAGCAACACCATCCATTTCAGTAATGGCGGCAGCGAGAAGACCACCAAACGAACCAGCAAGCGCAGCGGCCGAAAAGAAGAGAGCGGCACGGAAACCAAGCTCCTGACGCTTGTACCAGCACCTATGTCGAGATCAGTTCACTGTCTGGTCTATAACAAAGGGTATGCCTTACGAGAGGTAGTAGTTGACACCAGGAAATAGTCCGGCTTCTGCGATACCGAGGAAGAATCGGGCAGCCAGCAGACCAGCTCTGTTGTGAACAATACCCATTAGTGTCATGATGGCACCCCACGTAAGGATGATAACGGTAAAGAAGACGCGAGGAGACCATTTCTTGATGGCGATGTTGGTGAGCGGTTCGAAACCGGCGTAAGAGATGAAGAAGATTGTCAAGGCGAGGTTGTAGTCGCGACCTCCCATTTTGAGGTCCCGCTCGATATTGGCGGCACGAGCATTTCCAATGTTAGTGCGGTCCAAGAAGGAGAGCAGGTACAGAAGCGACAGCCATGGGATGAGCCACTTGTCCATCTTCCAGACCAGTGCTTTGTCCTAGGACACTGGTCAGTCTTTGCCACAGGCAGGTCAAGAGGCTATTCTTACAAGTTTGGCACGCTCTTCATCGCTCTTGCCTGCGTCTGGATCCGGGTACTCATCGAGGTCGCCCGGAGTGCTAGTCTGGGAGCTGTTGACATCATTGGTGTAGATATCTTCGCCCTTCTCGTTAGCCTCGAGGGCTTTGAGGTCTGGAGCAGCTGCCATGTTGCTTTTGTCGCAGATGGAAGGGAGTACGAGAGACTGGGGGACGCAGGCAAAAGAGGCAGTCAAGGGCCTATATGTACCCGGGCTTGCACACACCGTGTGTGTGTTGCCTCGAAACGAGATGGGTCTCTGCTAGGGTTGACATGACCGGGTTGGCTAGTGCCCCCCGGAACCCCATGGGGCGGTTGAATGGGTCAAGACAGCGCGTTTAACTGGCCCCATCAATTCCTGCGTCCTATTGTGGCGGACACCCACGAAGGAATGATGATCGCAACGCACGTTGACTTGGCGCTAGGGCACGGTAGCGGCTGCAGTACCACCACCATGTCTGAACAGATATCAAATCTGTCGCACCGATACCCACCAACGGATGGCTCCGACACTTTAGTCGACAATGCTAAATGGATTGCAACGTGTCTAGTGTCTGGCAAACACCGACGAAGCCTCAAGCCTCAGATTAAGTTTCAGCCTCGGGCTTCTATTGCGTTCATCGAGGAGCGCGGACCTGTCGGCAGACGGGCCTTTGGAAAACAATTTGTCCGCTAGAGGCCACTCCGGCTTTCGGGCCAAGGCGATGAATTAGGCATTGTCTGCGTTCCAGAACGCCCAGGTGTGGCGCTACTTGGAGTCTCTCGGCACTATCCATGCGTCCATTTGGCCGTGTGAATGTGCCTCCCAAGACCTTGGCAACAGCACCCTTAACATGGAACCACGGATACGGGAAGGCCTGCAGGACAACGTTTTTCAGCCGGTAAGGGCGAAGCTTTTTTTTTAGCTTTCGTTCCGCCGTAGCAGCCGCGCCGTCTCTTGAGCTTCTGAGGCAAACGGCATTTGTTCACGGCACTGTGTGGCAGTCGAGCAAAGCCCTTATCTAGCGGGTATTGACATCGGATCTGGGGACGTGGGGAAGCTTGGCAGCGCTAACTAGGACCGTGGACTTGGCCTGACCGTCCCCGCCCCCAAGCCATCATTTGTTGTTGTTGAAATCCATTCCGCCTGCGGTTACTGGGATCTGGCTGACGAAAGTCAGATAGCTGCGTCGGGTAAATGGAACACTGCCTCCATGCAATTCGACAGGGGCATCGGCTATCCACTTGGTCGGCGGGAGAATGGAAGCTACTCCTCCTCGCGCCTGTGCAGCTGAGCGCTATGATCCATGTTGGACACACACGCTCTAAACCCGGGCCACGGTATCGGAGCGAGCGACAGGTGTTGAGCCGTCCGCACGTAGCCAACTTGTGGTATGGTATGTAACCAAGAGCTGGGTTTGCGGACTACTGGGCAGCCCTGCAAGTTCAAACGTCACAATCAGCCATGTGCTTGTCGCGTGGCTGTCAACGGATTTCCAAGCTGATCAGCAAACCTCCGCTGAGTCTCTCGCCTGCTCCCCACCAATCCACCCCTCCACAATTCTTGCTGACATGATACGTTGTCGTGTTGATGCACTGATATGGCGCGGTTGGATGCATGTAAGAGGCGTCTGCCAATAGTAATGCACCAAATGCCCTTTGGGACGCCGCACGAGGTTTTAGCAACTGGAACGTGCCTTTGCGTCTTCGCAGCCTAGAAATTAGCAACTTCCCTTGACAATCGACGCCGCAATAACGCACGATATTAATAGTGTACAGTCCACCTCAACAGACGGAGATTATGCATCTAAAAAGATAGACGACAGGCTCTAATGCACGGGTTCATTGCGCTTGGGCTTCACGGAACGCAGCCAGGCTCAGGGTCGGCGTTGCCTATTGTATTCATTTAACCGCCTACTGGATTATGTCATGCATCATCTAAGCGCACACATCCAGCCTTGCTACCGAAGGGTCATGGTCGCTAATTTGCGAATCAAAATCTGGCCAGGTGTTGACATGGAGATGTTCGAATTCAGCTCTGCCCTTCTTGGCTAGTGCCGGCGATACAAACATGTGGTCCAGCTCCTGAGCATTCATATCAAACAGATAGGTGTAGCGTTCGACTGGGTCAATCCTGACGACTGCGTCGAGATCCTTGAGGCCTGAAATGCTGGTATACTCTTTGAGAGGCTGCACGAAGGCGAACTCGTTATAGTCACCTGCAGTAACGATGCGAGCGTTCTTATCTTGCGAAAGGATATCCTATTCCATCGTTAGTCTCGCTGCAAGTTTACATTATTAGACGGATTGCCCAGAGGAAGCGTATGTCATCCTGTGCAAGGGTGGCATTGCTGGTACTACCGAGGAACAAAGAGACGGGAAGCATGCTGCAGCCACCCTCATTTGCGCTTCGTTGTACAATACAGCCGCAGATCATCCTAAAACGTACCTTGACAAAGTTGGCGGTTAGACGTGATTGCTCGAGACGGTCGTCTAAATTGCAGTGTCAGCGATTGTCGCACTCGGTTCTATTTCGACGATCTTACCAACGCCGCCATTTACTGGGGGTCGCGCGTCGCCGTGAATGCTGCTGCTCCCTCCTTTTGACCCAAAATGCACGTTGATGGTGAAGAATACATTCGGCTTCTTTGCGCTCGCCTTCTCGATAACCTCCCACTGCGCAACCAATGGCTTTCGGCTGTTTCGCCACGCAGAGTTTGCGGGCTCAATGCGACCAGGGTTGTATTTGAGTGTAGGACCAGCAACTACCTCGGTCGCGTCCAGAGAACTGCCAGGGTTTGGCTTGTAAAGACGGAGAACATTAGGCTTGTACAAGTACGCATTGCGAATGTTACCCCCTGGCTGACCACCATCCTGATCGTCTACCGGCACTATCTCAGTGAAGGAATAGTTTGGTCCCCCTGCAGCAGCGATCGCAGCGCTGAGCGTCGTCAACGTAAGGTTTCCGGAGACAACTATACGAGGTCAGTGTCACAACAAAGCAGGTGCCCTCAGCCTAGGCTAGGTGCAATGTTACATCTGTGGAAACTAGTGAAATATAACACAACACGCGAATCAGAGCAACGGATAGACTGTGCAATTTTGCTGGGGAAAAAACTTACCACCATCATTGATTGGGCCATTGTCATCCTGGACCTCCTGAACAAAGATGATATCCGGGCTGTTCATGTAATTGACAATGTGTTTTGCGAGGTCTGGGTGGTGAGTCGAGTTCGGTGCGAGATTCTCTACGTTGTACGCGCCAAAGGTAATGCCGTCGCATTTTCCGCTCGATTTGAGTTTGGATGGAGATGGAAGAGCAGGCGTCTGGCTCTTGGTCACCTTGATGGCCGTTTTCGGTAGGATGCGGTAGAAGCCGAATGCATAGCTAACTACACCAGTAATCTCCTCGACCGAATCACCAAATTTGGTATCTTTGGGGTTCTTGGTTCCATCCAGAGGAGTGCCGATAACAATCGCCTCTGGGTTGGCATCTTTGTCCGTAATAGTCAATCCACCACGGCTGTTGCGGCCAGAAACCTTCCAGTCGCCTGCAACCCATGTGTCGCCAAACTGATTTGGCTTGGTCAGAGCGGTGGGATTCTTAACGGTAACTAACTCGCCCATCAAGCTTTCCCAGAAATCGAGACCAAACTTCTTGGGCTGGAGTTCAGGATTCGCCACGCTGATCTGGCTGACATTGTTCGGCACGGCGAAAACGTCACCACCATCCAGGCTGCTGTATTGCTTGTCCGGCGGGCTAAGCGTATCCTTTCCAATGACCAAAGCTTGTACACTGGCTCCTGAACTCAGTTTCTTTTGCAGTACTGGAGTAGACAATTGTGTCATTGGAATATAGTCCTTGTTAGATCTGAATTCGGTAACTTTGCCTCCCACGACGATGGTATCTCCGACAGTCAGATTGCTACCGAATGTGCGGCCGAAAATGTATATCGATTCGGATGTGTGCTCGTCGCGGTCAGGCGTTGTGGAGCGCAGCCAGAGACCATCGGGGCCCTTTGCGGTAATGATACCAGAGACATTGGATACGGTCTGATCTCTATACGGAGAGATGAATTTCGCGCCATTGATCTCAGCAATGGTGAGGGCCGTAGAGGTAGCGACAGATGCCGACAAGGCGAGTAAGCGGGTCAGAGACGCCATTGTTTACTGGGCAAAAGCAACAAGCACCGGTGTGCTGTTGAGATAGCGAGTGAGCGAACGAACGACACGAAGAGAGAGTAAGTGAAAAAGGCCCAGCTATAAACCTCTCTCTAGACCAAGCCTTAGCCCCATGTCCCTTAAATACACTTGTCCCTCCTTACCCGTTTTTCTCATTCAATTTCTACACCAAGCAACCCGCGTCCTAAGAAACCCCGGTCCTACACAGTAGACTACTAGCCGCGGGCCTTGTCGTTACCTACTATCACCACAATGGTACCTACCTCCGCTGCTGACCCCCACCAAACTCGGGCTCGCCGGGAAGTCCCCTCTCCCAATTGCCTCCCCCTGACCCAAACCCGCTCAACAGCATAGTTAGAAACCGCATCATACAAAACTCACCTTTCGCCTCTCAAACCGTGGCCATGGACACACTACCACAAGAACACTTACCTGTCTTACCCAGGAACGTGTAGCTGTCTCGACGCGCTGATTGGCTGCTCGCGCCGATTACGTGCGGCCCCCGCGACGCCTCTTTTCCGCTTTGGGAAGGTGACTGGAGTGATTGGCCCGCAGGGGGAGATGAACAGTGCTGAACTGAGTTAAAGTAAGTATGCGGCGATGGCCGAAGCATGCAAGATCTGTTTGTAGCAAATGGGGGTGCTTGGAATAAGGGCACGTGGGTGCGGGAAAGGGTTTGGCCTTTGGGAGATGCGGGATCTAGGGCGGTTGCACGTGCGTTTTCTTTTTGCGTGGGATGAGTACGTTGAGATGTTGCGCTGCTTTTGCTTTTGCTGTTTGTTTACTTGCGTAGAGTTGGGCGTAAAAGGCGCTTTTCTTGCTTCAAACGCATGAAAACTCACCTCCTCCCCCTGTTTGCTGCATTCCAGCGTGGCTCGGTGTTTCTTTCATCCAATGCATATAGCTGTGTACCTTATGCTCCTACCTAGTTGGGTCTAGCGCTCTCTGACGCCGACATCGAACGTACCTTACATGATATAACTAGCTCTGTTTTCTTTTACCCTCCCAAACCGCTACCACGCTGGCACGGTATCTGGGATTTCAAAGCTACTTTTGTGGCGTTTTGGTGGTTTTCTTGGATTTTGTGGGTACGATAGGCTGGATTGCCAGAGCGGGTTGCGCCGCGGGAGTGTTGGAGATGGGTTTGAGATGCTGGGGTTTGGGGTAGGACGAAATATGGGATTTTGGATGTGAAGATGGGGTAGGTGTGATGGAACTGTCAGCGCGTGTAGATGATGTAAACCACAGTCATGAAATCTGCCTTATACGCCTTTGTTAAGTGGATTTCACAAATTCTCAAGCACAAAGATGCTAAAGATGAGTATGACCGCGATTGATTTATGGAATGAAGCCTACATAAATAAATAAAAACGGACTGGGAGTGAATCTGATTACTCCAAGCGAGACCTGAAATGAAGATTCTTTCAATAAAAGGAAATTTGCTAGAACAGAAAATAAATTAACTAAACAATACATAATTTTCAGAAATGTAACAAAACTGAATTTTGAGAATATCATCAAATCGACACTTTTGTATCATGAAACCCATAGTGCTTACATATGCAGTGGAATTGCGATTACAGAATATAGACGAGTCGATACGTTTGTATTAAGAGAACCGTACAACCCTACGATGAACACTCCTACTTCCCATTCCAGTTGTGAATATTCAAGCCCAAGCGCAATGAGTAGAACACAAAACTAGCATCCCTACTACATACTACTGTCCTTCTTGTCTCCTGATCTGAACTCGCACGCTCCCGATAGCACAGCAAATATCGCCCCTCCCCCACAACCTACCTTCATCCTCAAAACCCATAAAACGAAAAAAAACAACAGAGACACCTCACTGTACACACGCATTTCCAATACTCCCAAAAATCTAGACAAAAGTATCATATTAAACTATTCTATCGAACCCCAATCCTACATTTCTTTTTCCTCTCACTCTCTCTTTCTCCGCCCAGAAGACAGACCATCTTCGGCGAAACCAGAACAGAAAAGGAAAAAAAACCCCCCTCCAGACACCATAGGGGTATATATCTAAAAGAGTTTCGGCATATAGCCAAACAAGAAAGAAAGAAAGTAAGAAAGCCGTTTCCACCATCCATTCCAATATCCCCGTTGCCATGTCTTACCTGGGTATCAAAAAAGAAAACGCAAAAAAAGGGGGATCGGGAGAGAGACTTTCCACCTCCAAACCTTTCCCCCTCTATCTCCATAGAAAAAAAGTTGAAAAGAAAAGAAAAGAAGAATTAACCACCATCAATACATCACCCACCCCAGTCCCATCGACCCCTCAGCAATCAAAACGCCACACCAACCGCCCCCTCCCTCCTCAAAAAACTGCGTCGACTCCACCTCCCCCCGACCCCAACATCCTTGGCCACAATCTCCATCCCCTTAAGTAAATCCCTATTCGGGCTCACGGGGGGTGTAGCATTCCACCGCGTACTCGCAGGTGAAACCACAACTTTCTCAATCTGCATCTCTTTGTCCTCGACGAGAATCAGGGGCGCAGGGACACGGCGGAGTTTTCTTGGCGGAGAGGTCGTGGCTATGCTTGAGACGGGGGATTCCGGGCGGGTATTGGTGCGGGTGGTGGAGAAGAGGGTGACGGTTGTAGCGGTGTCGGTGCTTCCGTGGGATTCTTGACGCGTGTGAAGGGTACGCTCGGAAAGATTGGAAGAGGAAGATGGGAGACCGGGTCTAGTGGCTTCGCATTTGTAGAAGGAGGCTACTGTCTTGGGTGTTGCTGGCAGGGATGTTGCACTGGAGGTGAGTGATGAGGTGGAGCGTTTGAGCCAGGCGCCTAGCCGGGCAATTGGGGTTGTGGGTGTTGCGGCTGGAGGCGGGGTGGGTGGATTGGAAGTAAGAGGGCCTGTGTGGAGGCGCGGGGGGACTGCGAGGCTGAGACCCAGGGTGGTTCGGCGGGCGGGTTCCGGGGTGGAGGGGAGAGCCTTGGAACTTAGTGGTGCTGAGAAGGCGGAGCCGATATCTGAGAGGGTCTCTGAACGCACTTGCATGCGCATTGAGGGGGCGAGGTAAGGGACGTGGTGAGAGGGGGAGGGAGGAGGGCGGTTGACCAAGGAGGGGGTTTGGGTTTGGGAGCGGTAGGCGCTTGCACGACGTTCTTCGACAATAGTGTTGAGTTCGCGGATGGCGTCGTCAACGTCGGTTTTTGTGCGCCGGATGCTGCCAGGACGGGAGGGCGCGGTGTTGGCACGAGCACGAGATGGTGAGGGGAGGCGTGAGAGGACACGCGCTGGTGACAATGTGCCGGAAGTGCGAGAGCGACGAATAGAGGGCTTTTCAGGTACTTGGCTCTCTGGAAGAGGTGAATCTTCAGGTAGAAACGCAAGTGTAGGCGTGGCCATGGTGCCCATGGTAGTTCCAGACAATCTCCTCTCATGTGTGACAGTGCTGTGTTGACTCTGCACACTTGTGCGTCCGGAATTGGTACGAATAGGTTTGCGTTGGACAAGATAGGAAGACGAAGAAGGCTCCGATGACACAGAACTCGTGCGCGAGTCTCTTACACGGACATGGGCTTCCTGAGGACAGGAGAGCTGTGATGGCAGGTTGGACCAGTACTCTTCGTCGCCAAAGTCTGGCAACGGAGAGAGACGACCACAGCCATTGGGTAGGTAGATGGAGAGCTCGAGAGGACGAAAGCTCCGACGACGACGGATGGGCATGGATGCGTCGTCGAGCATCGATGGGAAGTCATCAAGGCCGTCAAAGTGTCGAAAGTTGATGGGCCGGCTGATACTAGGGCGAGCTCGCGAGCGACTAGGTCGCGCGAGGGTGGAGATGCTGGTGCGAGACGAGGCACGTGTGGCATACTCACGACTGTTTGATACCCATTGTGAGACGTGTCGGCTGACCGACTGACTTGTTGATGGACGCGCATGTATTGGCTCAGCACAGGGCTGGGGTACAGCACGAGGCTGCTCATAGCAGATGCGCATGTCGGTTTCTTCTGATTGATGAATGTCAGCGTCGTATTGAGTTTATTGAGCATAATCAAACCCACCAATGCCTCTTATACCATCCCTCGATTCATCAATAACATCCTCCTTGGACGCACAGCATCCAAACTTGATGGCCAGCCATGGCGAGCTCTGCTCTTTCTCGTGCATATTTTCGCGTCCCGTGATGTATATCTCTTTTTATGCTTGCAAACCAGTGCAGCTAATGACCCATTGTCCGAATTAATGAGAGAACCGTTGAGCAGAAAACAGCAACAACAACAAGAATAGTGATAAGACGCTGGAAGAATGACGCGCTTCTAATGGAGCTAGTCACTACCAGACCGTAAAAAAATGTCAGAAAGAAGGGTTTGGAAAAAAAAGAAAGAGTAGCGGGGAAGGACGATGGAACAAAAGAGGCAGGGGGCATAAAAGAGGCTGAATCGTTGACAGAATATGCGTTGTCCTTGGACTTGAGTGGTCCTTTGCTTCAAAGCCTTGTAGGTCCACCAGGGCCCTCAAGAACAGCAAACCAGTCGCAGGCCACGGGACGACAGTTGCTTTCATATTATAGATTGAGGCCTGCTCCTTGCTCTCTCGTGTATACATGGGCCCAATAGCAGTGCATACCCGGCATGGCGATCATTAATCTCACATGTTAGTTCGCATCGAGGCTTGCTGGCATCAAGGTACCAAAAAGGCAGAGTCTTGGATGTGATTGGCCGAGAGGGTCCAACGGTTAAGCGCTCAAGGCATAGCGGGAAGAAGTGGCAGCGCTGTGTGGACCAGTGAAGAAGCAATAGCGCTTGCGGACCGAAACTGCGAGAAAAGACACAGCCAAGGGCTGGCTGGCCTGATGGGATATGCGCCTCGTTGGTTGGCGTGGCCTTTTGAGGTTGCTGCTTCATTTCGGGCCTGTAAGAGTATGCGCGCAGCTTTGTCGCAGCTTGAGAGCTCAGAAGTCCCACACCGAAGGTCTATTTTCACAACCTCTGAGACGTGCGGGGCGCAACGGGCCGGTAGTGTTTGGCATTGAGCACGTAGTGCGATCTGTAGCGATGACGGGCGATCATCATGGTTTTGGGAGGGGACGGATCCAAAAGCTTCTTCGTCACGACGGCAATCTCCATACTTTTGCCCATCTCGCGTATGCCTGCCACATGTGCAAAGATGCGGATGCGCCACTCGACGCTAGCCTCGCTCCCGTCCTGCATGCATGCATACACTATGTACACACATGGCCCACGGCCAGTCCACCTTGTCATCGCCCATATCAGCCAAAATGCGCTCGAAACACAATGCTGCCATTGGTGAAGACGCTCAGATGTTGAAACACTGGACATCTCAACAAGTGCATCCAGCTGCCGAATCACCATCTCAGACACCATGGCTTGGCGGGCCTGCTTCCAGGCGGCGCAAGCCACTCCAACACATGGTTACTTCGGCATCCACATACGGCTCGCCATCTGGGCCTGCCTCTTAATCAGGAAACGTCTGTGCTGCATTTGGAATGACCGAATCCAATACTTGGGTGACAGCGGAGACTTATGCACTGCTGTACCAGAAAGCCCACGTGTCGAAAGATGGATCCAAGTGCTTCGATTATGTATTGCATCAACGCCATTGACTCCGCACCCCAGAAACTCACCGCTCAAAGCATATGTATGATGCGCACCGAACTTAAAATCGGGTATAAAGCAAACAGAAAACCCAGCAAAGCCGACAACACCTATCCTCATGCCCAAACCGACCCTGGAATGAAACAAGATCGACCGGCATATGCGTCGTGTTTGGAACAAGTGACGTGCGCCGTTAGTTTTGGCTCCAAGCATTCCGCTCCTCTCTGAAACTACCATATGACGGGCTGAGCCGGTCCTCCTCATCTTCATTGTGCTCACTGACGTCGCGTGTTTCCCAATGATTGGCTTCGCTCGTCACGTGCGGCTTGATATCCTGCTCCTGCTGTTCCTCCTCGCTTTGTTCGTCAACGGCAAATGGCCGGTTGAGATTGTGCTCCGCCTCGGGATTGTGTGCCTCCGGCTCATCAGGGTTGAAGCCTTCTCGCACCTCTTCCGTCTCACCTTCCTTGGGATACGTGTGGCTGCAACAAGAGTTAGTCATTTGCACCATGTCTGCCTCAAGTCTAGACCTACACAAAATGCTTTGCCGGAACTTCGTTCCATCCTGGGCCTCCTTCCTTGCGTGCCCGCACCCGCTCCACCTCCTCAGCTTGGCGATCTTCAACAATCAAGTCCACAAGCTGGGTCCGGTCCGATTTGGCAGAGCTCGAGGATGATGACTTTTGACGCAGAAGGTGGCTAAAGGGGGCGTGTGATTTGGAATGCGGCGACTTTGAGCGTGAAGACCCTGCTGCGCTCGACCCTCGACGCTGCTTGCCCTTGTCCACAGACGATTGGATCTCCTTGATCTGGCTTTTCCGCCTTCGTTGGTGGTCCTTGGTTGGTTGTAGCAAATTGCGATTCGTGGATGCTGTCAGTATGTTGGGATCTGCATACAAGCGGTCTTCGCGTGATGGCCGATGTGCTTCAATGACGGGGTACTGTGTACCAGTCAGCTAAATTTGCAACTTTTGTGATTTTGACAACTTACATTCCAGTCTCCAAACTCCAGCTCACGTGCATTTCCATAGAGTCGCTCTTCATCAGCGTCTAGTTCGGGCTCTTCAACAACGTCTGGTGTCCCGTACTTGGCGCCCTCGCCATTGAGAGCTTTGTGTGGTCCAGGGCTCATTGCTCGAGCGCGACTGGACGTGACTTTGCTAAGCAAAGGCTCATGCTCTGAGCCTTGTCCAGGCTTTGGAATCCAGTACTTGCCCTTGCCTCCTCTCTCGAAGCGCATTCCTTCTGCCATTCGTGCTGCTCTTGATGAAGATTCCTCGTGTGCAAGTACATTGTCACGCGCGTCAAAGTACCGGTACTCGTAATGCTTGCCCGCAAAAGTCTCCTTGGTGTCCTGTATGAGATCGAGGGGACCAAACGCATCACGCAGTGCATACTTGACGGGCAGCCTTGCGGCCGAGATGGTTGAGTCGGCGTAGTCGTGCCAGGAGAAGGCATACCAGTGAGCCACTGCAAAGAGGGGCATTTCGAAGCAGATGAGGGCATCCTGGATGGCAGCAGCTAGATTGTCTGGAGTGTAACCGGCGACGTCATCCGGGATAGCACCAAGGAACACGAGGATAGAAAGGAAAAATCCTTGCCAGTAGGAAGCAAAAATGATGCCCTTGATGCACAAGAATTTGGGCATGGGACGGAAGGGCTTGAGGTCCGTGGACATGCAGACCCAGAACATGGCGAGCGCATACAGACTGATTGTAATGCTGACATTGTAGATGATGCCACTCCAGAAGTAGCCCGAAGTTAAGCCAATATAACCTTCCTGATATGTGCCCGTAGCTTTCATAATGATTGTGGCTACCGAGAGCAGCGGCTTGACCCATGTGTATTGAAGGATACCCCGTTTGATAGCAAGGAACGTGTGCGGGTCGGAAATGTCAATCTTGGAGCAGAATAGGTTCAGCGGCCATAGGTGGGAGACGGGGGCTCGGCCGGTCATGAGGATAATAAGGGCTCGCTCGCCGCCAATGAAGTTGATGAGCAGTTGGAGGAAAGTGTAGATGGTGAAGGCCTGGACTGGTCAGTATGTGCGGATCAGGGCGACAGCGATCTTGGTACCTCGTAGACGTCTCTGAAGGGCTCTACGTAGGCTGCTGCCGTGGTGGAGACCAAGCTGGCCCATGATGCGCCCGAGTAGATTGGGACCCTGTGGACGTTCAGCACAAGCACAAGGCAGACGCGTAGTGAAGCCTACATGAGCAGTATACGGACGACGTATCTTTGCAGCACTGGCTTCCTGTAGTTCTTCCTATATGTGGGTCAGTATAGGCTTCTCAGAACTGGAGGGGCCCAACTCACGTCTGTAACCAGACAGCACTATAGCTACGTCAGTGGGAGTCAACTATGGAGAAACTGCACTGCAACCTACACGAAAGTGACCAGACTTGCTACGAGAGCGCAGACACCGGCTACTATGATTATCGCATGTGCAAAGCGAGCCCCAGTACCACCAGAGGAGAAGCCATCTGCCTCAAGGCCCTGGTGGAGGCTGCCTGCGTCCATGGTAACGAGGCGTGGGGATTGTTTGTTAGCAGTCGTGAGAGCTACCACCGAGGACGATAAAAAGAGGACGAGAGAAGTTCAAGAAAAGAAGACGAGGAAGAAGAAAGGTGATGCTAGCGGCGGAGGACTGCCATGGCGTACAGTACAGGTCGCAGCCCAGGCGTTGTTGGCCCTGTACACGTCTCGCCTCCGCGGTGCTGTGGTAATAGGTTTGCGGAGGAGCAGAGAGGCCCAAGCTTGTTCTTCCCCCCTGCACGTCGGCCATGACGCGCATCGACGCCTCCAGTCTTTGGGTCCCGAGGTAGCGCCATCCCCGACGCTACTTGATACACACTGTTCGCTGCTGCGATAATTGTATACACATACCCATATCACAGAAATAAAATTGCGCACGTAGAGGCCATGTCGCCCCGTTGATCTGGCATCGCTCCAGCGCACTCGTCCCATGCATACTGACTGCCGCTGCCCATTGCCCGTCGTCTCCCCTATGGCGCCATGAAGACGCACACACTTCGCCATACAACGCGCTACAATCATGGCGGGAATCGTCGCGGAGCCCTTGGATCCCCGCGACGGCTTCAACTGGTGAGCCCTCTGTGCGGGCATGCCCGGAAACCCAAGTTAACGCTGGCAGGATCTTCCTCGTTGAACTGCTCATATGCGGCATCCTGACCATTTTCTTCCTCTTCTACTTCAACCGCCTGTTCGCGACTCTTGCCGCATACGCCATACGCGCATACACATGGCGCGCCTTCAATGCCTACATTGACATTACCGCCCTCCAAGTCTCGTTGCTTGGCGGCCGCCTCTTCTTCAAAGAGATACGATATCATGGTCATAATGAGACGATCCTGGTACATGGCGGGTACATTACCTGGAACTACTGGCTGCGTCGCGTCAAAGATGCCGGTGTCTATACCGACGATAGCTCTGCATCTGGTAGTGACAGCGCCAGTTACTCTTCGAGCACCTCCCGTACCAGATCCGGCAGTGCCAGTGGCAACGTGGACAAGGCAGAAAAAGGAGGCAAGCAGACGCGGAAGGAGCTGCCATGTCGCTTCTCAATCAAAGTTTCGGGAATCGAGGCTTTCTTGTACAACCGCAGCCCTGCTTACGACGGTATCATCGAAGCCGTACAAAAGAAGGCCGAGAGCGATGCCGCACAGCAAAAGACCCCCGAAGGTTCCGTTTCCGGATCGGAACTGCCAGAGAAGAACGAACACCACCACCACAACAACAAGCTGAAAAAATCACATACCCAAGCCGAAAAGAAAGTCCCGCGCCAGGATACAAGCTGCTCCACTGCACCTGGCCCCACCAAGGCCGACCTTCCCGCTTTCCTCAGGCTGCTCCCAGTCCATGTCGATATTGTCAAAGGCGCCATCGTTGTCGGGAATGAGCACACGCTAGCTGTTATAACTGCGCAATTTGAAAAAGCAACCGGCACTCTCGATGCATCGGCCAGCGGACCCCTGGATGTGTATCAGCAGCTGTTCAATTTCCAAATCACCCATCCCGTGGTCCACATGAAGCCTAACCCCGACTACAAGATTGGACAGCTTGATTCCGCCGTACAGTTCAAGCAAGAAGTTGCTGAGGGATCCTCTGAAGGTAGCATCATTGAAAAGGAAGCCAGTCATCAGAGGCATTGGCGCTGGTTGACGAGGATCCCAAGCCTCTTTCATTTCTTTTCCAAAGATAACGATTCAATCCACACTCACACCAAAAATAGTTCCGGGAACCACAACCCTCCTCTGAATTCCCAATGGACGTTTCCCGGGCGCGAGCGTTGGAAAGGATTGGCGCGTTATCTTGACGATACCACCAACGATGGTCACGGCGAGTGGGATGGCATCGAGTATGCAAAGACATCTTTGATCGCCGACTGCCCGTGTGTCAATATCTCCTTCTACTGGGACGTACCAGGTCCTGTGCCGAATGACATGGACCACAGTAAGTACGTGGACCATGCGCACCCATACGACATGAACGGATGTGCTCCGCCAGATTATGGTATGGACATACAGGTATTTGGTGGCATAATCAACTATGGTCCATGGGCGGACCGACATCGTGGTGTCTTCCAGTCCATCTTCTTCCCCGCTTCACGCGTAGACGCTGTTCCTTCGACTCCCCTGAAGCCCGGAGACCTCCGTGTGCTCTCTGTTTTCAAGCTCTATCTCAGCATCGAAGAGGACACGGTACTACGTATTCCAATTCGTGAATCTTCAAAAGACTGGAAATGGAAAGGCAAGGCCCACACCTTGGCGGCACATGATAAGCTGGGGGAGAACAAGGGTAAAGCAAAGTCTCGAATCAGGCGGGGAAAGCGTAGAGATGCTACTGGGTCGCAAAATGTTCGCCCCTTTGCATGGATCGACGTCAAGATAGCTGAGAAATCTACTGTCAACTATGTTATGGACATGTACGCCTCCGAACACGGGTATCAAAGCAAAGTAGACGTGGATGTCCCAAGCACCGAGATATCTTCGAGCGTGAACCATGGCCTCTTGTGGCGTTCTGGTGCGCTTTCCGTTGACTGCGACTTATCCAACCCTCTAGGCTGGAATACTCTTCGAAAGTGGCTGTTCAACATCAAATGTCAAGACTTGGAACTTTTCTTGCTCAGAGATCACATGTTTCTGATTATGGATCTCGTTGCTGATTGGGGAACTGGTCCACCGCCTGACTATTTCCTCTTTGTGCCTTTCCAGTATCTACTTAATGTCGACTTTTCCAACTTCAAGATATATCTCAACACGAATGACTCCAACATCATCAACAATCCAGCCGATTTAGAAGATAATAACTTTATCATCTTGTCCGGCAAAGGGCTGCAGGGCGATGTCTTCATACCGCTCGACAAATTTCGACCACTTCAGAACGAGATTAAATTCGACGTCAAAGGCCAAAACTTAGGTCTCGAAATCTTGATGCCACCAAAGAACACGCTGCAGGCATTCGTGCAATCGCCAAATGTGGCACACCTTGGCGGCCTAACGTTAAGCGGTAGCCATACCTTCATGGCTGAAACGTCTCCGATGAACACCGACAGACTCTACATGGACATTCAAGGCCATAAGCTTAACCTTGAACTTTACGGCTGGCTCATAAACCATTTCATGAAGATCAAGGACAACTATTTTGGCGACGACATGCACTTCAAGACACTGGAAGAGTTCCAGGGGCTCCCGGCCGCCAACATCACAGCAGAAGGGGCATCGCCGAATGGTGATGCATCCAGCATCTCAAACGACCTGGATGTAATCCTCTGTGTTTCTGCAGACGACGTTTGTGTACTATTACCCGCCAATCTGTACTCCGCTGAGCGTGGCATCCGAGCGGATCTCCCATATGCTTCCGCTGATCTAAGGTTCACAAACTACTACATGGACTTAATGGTGAATTTCAGTCCAATTAGTGTTTCTCTTGGAGGCTTGCTGTCAGACGCTGATGTACCTAACGAGTTTTCGAGTGGCCGTACTGAATTATTCGTCGATTCCACAGTCATCTATGGACACCGCCTATTCGGATTGCCACCACTTGAGCCAACCTACCTTTGCAGTTGGGACTTTGACGTTGGTAGGATTACCGGAGACTGCACATCGGAGTTTCTCGAGGCAGCAGCAGGAGCAGCACGTTCGTTTGCCTTCACGCTCGACGATGATGAGAATACTTTGCCTCTCACAGAAATACCTATCATCCACGATACTACCTTCCTCCGCCTCAGGACACATGATCTCAGCATTTGCATACATATAGCAAAAGAGGCTCTTTTGCTGAAGACAAAACCCGTGTCTTTGAATTTTAACGACCTTGCTGGAGCTACTTTCTCTGAGCGCCTCCACGTTCTTGTGCCTGACCTGACCGTCATTGCTGTCCCATCAGAGACTGCATCGCACTACCGAGTGCGGTCCAGGGAAGGGGACGATATTGTACCTCAGGCTTACCTCCAGACCACACTCTCGCTTGACTTGTTAACACGAAAGCTGGATTTTTCAGAGGAACGCGCACGCCAGCAGGCTCACCTGAGAATGCACGACCAAAGGACTCAGCGCACTGGCTTCATTCTCTCGGGTGACCAGGGCTCCCTTCATCAAGAGGATGGCATGAGAAACAATCTGCGTCCACCTGCTATGCAGTACCCCGACGTGCCTCATCCCATCTTTCTCTATGGGCCGCCGAGTGGCCAAGATGGTTCGTTTACATCTTCCAACATTTCTTCAGTTCGTTCGTCTACTACAGGGCGAAGACTACGTCAAAAGAGCAAGCAATCCTCATCAGCCTCATCCTTTGCCGACAGCATTCGATCTACCCTTCGCCGTAAACCAGGCGATAGGACCATAGGCTCTAATGAAAGTGGGGCCTTGCTTGAAGCTTCACCAAAACACTCAAATTACAAACGTCACTCCCATGTGCTACCTGAAACTGGCGACAACCAGGAACAGGGTTGGGTCCCGTCATCTATTGCATTCTCTAGCAATTTGGCTGCGCCTTGCTTTGCTTTTGAGCAACTAACCCCAGATCTTTCCGAGGTGCCACCATTCCCTGCCATGCCTGCTATCCAACAGCAAAAGAGCATGAATGACGTTGCATTTGATGATGTGGCAGCTAAGCGTTTCGATGAGAGTTTCACGCACACCAGTATACTGGTTAGTGCCCAGCCAGGTATAAGGGCGTATTGTACACCCGAATTCGTTACCTGTGTTGCAGAATTGATTGAGCTGCTTCAGCCCAGGCGACCTGAGGATCTGTTGGATGACTTCCAACTCAGTGTCATGACTAAGATTCTTCAAAACCGAAATCGACTGGAGGGGAAAGGTAGCTCACTCGAGTTCAATATTCGCATACCGTTCACCCACGTCAGATTCCAGCACAGCTTCCAATCCCATTCTGTTCAAGAGACGGGTCAGGATCAATACGATGTTGTTCTCAATCGACTTGGCCTTACGGCAAGACTCAAGAAATTCCCGGGAGAGCGAGCTGGAGAAGACACCATTGCGCTGCACTCAACGCTGGGATCTCTTGGTCTTTCTGTGGCTGAGCGCGCTCTCGACACTGCTACTAGAAGTGTTGCGATTCAAGCTGAGATGAGAGACGTCCTATTCTGGATGTTTCAAGGTAACACAACATCGATAAACGTGTCTTTTCGGACTTTTGAAAACGCAATGGCAAGCAAGAAGGTGGACTATTTGGCAGCGCTTATCCACCGTACGGCACTCATGGCTGAGACGCTCATTCATCAGTTCGCTGAAGTCGATCAAAGATATCAGCAGCGATTGCGCTATCTCGCCTGGCATCTCAGCTGTGCACAAGACCAGTATGCGGATCCAGCATTTCTCACCAAAGCGTCGTACGCTCTACGCGCAACAAGGGACCATCTACGCAGTCATGACTCATGGAAGATTATTTCCAGGTTTCGCTATACGTGGCAGTGTCTGCCACAAGCCGAGAAGGATACTGTCCTAAGTGACTGCTCCCGCCCAGATGTGACATCTCCAGAAGATGCTGAGCAACAAATTATTGCAATGTTGGACCAGTGGCGTACATGGGATCTCGCACACGTGAAGAAGAGTTTTGCAATCCAATTCCTTTTTGGACACCTGGAAAACAAATTGCCGACGCCAGAATCCGCGCCTTTGTATATTGACATCAAGTCTGCTGAGATCAAGCTGACAGTCGATCCTGGTCCACGGCAAAGCGAGGTCTCGCTAGGGCTTTTGGCAATCAATGTTGCGTTGTTGCCTCCCACGCAACCCAATGGACTCATGCTGGTCGACTCCGAGGATGTTCCAAGAAAGACTACAGTCGTTCAGATAAGCTCAAGAAATACTGCATTTCATATCCGGTGGGAGATTTGTGAGCTTGCCGAATCCTTGCTGAAGCTTTTTCAAAAGGAGAATATCAAAGCAATCGAGCAGGCCAAATCGACACCTGCCAACAAACTCGCGGGACCAGCTCCCACGTCCGATCACAATTTGCAAGTGGTATTCGCGACCGACAAGTTTCAAATCACTCTAGACACCTTCAACCTCAAGAGTATCAATACGTCTCAAAATATGCGCTTCTCTTTTCTCGATGCGGATAGTAGGGCGTCGAAAATGGGCGAAATCTTGTCTGCTCATCTGCATGTTGACGTAGCTGTGAGTGAGCTTATCTCGCGCTCACGTTTAGTTGCCAAAACTCAGTTCGAACGACCGAGTATAGATTTCGCAATGACAAAACAAAGCAGCACGGAGAGGTTGCCCAACGAGATCAAGGTGGCTGCAACAAGCCACAGAATTACTGTGAAAGTACAAGACGATGTACTCGGCCTTATCGAACTCGCGGATAGGGTGCTCAAAGACGAGGTAGCCTATTTCCATCGTCAGTCTGCAGCACTACAAGAGATCACAAAAGCAGATCAAAAGCTCGAAAAGCCCAAAGAAGATGCCTCACAGCTTCCAAACATCTCTCTGGCGCTGTTCATGGACTCATATCAAGTTGAGCTCGCCATATTGCAGCCTTGCGGCTGGTCGATCACGGGTTCGTCTGGACGCATTGCTGTTATTCCAGCTCTCGGAAAGCGCATCACACTGCAGGTTGATTACGATCTCGAAGCCAGTCTTCACAGGCTATACAGCACATCAAAAGAAGGTTCTCACGTTATCAGCTCAGTCGAGCTGCCACCACTCAATGGAAGGTTGACTATCAAACAAAATGAAACTCAGACAAAGATTGCTGCATCAGGTATTGTCGAAAAGGTACAGGTTCAAGCATCAGAGATTCAGAGCCTGATATCTACTATCAACAAACCTGAGATGGCACAAATGTTCAAGGCAGTCCAGGATGATATCGGGGTTTTGAAGACTCGCATTGAAGAAATGTTTCCGGCTTCTGCAAAGTCACCAGTTCCGCAACCTCCAACCTCTTCTCGGGACACTTTGTTCACTGTGAAGATGACATTTCATGGCATGCACATAGCTGCGAGCGCCCCAGGCCAAGGCAAAGATTCGCCAACAGCAAATCTTGCGTTCCGACTTTCGACCGTACAACTCAACGCCACGAACATCGACGCAGATCAAAGCATCATGCTCTATCCTGAGGCAGTCGTGCGAATTCACGAGGTCACTGTCGACCTGAGTTTGAAGGATCCCGACTCGATTCGTCGCTGTGGCAACCTGACCTTCAGCGCAGTCTTCCAAGCCACAACCGAACAGGAATCCGAGCCCACGCGTAGGGTTTACCGTTTGCGAAGTTCGGGTCTGGAAGTGAATGCATTCGCGGATACCGCATCTGCTGTTGTGGATGTCGTGAATCATCTCCAGGACCGAATCAAGGATTTGGACCTTTCCAAAGAAAAGAGATATCTGCGACGCCTTCGACATACGAAGAGTAGAATCTCTCAGCGACGTGATCGTAGTCTCAAACGGCATGCAGAACAAGACGCTGAGAGCGACTCTTCCGGAGCCCTTTTTACATCCACATACTCTTTGGAACTTCTCGATCTGCAAGTCAGCTGGATCGTTGGTAACTCAGTCGTCCCCTTTCCACAGAATGAGATCCAGGATCTCGTACTCTCATTTGGAAGGATTGACTTATCCACCCAGAAAGACGATGCAGCACGGTTGATGATTGAAGACATGCGGCTCCAGATGGTACCAGTATCAGCAAATAAGAAGAACCGCTCACTGAACTCAGCATTGCTACCCAAAATGGTCTTCAATGTTGCATATGCGTCTACGAAGGATACACGTAAACTCGCATTCTTTGCTGCTGGAAAGTCTCTTGATCTCCAGTTGGATTCGCATTTCATTTTGCCTGGGAACATCATCGAGCAATCGATTTCTCTTGCTGGGAAAAAGTTCCGCGAAGCCTCTGCAAACTGGAGCATGACCCCTACGACGACTGGCGCACAAAGAAAGAATCCCTTTGGCAACAAACGCTTAGCTTCATTGACAGCTGACGTCAACTTTGCTGGAGCTGTAGTTCATGTCCATGGCAGCGATGCAACGCCAGCCCAAGGCTCCTCGGGTAGAGCTCAGCAGAAGGGAAGGTACAGCCAGTTTGTAGGTGATGAGTCAAAAAGCAGCATGGCTTTGCGTGCGCCTGGCGTGGCAGTCCGGATTGAGTACATGGACGATGGCAGTGATCCCTCTTTGAACGCTGAGCTTCGTGTCGACGGATCCACCAACACACTGCTCCCCACCGTCGTGCCTATCATTATCGACATCTCTGATAGCATCAAGGCAGTAGTACGTGAAAAAGATGACAAAGGAACATCTGATTCGCCTAAACAGCCCGAACAACCACAAGGACAATCTAAGCCAGCTGCAAAACTCCTCGAGGACGAGAACATCATCACAGCCGACCCTGCCACGCTATTGGGTAGAACGAGGCTGAATCTTGGGCTTAGAATATGCAAGCAAGAGTTCAGTCTTAGTTGCCAGCCCATCGCTCGCGTCGCAGCAATTGCCAAGGTCGAAGATATTTACATTACCGTTAACAGCGTCAAGTCCCAAGAGCATGGCCATTTCTTTGCTGCATCCGCTATGTTCGAGAAGCTTCAAACCACTGTTCAACATGTCTACTCTCGCGAATCTACCTTCAGCCTCGACATGGAATCTATTGTTCTCTCGCTTGTGAATAGCAAACATCTCAACGGCACTAGCGGTATTTCTGCCATCCTTAAGATCAACCCGACCGCTCTTCAGATCAATGCGCGTCAACTACAAGACTTTTTATTGTTTCGAGAAATCTGGATACCCCCAGAAATCAGGCGAGCATCCAAGCCTACACCGGAAAATGCCAATTCCGAGCCACAAGAGTACCTCATACAACGCTATCAGCAAGTCGCTGCGGCTACGGCCTTTCCATGGAACGCCAACATAGCCATCGCAGACGTCAAGGTTGATCTAGACCTAGGTCAATCCATTGGAAAGTCATGGCTGCATATCCACAACCTGTGGGCATCTTCCAAGAAGACTACTACAGCGGAGCAGAATCTTTGCGTTGGTGTAGAGAAGATTGGTGTCGAAAGCACCGGTCGTACAAGTGGCTTCATTGAGCTGCATGATATCAAAGTACGTACTTCCATCGGATGGCCACTACAAGACCCAGGTACTCGTCAAACACCGCTCATCCAAGCTTCTGTGGCTTTTCGTCAATTGCGTGTTAAGACAGGTTTCGACTTCCAGGCTTTCCTCATAGCGGATATTGCCGATTTCGGCTTCATGATGTACAACGTCCGTCCAGAAGGCGAAGATGTACAAGACCGGCTGGTTGCCATTCTCGATGGTGGCAAAGTTCACGTGTTTTGCCATGCGACAAGTGCTGCGCAAGGTTTAGCACTGTGGCAGGCAGTTGAGCGACTGATTCAAGACAACCAACAAGCATACAAGCAGTCTCTCAAGGATATCGAAAAGTTCCTTCGCCGCAAATCATCCATAGCCGAACCGTTCGATCGTTCGCCATCTCAGAGCCAGATTCTCCCGAAATCCGACAAAGACAGCTTCAAGGCACCAATCTCATTACACACGGACGTGGTGCTGACACTCCGCTCAATACGCTTTGGTGTCTTCCCTTCAACCTTTATAGACAACCAGGTCCTCATGCTTGAAGCCGGTGATATGCAAGCCCGTTTCGCCGTTGCGCTCGAAAAGAAAAACAAGATACATTCCAGCCTAGGGATGACCCTAGGCCAGCTCTCAGTAGCCCTCTCCTCCGTGCCAACGCCCAAGAAAAGCAAGCCCGTCACTGAACTCGACGTCGAAGACGTCTCCACAAGCGTCAGTTCTGCCCGCGGTGGCACCATCCTCCGGGTCCCTAAAGTCATCGCAACAATGCACACCTGGCAAGTTCCCAAAAGCACGCATATCGACTACCTCTTCCGTAGCTCCCTCGAAGGCAAGGTCGATGTCGGCTGGAACTACTCCCGCATCTCCTACATCCGCACCATGTGGTCCAACCACTCGCGCACCCTCGCCTCGCGCCTCGGCAAACCCCTCCCAGAATCAAACATCAAAATCAGCACCTCGCAGACCCTCCAGGATGCCTCTGATAACCCCGACTCCAGCACCTCGACCGCAGACAAAATGGCCATGCCCTCGGGCCGTCCGCGTGCCCCCTCCGCATCCTCTGACAACCAAGAAAAAATCACAGCCGTGGTTAACGTACCGCAGTCTAAATACGAATATACGCCTCTTGAGCCGCCGTTGATCGAAACGCCACAGTTGAGGGATATGGGTGAGGCGACGCCCCCGTTGGAGTGGATTGGGTTGCATAGGGATCGTTTGCCGAATGTTACGCATCAGATTGTTATTGTGACATTGCTGGAGGTGGCGAGGGAGGTGGAGGAAGCGTATGAAAGGATTTTGGGGAGTAGTTAGATGTTTTGTGAGGGTTGAGAGGAGAGAAAATGGGTTCAGGGGGAGAGAGAGTTGTATATACATGATATTTTTTTGCGTTGAGCATGGCGTTTATGGGTCGAGTTTGGGAAAAGATAGCATAGGCTGGGCGTTGGTAAACGTAGAACTGATTTTTCTATCCTTTCTTTGTTTTTATAGTAATTGTCATCACCAAAAGAATGGAAAGCCATATATAGGAGCAAAAACGGAGATCTATTCGATTCATCTAACGCCTCCTGTACAAGTATTGATTGAATCGGTTTATCCTCCAATAAATACAATGATACCTGTCACAAGAGTGATGATAAGAAGCATGTTTAATAAGAGATTCTGAGCGAGCAGAAGCGAGGGAAGCGGGATTTCGGATAATGAACCGGTTTTTTGTCGGAAGGAGATATCATGTCCTCACTCTCAAAAGAGCAGCTTGTAAGCAACCAGGCTTCTTCCATCTCGACTAGTTTGAAGATCATTTATCGAACAAGAGGCTCAGCTAACTTGACGCAAATCCCTCTTTTATAGCACTAGCAATTTTGAACACTAGATACTACAAGATGTAAGGCGCTGGGAGATTTCCGATTCGGGCCATTGCAAATGATGCCTTGTCTACTTATTACATAGCGTTGGAGAAAATTAGCTACGACACTTAGAAGGTGTCGCGGTCACCTTGAAGAAGACGGTTTGAATTGTCATGTTGATCCTCCGCTCAAGTACAGTTCTCCGATTGATCCGATGTCAGCTGCTCATTCCAACCGGAGCATCTCGTTCTGGAAGGGTTTGCCTGTTGCTTAGTGGTAAACAAGCCTCCGCTAAAATATCCTGTCAGATTCAAATCCGTTTTCCATATGCTATAGTGCTTAGAATAGCCCGAATAACGGTAAAGAAAACAAGTTCGCGTGAATCGATCAAATCCGACTTCCGGTGATCTACCTATTTACCAGCTGGAATATATAAACGGTGAATAGAATGAATTTAGTTTTGAATCATCACTTCAGCTTCTACATACAATTATCTGACTTCAGAGACTTTTATAACCATCCTTTTCAATCAAGCAATCAACATATTTTCGAAATGCATTTCACGAAGGCCGCAGTTACAGTTGCGGCAGTAGCCAGCACCGCTTTTGCTGCACCAACAAACGGGAAGACTGTAACCGCCCCAGCCCGGCGCGAGACGAATGAGTTCGGCCCGTATCCTGTCGACAACTATAAGGAGAAGCGCGATTCAATTTGGATTGGTGACCACCCCGGGGATGATGAAAGCCCCGACATTGGTTATGCTTAGGTCAAACGCCAAACGACTGAGTTCGACCCAAATCCCGTGGACGACTACAAGGGGAAGCTCTAAAGTATAGAGTAGACACGGGACGCAAAGGAATGGAAGTAAGACGAGTATATAGGATATTTTCAACACTAGAATACCTTTTACGAAGAGATGTGGAAAACAGGGGGGCAGAGTAATCACCTACTACCGGGGATTACAACCAGTTTGGTAACTTTTACTATCTCAATTATATTGCTATGCAATTCCTTGCGCAAAAGGCTAATTGTGATTAAAGTATTGGAACCAAAAAAATGGCGAGCAGGAACAGCTTCAGCTCTGGCTGTATATTGCTTCAGCTATGTTGGCAGTGTCCATTGCTTTATCTATCAACTAGTAGCAAAGCTCTACAGCAACAGTCAGTCATGCCTTACCCGGATCGCTGCGAGGGTCCGCAATATACGGTGCGCACTCTATCTCACGACCCGCTCATTCAGCATATCAAAAACTTCATTACCGCCTCCGAGCAAAATTATGTTCAGACTCCAGCGTAAGTCTGATGCAAGGAAACCTTGGCAGAATACTTGGAAAGATTGAACCCCCAATCTAACTATCAATATTAGAAGAAAGAAACCAGATTCCAAAAGTCTTTGGGCATCACCAAAGATGGGAGCGTTATTTTAAGCCCAGAACGAAGGAGTTCTTCCGCATTACCTTCCTGGAGACGATGCTGTTGTTCAATGTGTACTCTTCTGTGCAGCTGAATACCAAGGCTTCACCGGAATGGACTGGACGGAGACACTACAAGTGACGCGTTATCTTGAGGGCCAGAATTTCGATGCACATTACGACTGGGCCGAGGACCCCAGCCAAACGGAACTGGACATCGAATCGCGATACAACCTTTTTTTGCAATGCTAGAGGCAGATTGCTCGCATTGTGGGACCGAGTTCCCGAACATAGCAGTGGACTTGGTCGCAGGAAGATGAGCATTGGTGCCACCTGGTCGAATGCAGTACTGCAGAGTCGCTCGTCATGTGTGCAATACCTGGTTCCGATACGTTCTGGTGCAATCTTCACGGAGATGGTGAAGGAGATACTCGCACATTGCACGCGGGGTTGCTGGTGGTCAATGGATCTAAGATTTGGGCTCAACATCTAGACTCGGCGCACAGTACTATAATTCGTTGTGAAGTTCGGTATGTACGTGCCGTGAGTAGGTCTGGAGGACGAACCATGTCATCCGCAATGTTGTGAACAAGGAAGAAGAGTTAACCTCAGCACCTATCAGTTGAGAATCCCTCCGTAACACATTACCGATATTGGTCAAGTATACTGTTCCTCAGCAGTATAGTTTTATAGGGTTGAGAAAATCTCTATACATTCTTTATCCCAATAGCTATCTATTGTTGGGGTTTGATAGCAGAATCCTAGACTTATATATGATAGGTCATGAGAGGAGTGCGTGTGGTCAGGAACGATTGAGGATGTTTTTTTTTCGGTGTTGCCTCATCACTGCAAGACAATTTCTCGAGTAGACTTCTACATCCAGTGAAATAATTTTTACGTCACAGATGCTCGCTGTGGACAATACGCGTGCTCAATCCTATCATTCGTGTTGCTGTCTTGTATGATGTAGAATAGCGTACTACAAGATTATTTACTCCGGCATTATATCCGCTTATGAGATACAACATGTGAACTGTACTATTGATCCAGGAAAAGTCCAACGCCATAAACAAATAGGTATCTCATAATCAAGTCATGAATAAACGCCATGCCCTAGACTTCGACGCCATCGTCTAAACCACAGTTTGCACCCAGTGTGAATACAAATACTCCCGTACCAACTCAAAGTGTCCGCCAGAAGTAGTTGGTGTAAAAGTGCCGCGAAAACTTGGGGTCAATATTGACCACATGCACGTCTCCCTTGGCTGCATTGCGAATGACAGCCTTGTTGTACTCGCCAGTGGTCGGGTCAGCTTCGACATCGATGCCGAGGGTACGGTAGAGTTTGAGTTTCAGTCTACAATAGCTGTTAGCCTTTGGCTTGTTACCTAGAGAGGTTTCAACTTACACAGTAGCATCTTCGTCTGCCTTGGGCTCGACGCCCCCTTCGACACCCTCCTCTTCTAGCTCGCTGGCTACATTTCCCAGTCTTGCTAGGTCACTTTGTAGCCTCTCGCCCTCAATTTCCAAATCGCTGGCTTGCTTCGCAATCTTAAACTTCTCAGTGTCGAGCCTTAGAATCTCTGCTGCATGGTTGGTCGGGTTGTGCTGTGACAGGGTGTGGTTGTGGTTTGCGGAGAGTGTTTGGTGAGTGCGGTTCAGCGCGCTTAGAGATGACTGGATGGAGCGCAGATGCTGTGTGCGGAACTCGCTCAGGGTACTGAGGGATTCGTTGATGCGGTGAAGTGAGGTTTTGTCATTGCCAATTTTGAAGTGCGAGGTGCATTGCGCAATGAGCTGCTGTTGTGTTAGTCGCTGTGCGCCAATCGCATAGACGGGATACTCCTTACAGCAGCGGGATCTTCATCGAGGAGCATTGTGAATAGTGTGCTTGAATTGCGTGATTAATGTGTGGATGTTTGAGTTTGATAAAACGTGTGCTTGGTTGTTGTGTGGCAGACTGGTGATCATGTGTATCGCGAGGAAGGCGTGGTGTTGATGTTCTTGTTTGGATGGCCCGTGCTAGCACCGCGTGCATGGCAACGGAGCCTGTGACTGTGGCGTGAGACACAGGTGTGGCGCATTTGTGGCGTTTGCAAGATCCGAGGCGTACGTCACGGTAAAAGATCGCCTGCTCGGCTTAGGCACCTGAAGCTTTCACGAGACCGCCCGCTCCTTGACGCCGAAAACTTCTACCAAGTAACCCTACGATACTCACCTACATAGGTCTTTGGAAAGACACATTTTGCCTTGGATTTCTCACAACACCAGCTGTCGCCATGCCGCCGTCATTACCGTGTGAGTGGGATAACGACTTCTGGGCCGACGAACGCTCATTCCCCTTAGATGCTGCCGACGTAGAGTCGCCCCTCAAGCCTGAAGAGCTGCAAGTCCTTCGCGCACAGTACGAGAAAGAGGGCGAATATGTTGGGTTGCAGACAAAGTTCAACTACGCATGGGTACGACTTCCCCGCTCTAACGGATGTACCTCCACATGTGCGCAACGCCATATGCGACAACCGAGCTCATGACACTTTAGGGCTTAATCAAGTCAACCTCTCGTCCCGACCAACAAGAGGGCGTGCGCTTGCTTTCTGAGATCTTTCGCAACTCGCGCGAGCGTCGGCGCGAATGCCTCTACTACCTCGCTCTGGGTAACTACAAGCTCGGCAATTACGCTGAGGCCCGACGATACAACGAGCTCTTGCTGGAGCTGGAGCCTGCAAACTTGCAGGCTGGGAGCTTGAAGAGTCTCATCGACGAGAAGGTTGCGAAGGAAGGGCTTGTAGGCGCCGCGATTGTAGGAGGAATTGTCGTTGCTGCGGGCGTGGTGGGGAGTTTGCTACTAAGGGGTGGCCCGCGCAGGTCGTGAAGTATGACCAACCGCGTTTCTCAGCCATGATCAGGACGGAGGAACGGTAAAAAGTTGGGCATTCGTGCGCGTTGATGATACACACACTTGGAAAGGCGTTGGTGGGCTCTATACCTCTGGCCAAGATGGTCAAACAACACGGCATTTGAATACTTGTAAATACAAAAACCCCGTAATTCGCACCTGTGACCACGGACGAATGTTGGCAGATGTCTGCGTCTGCTGCCTCGTCTGAATGTGACTACTTCAACGGGTGGACAAAGCTGGAAGCCAATGGAACATGAAAGAACCCGAGGGACAGTCAATGGAACAAACATACCGTAGAGTCACAACCGGGCAATCAATCGCATTGTGAACAAAATCACGCCAGCCGACCCGAGCTTCCTCTTACTTCTCGACTACGCTCATTCAAATCCGGTTTTCCTCAAGCGCCCGTTAGACGAGTTCCGACCGTCCTAGACGCCCGCGGCGGGACATTTGTTGGATCCCTGCCCCGATAGCAACGTCATTTCCATCTGACATCGTCCGCACCAAATCGCCAAATCTCGCCGCACGCTTCTTCTTGACATTTCCTCTGCCAACCCAAGACCTATTCAGTGCTTTTGGACTTCACAGTCATACCCTGCACCTGTCTGCATCTGCAGGGCGTCCCCGCTTGTACAGCATAACTGCCGACGGCGCATGACAGGGCTCCGAATTGATTGACTTGGGTGGTAGCTTCCGATCGACGTTTGTGCCTCTCCGCTACCAGACCGTTACTTCCTGGCTGGATTACTTGCACCAAACTCTCGACTACGCCCTATCACCCTATATATTACCCTACGCGACACGCACGCTATCATGGACCAGTCAAGTAGTGAGAATGCGCAATCACAAACCCAGCGGCCCGGCCACCGTGACATGATGTTTTGTCATGAGTGCGCCGATGAATGGTACCGGGATGAACATGGTCTGTCCTGCCCAGAATGCGGCTCAGACTTCACAGAGATCGTGAGTTGAGGCCATCAGACCCAGCTTCCAACTCACCACACGAGATGAAGCGGACATGAGTCGACTTTTGCTAATCCGGACCAGATTGAAGAAAACAACGATCCCCGAGATAGCAACATGTTTGGACACGACGGCGACGACTCTGACTCCATACCTGGTTTTGGACAAGGCCAAACTCGCAATCCGCACCATAATTTGTCGCAGAATGACGATCCGGAGGAGGACGACATTAGCAATATTCGATTCGTACAGACTGCCCCCGGACGCTACAACCTACAAGCTACTGTCACCAGGTCCGTGTCTCCCCACGGAGGCATGCCGCCAGGATCCATAGGCGGCTTCACGGCCATGCTGAATGGATTGACTGGCGCCGGCCTACGGCCGCAGGGCCAGCAACAGACTCCGGGGCAAGGCCAGGGCGAGGGCCTCTTTTCTGGTCCAGGGACCAATCGGAATCAGTCTGCCTTCCACGAATCACAGAACGAAGGTACAGAAGGAGGACCTCAAATCCGGGGAGGAAGATTTACATATCACGGCGGAGTTCGTCTCTTTCCTCCCGGCGGAAACGGCGCTGGGCGGGCCGAGCCTGTGGACGAGCTAACAAAGTAAGCAAGCATACTAATCCATAATGATGCAATTGCTAATGAGGTGGATAGCGTTATGACAGGGCTCTTTGCCGCGTTTGGTGCACCTCCTGGCCACGTTCACGCCCATGGCTCTCCTCAAGGTGGAGCCCAGGGCTCTTTTAGTGGAGAGCACACTCATGGCCCCGGAGAACGGGTCATGGGCAACCCCATTCTCAACTTGTTCTCTGCAATGGGCATGATGGTTCCTGGGGCTGGCAACATGGGAGACTTCGTGTATTCACAAGAAGGCCTCGACCGCATCGTCTCTCAGCTCATGGAACAAACAGCAACCAGCAATGCACCTGGCCCCGCCACTCAGGCTGATATCGACGCCCTACCCCGGAAAGAAGTTACCGAGGAGATGCTAGGTGAGGAGCACAAGGCTGAGTGCAGTATATGCATGGACGAGGTCAATATCGGCGAACAGGTGACTATGTTGCCGTGCAAGCATTGGTTCCATCACCCGTGCATATCAGCATGGCTGCTAGAGCACGATACCTGCCCGCATTGCCGAAAGGGCATCACCAAGGGTGGTCAGGACCAGTCTGGCAACCCTGCTTCATCGGGCGGTCACGATGATCCCACATCCCAGATGCCTGGTGCGTTCACTGCGGGTTCGGGCACGTCAACTGACCCCCACGATGAGCCTGCAGCATCCTCAGGTCCACAATCCTCCAACCAGGGCAACTCGTCTAATAACGGAGATGCAGGCTCGGGAAATGGTGGCATCAGCGACCGGATACGAAGGGGTCTGTTTGGATCTCCACATTAGTTTGAATGAGCAGTTTGTGTTTTATCAATATTAGCTGACACTCTTTTTTGTTTTATGCACAGGACGGAGGCACTTGAGGAGGAGAAGAGAGGATTTCCGCGAGGCGAGAAGAAACCAGCGGAGCGATACTGGCGGATATGCATGGGTCGAGAGTCACCTCAGTCGGGAAATCATGTCGAGGACCAGGGCTATCGCCGACCCTGGACGTGGCCAGCAAATGGCTTCGCTGCACGTCTTGCACCGCCGTTCGCAGTCTGAGGGCGCACAACCGCAGACGGGGCGATCGCCCAGTGGCGCTCCCACGTGTGCAAGTGGAGGTGCTCCACCGCCTGTTTGCTCCTTTGAAGACGACGGTGCGCAGCCTGCTGCTGAGTCGAGGGCGGCCAGGCGGAGCTGGCGATCGGGTCTTGCAGCAGCATCAGCAGCAGCTCGCACAATGCGTCAACGGTCGGCATGAATCGAGGGGGTGTGCATTGGCCGTCAATTACAGTGGTTTAGCGGGTGGGCCTTTTCGATGGAGTTATTTTGTGTTTCCCTCTTTCCCTCTCCCCCCAGCGTGTGAAGATGTGTTTTAGCGGGTTTCCTTGGTTTGCATAACTAGTGTATTTGTGTTTATTCTTCCCCTTCCATTCTTCCCTCCACGACGGACGGTCCAACAAGGTTTAGGTAGTAGCATAGTTTAGGGCGTTTTTTTAAAGTTTCAAATTGAGTTTCTGTCACTTGTTCACTAGTAAACCATTGCAGTTTTTTGCGTGATTATGTTCGTCTATAGTATACGGCTTATACATACACCAACCTACACAGACGGAATAAATGTCGACGACGGTGGTACTTACATCCAATACGAGGCTTACTTTACCTTTCAAGCTCCTCTCCCCCACGTAAGTTGACTGCTATGTACTAGTCCCCAAATTCACAGAAGCTCCTAGTGGTACGTACTAAAACTTGCCGGGTTACTACACACTATACTTATTCCCCCCTCATCCATTCCTTTTCGCGGCCTATCCCGTCCACACATGCCAAGCCCCGGTCTTTGCAAACTTAGCGGTGTCGAAGGGCGCCTACGCCTACGCCTACGCCTACTCTACTCTACGTATGTTACGCTAGAGGCTAAGTAGTAACTTGAACCTTACGAGTGATTTAAATTCCGCTCTCTTGGCGGGGGTTTTATGCGTCGTATTTTGGCTCCCGCGCGAGTGTCGACCGCTGGGTGCTAAATGCAAGCGATGATCTTGTGTGATTGGGAAAGAGGCGGTGGGAAGAGTGGGAGAAAGAGATGCAGTGAGGTTGGTGTTGGCGCGGGGGAGGGGGGGGAGGGGTTTGGGCGGCGCTTGTGCTTGTTCAACGGGCGAGGCGGCGGGTGCGGATATGCAGGGTATAATGTTTGCGAAGGGAAAGAAGGGGGGTAAGAAAAAAGGAAAAAGGCCGAGTGCGTGGTTGCAAGGGAAGGGGGTTGTGATGATGGTGTGCTGTGCGCGTTTGATGCGGTGAGGGATACGAGAACAGAATTTTTTTTTCTTTGCATGTCTTGATGTTACGATTTCTTCGTTGTGTATTTCTATTTTGCTCGGATTGTTTTTATTCACTTTTTTTTATGCATGAGGGTGGTTGGTTAGTTGGAGGGAATTAAGCTTTGGGGCTTTGGGACATTTGGGCGAGGCAAAAGGTCGTCTTTGACTACTAAGGCGATCACGAGCGTGATACTGACATGGGGGCGAGGCGAGGCGTGCAACAGGACGAGACTAGGGCGCTTTGGGCGAGTGGAAAAATGATGCTGATGGTGCGGATCGCCCGAACAACGCATCAACGCATCGACCGCTTAGTTTTTCTCTTCCTGTCATTTGAACGAGGGAACAGGGAAAGAAAAGAGGGAAGTCAGCCCCGTAGCCCTGTTTTTTTGTTTGCTTGGTTGGCCGGCTGGCAGATGCGGGTGTGCATGATACAGGGTGCTACTGTCCAGCTTGTTGTTTAGTTGCCGCGGACCTCATACCGACGTTGGAAAAAGAAAGGAAAGGAAAGAATACTACTACATGTTCACATGTTTTGAAAGATAATAGGCAAACAGGAGTGAAACAGTGCTTCGTTCTCACAATCCAACAGAAAAAAAATCACAACAAAAAAAGGCCGTGTGTTCCTGCAGACCATTGGCGTTCGCATCATGCCGAGTCACATTTTCACGCGTCGTGTCCGTGCTGGGGCCTTGTGCGGGTGATGCGAGCGCTCGGTCAACAGTTTGGGGAGGGGGGCAATTGGGGGGGTTGGAGGGGCAGAGTGGGAGAGAGCGAGTCGAGTGAGTTGTGTCGTGCAGGCTACCGCGCGTGCGAGAGAAAAGGTCGTTGGTCGTCTGAAGGTGTGCAAAGCATGTCGTTCTTGGACGCGACGTGGTGGTACTGACGTGCAGAGCTGTGATTGGCGTAAGGGGGGTACCCGCGAGCAGTGGTGGAGACTTGGTGTGCTGGTGAGGAAGAGAGGCGGGGGGCGAGTACAAAAGGCTGGTGGTGTCCTGGTGCATCTTCATCTTCAGACAGACTCCTTGACTGACCATCAAGGAAACAAAAAGGCGATGACAGCAGCACCTGTCCGTGGCCTCACCGTCGTCATCGTCAATGGGCAGCGGTGGTAGTGTAGCAGTAGTAGTGGCGGTGGCAGGGTTGTTAGTCGAGGCGGTAAGAAAGGCCAGGGGTGTGGAGCCGCGTGGGTGGAGGGTGGCGGGCGCGCGCGGACTGTGACCGCCCGTCATGCCATGGCATGGGCTTTTGTGTCTGGCGGCTTTGGGCGCGCATTAAAGCGTGTGAAGGTCAAGGCCGGGTCACAGCTGCTAAGAGCAATAGCATCGTATATGACTGGCTCTCCCCTCCCACCTGCTCTGTATCATCCTCGTAGCCGACTGTTAGCGCCCGACTGCCCACCAGGGCTTGCATGCAGGATCCAACGTGTTGCTGTGCTTGTACATAAGTAAAGCTCCATTTCGTACCGTGCGGTGAGGAGACTTGACGGCCCGCCCACATTCAGAAAGGGCAACAAAATTTTCTTGTCGACGGACGTTCCCTTGATTGGATTGCCCTAAATCTGCCGTCCTAGTGGCGCTTCATCGAAAGCCCACCCCGACCAAACCCGACCGACTGATAGCACAGGAAGCGCGTGAATCATGCCGAGCTGGGGCAGGAAAGAAAGCTATGAGTGAGTCGCTGCCCCGTCAACGCCCTTCCCTCTTCCTCCTCCCCTCCTCCTAACCTCACACACACCCCTCCTTCCCCTCACCACCCACCTGCTTCCCAAGTGTGTGGACTGCACCACGAAGCACTTGTTTTCCTTTTCCCATATCCGAGCCGCTTTCGGTAAGAAGCTCTACCCATACCCTTTGGTGTCCTCTTTGTTGCACCCTCAACCCATCACCTATTTTTTTTTCGGTTCCCTTCATTACCTGCCCCACCCCCACTTCCCATCGTTGACCTGCACCACTGTCACATGTCAACTGGCCTGTTACTTGTTGCCTACCTCTCTTCTATCAGACCAACACACTAACACTACCTCACAGGGTCTCTTCAAAAGAGCAGAAGCAGATCCTCGCCGATATCCAATCCGGCTCTCAGAAGTTCAGCAGACGGCTCCTCCCAGCCCGAACATTGAGCACTAGGAGGGACAGGAACGCTGAGCCTCTGGTACCCGTCACGGTCACTGCCGAAGGAAGCCAGCAAGAGGACCGCCGCGGACGCAAGTCGATAAGCTCAACCCGACCCGGCATCCCCAAGCGAACCAGCAGTATGAAGAGGGCGTACAACTACTTCTTTGGTGCGGGCGCTCCAGTGCCCGCTCCCGTTGCTCCCCCGGTCACTACCACCGAGGCTACACCACCAAGCAAAGAAGACGTAAGGCCCTACGACAATGGCGTAGATACCCCGCCTGAGACGCCCCGCGAGGCGCCCAGACGGCTAAGTGAAGACGAGGCCGGTACGTAATCTGCACATGTCCCCTTCCCCCCACCCCACCCCACCCCACCTGCCCAATAACACATTCTCCAGCGATTCCCTACTATCCAATCTCCCTCCATGCAAGAGGGTCTCCACTAAACACACTACCTCCGAGCAACATACTGACCTACGGCTCTCCCCCATCAGCAGACTCTCCATCACCTCCTTCACCAGATGATTCTGACAGCCTTGAGACGCAAATCTCTAAGCTGAAGAAGAAGCTTGCCCGTGCCGAAAGTGACCTCGACGAGGCACAGCGCGTTGCTGCCACACAAGACGAGCATGTGCGAAGTCTAGAGGAGGACCACAAGGAGCGCGAGAAGGAGTTTGAGTCGCGTGAGCAGACCCTGCAGCAAGACAAGAAGGAACTCGAGGAGCACATGGTTAGCGTTGTTGTACAGCAAGTACGTGAAGCCAAGGCCAAGGAGAGGAACACAGTCCGTGAAGAATGCGAGACCGAGTTCCAAGCTAAGATTGCCGACGTGAACCAGGAGGTTGAAACTCTCCGCGCCACCGTTTCCGACCTCGAGAAGTCTATCGAGTCATACAAAGCAGAGATTGAGGACCTCAAGGCTCAGATTGACAGCCAGCAGCCAGCCGCCGCCACTTCTGAGCCTGTTGACAACTCGGCAGAGCTTGAGGCTAAGGAGGCAGAGCTTGCTACTGTCAAGGCACAGTTGGAGGAGGCGACCGCCGCAAAGAGCAGCTCTGAGAAGGAGCTTGCTGAGGCTCTCGCCACCATCGAGGAGCTCAAGAGCAAGAATGCCGACACTGTCGCCAAGTCTGAGCTTGATGCTCTTGCTTCCGACCGGGACGCTCAGAAGACAAAGGTCGAGGAGCTTGCCGCTGAGGTCGCTGTCTTGAGGTCAGAGCTCTCTGGACTGGAGGAGCTCAAGTCAAAGCACGCTGAACTCGAAGCCGCGCACAGCAAGCTCTCCGACGAGCTTGCTATCCGTGGTAGCCAGGACGCTGATGCAGAGAAGGCTTCCAAGGCCGAGGCTGAAGGTCTTCGCAGCACCATTGCTGAGCTACAGGCTTCTCTCAAGGAGGCCAAGGACACCCTTGACCAAAAGGCTTCCGACCTCGAGGCTAAGACCAAGGAGCATGCTGCTGCCACCGAGCAGGTTGCGTCTCTTACCGAATCTTCCAAGACCGAGGTCGACAGCTTGAAGACTGAGATTAGCGATTTACAGGAGAAGCTCAAGTCCGCCGACTTGTCCAAGGGTGACTCTGAGGAGCTTGCTGAGAAGGTTTCTGCTCTCGAGAAGTCGTTGAAGGAAGCACAAGACAGCCTGGCCGCCAAGACATCTGAACTTGAGGCATCATCATCTTCTCTTGCTTCCGAGAAGGAGGCTGCTGTCAAGGCCGCCGAGGAGGCCAAGAGCAATGTCGACTCCCTCACTGCTAAGATTGCCGAACTCGAGGCTTCTCTCAAGGAAGCTCAGGAAAGCCTTTCCGCAAAGGACGCTGAGCTTGAGGCCGCCAAGGGTGATGCATCCAAGGCCATCGGCTCTGCCAAGGAGGAGGTTGCTGGACTTCAGAGCACTGTTAGCAAGCTTGAGGCTGAGATTGAGAGCGCCAAGGGTTCTTCCGACGAGCAGACGGCTGCTGCCAAGAAGGAAGCTGAGGAGCTTCGCGAGAAGGTTGAGAAGCTCGAAGCTGAGTTGAAGGCCGAGAAGGAGGAGACTAGCAAGGCGTCTGAGGCTTCTGCCACCAAGGTCACCGAGCTTGAGGGCTCGTTGAAGGAAGCCCAGGAGAGCCTTGCTGCCAAGGAGTCTGAGCTGACCGCAGCGAAGGAAGAGGCGAGCAAAGCCGTTGAGTCATCCAAGGGCGATGCAGAAGGTCTTCAAAAGACCATCTCTGACCTCGAGGCTTCGCTCAAGGAGGCCAAGGATAGCTTGTCTGCTAAGGAATCTGAACTCGAAGCTGCCAAGGGCGAGACTACCAAGGCTACCGAGTCTTCGAACGCAAAGATTGCTGAGTTGGAGGCTAGCCTGAAGGAGGCCCAAGAGAGCCTCACTGCTCAAAAGGCCGAGTTGGAGTCCAAGTCCGCTGATGCTGGCAAGGTTGCTGAGCTGGAGAAGGAGCTTGCTTCCGCCAAGGCTGACCTCGAGGCTGCCACTACTGCAAAGGACAAGGAGATCGCTTCTGCAAAGGCCGACCTCGAAGCTGCCACCGCCGCAAAGGAAGAAGCGATCACTTCCGCAAAGGCTGACCTTGAGGCTGCTACCACCGCAAAGTCTGATCTCGAGACTGCTGCCACCAAGAAGGATGAGGAACTTGCTTCCGCCAAGGCTGATCTCGAGGCTGCCATCGCTGCAAAGGACGAGGCCACCAAGGCTACCGAATCATCCAAGCAGGAGACTGAGAGCCTTCGCACCACCATCAGCGAGCTAGAGGCATCCCTAAAGGAGAAGACTAGCCAGCTTGAGGCTAAGGAGGCTGAGCACTCAGAATCCGTCAAGGCCGCTGAGTCCTCCAGCAACGATAAGATTGTTGCACTTGAGAAGGAACTCGCCGAGGCCAAGGCTGAAGCCAGCAAGGTTGCCGACCTTGAGGCTAAGCTTGCTGCTAAGGAGTCGGAGCACTCTGAGGCTCTCGAGGCTGCACAGTCATCTGGCAACGAAAAAGTCTCTTCTCTTGAGAAGGATCTTGCCGCCGCAGAGAAGGCAAAGGAGGCTGTGGAGGAGGAGCTCAAGGCATCCAAGCAGGCTGAGGCCGAGGCCAAAGAGAGCGCTGCAAAGGCTTCCGAGGGTTCTTCCAAGGCAGAGGCTCTTGAGACGGAGATTGCCGACCTCAAGGCATCTGCTGAGAAGTCGACTACCGAGAAGAATGAGCTGGAAGAGAAGATCAAGGCCAACGACACCAAGATTGCTGAGCTCGAATCTGCCGTTGAGGCTGCCAAGGCCAAGGAGTCTGAACTCACTGCCCTCCAGGCTAAGCTTGACGATTCCACCAAGGCCTCTGAGACTGCTACCAAGGACCTCGAAGCCGCTCAGGCTGAAGCTGCCGATGCTAAGAAGTCACTCGAGTCCGTTCAGGCCACCCTAAAGGAGAACGAGGAGAAGACCACTGCCCTGCAATCCGACTCGGAAGCTTTGAAGAAGGAGCGCGACGAAGTCAAGGCTGAGCTAGTATCTGTCAAGGAGCAACTCGAGAAGGCTGAGGCTGCCCAGGAGGAGCTCAAGACGGCCAGTGCTGAGGTTGTCGAGAAGGCTGAGGCTAAGGAAGCTGAGCCCGTCAAGGAGGAGGCACCCGCTTCTGCCGATGTCCCTGCTACTGATGACATCAAGGAGACTGAAGTCGAAGTACCCTCGGAACCCGGTTCCCCCAGGGAACCTGAGACTCCCTCGACACCTAACCCAGATGACAAGGACGACGATGGTGAGGCGAACGGCGAACAGACACCTGGCGGCTCTAAGAAGAAGAAGAACAAGAAGAAGGGCAAGAAATAAATGTCTTGATACCTTTTGATCAGAATGAAACGCGACGGAATCAAATGATGGAATGAATTCGGGATAGGATTAGGTTGGTTGGTTGGTTGGTTGGTTTGCATTATACCCTTTTGCTGCACTGGCAACCCTAGCCAAGCGGCTAGCTGTGTGTGTCTTGTGCGTGGGAGGAGGTCCACTCTCAGACTGCTGAGTTTGTGTCTTTTTTTTGGTTTTTTTTTCCGGCCCTTGATATGTAGTAATGACTCGCTCACAGCAGCTCCTTTTTCTACGTCACAACGCAATAACAATGATGCGTGTGTGATGGTGGGAAAAGTACGAGCGGTGCAATATGTAGGCGGCAAATGAGTATGAAAGAGAAGAAAAAAAAAGATGGGAGAATGAGATGAAATGTCTGAACGGTAGATAATGAGTTTTTATTTTCATGTTGGCCACGCTTCTTTTGTTCGTAGACGAAAATCAGAATATACCCTACTCTTCTTTACTACAGTATTTTCGAATCAACTATGATACTTGGTGTCTCTTTGAAGCTCAGGGCAATTACCTATTTGTAAGAAGAAGAAGAAGAAGAAGAAGAAGAAGGTCCATGCTACATGACGTATTTTCAAATCTCGAACAACATTGTTGTATCGGCTCACCTCTTGCCCTCATAACCCCTGTCCTTATCACCTATCTGTTATTTATAGCAACGGGAAACAAAAATAAATAGTAGATGCGGGAATGTATGAAATTGATAGCAGTGTCACATGACTTGAACTATGTAGGTCCATAGGACTCTTAGTCTGCGACTACTACTACTACTACTACTGGGCCTTTTTTCTTTGATATTAATACGGAAAAGAGGGTAGTATGCGTGGATATAAAAAAAGACGTGACGATTTGCTATTTTACTGGGTATGAAGATTCTTCAAGTCTGGATATTTTGGGAAATAAAAGCAGTTCATATTTATTATTTTTGGGGGGGGGGGGGGGGGGGGGGGGTTGGT